TTGCTTGATTTCTAATGTAAGATCTGAAACAGTCTAGTTGCGAATTTCATCTTGTATCACCTGGCAGTACAGGCCTGGTACCTTTCAATTTGCTTAACGCCGCCCCAGGCACGTCATGGTTTCTGAAGAATTTTTGAACCTTTACTATTTTATCCTTAAGCACTTCAGGTGTAAATTTCTTCCCGATTAAGTTGAGCAAATGTGAACTACAACCATATTCAATTATTTCAGGACGTTGAATCTTCAGCTGTCTCCTCATCGAATTCATTGTGCTGCAATTGTCTGTTATACAAGCGACAACTTTAACGCCAAATTCTGTTTCAGCTTCCTCAATAGATTTTATCAGTAACTCTAGGCATTTTAACGCAGTCTTGCTTTCATCCCCCACTTCCAATGCATTCAAAAAGTAGTTTTGATTATTAACTTGCAAACTGTGCGCAATTACGCAGTTATGTTGATTAGTGGTCCATCCATCCTGAAGAATTGTGGCCTTCCTTCCTGCCAACTCAATCTTAACTTTCTTTTTCTCCGTCTCGTATAAAGTGTCAAGCTCCGAACCAGCAACATCCTTTTCATTCGGTAATTGATATGTTGGCCTTAATTCCTTCACAAATTCTATGAACTCCTTATTTTCGACGGCGTGAAATGTTGGCCGAGCAAATGAATCGCATTAATTTTTGGCTGATCCGACGCTGTTGCGGTTCTGTGGTTTTGAAAAAGTAGTCTGGCATCTTTTTCTGAATTTTGATCTGGTTCTGATTTAGTAAATCCGGCTCTGACACAGCATCCGAACTTACTGGCACTGACACGGACTGACTTGGTCGTTTAACCTTTCTCGAAGCGCTGCATTTCTCAAGATGTTTGCGAAGACGATCAGGTTGGGGATATTTTATCTCCTTATCACAGTATTTGCACATCCACAGGTTTTTCTCAGTTTCGATTTTAACAAATTCTTCCCAAACCAAGTCTTTGATTCGTCCACCCTTTTTCTTTTTGCTTGGTGGGGGAGACAAATTTGATTTAGTGTTACTTGCTGGTTGTCTGTAGCAATGTGAATGATTTTCTTCTGAGCTTGAAGAGTTTGCACTTCCTTCCGGGTCATAGGAAATATCCAATAATTCGGAATCTGACGGAATTTCGTTAACGTCATATCCTGTGACCTCCATAAATTCTTGTGAGGTTACTGTCGATTCACCACCGTCCTCATCTAAAATTGGGAATGAGACTTTTAAATTAATTCACACACTCATTAGTTGATTAATGTAACCTTCAGAGTTTTGTAAGAGGTCTCGAATATCTTGCGACGATAGTGCCCCTCCCCCCCGATTGATGGACATCTTCTGAAAAGTCAGCAATAAATTAGAAATTAATTATTATGTATTTAAGAAAATTAAAATTAATTCAGAGTAGAAATATTAATTCTTGCTTACCAATTTAATTTGGCACTGACACGACACAATGTCAGTCGGCGCTGACACAAATTTGCTTTTGCTGCACTATTTTTACAAATTTTAAACTTAAAAATTTGAAGAACTAAATCTTCAAAATGTGGCTGAAGTGGGATTGAGCAGAAAGAGAAGTGATTAATCGCGGTTTAGGTTTTTTGTAAAATAAGTTGCATATAAGGGGGATAGGTGGAGGGCGCCATCAATCCAGCAATATAAAGCAAAAAAGAATTAAAAGCAAAAAAGCAATCAAGCAGTTCGTATGACCTGCTTTTTTGCTGTTTTGGCGAACTCTGAATGTCAGGAAATTTAGATCTACATGCTTATAAATATTGGTTACTCTTCGAAAAGTAACTTGGTGTGTTACATTATCCAGAGTAAAATGAACTTAGTTTAAGGTAAATTAGGGTACCCGATATGGGGGTTCCAAAATGCATAACTCGACTCAGGGTATATGCAACGAATTACACCGCATGATGTAAACTTTACCCTGTGCAGTCCACTCATACCCATTTTGAAGTTAAGTCACACCAAGCTATACCCCATCCATGGTATTATTTTCAAGGTTTCGTTAATGCCACTTTTTGGGGCCTAATGCCATGACACTGACATTAAGTGACAATAACCGACATTAAGTGGCATTAAGTGACAACTGACATCAAGTCATAAACTGGAGGAAAATAAGAGGGAATTCAGCGCGGATCATGAGACTTTACACCCCAGCCGGTTTGTTTTAAGGCAAAATTTGTTAAAATTCATCATTTCACATAATAAATTAAGACAATTTTAATTTTAAGGTGATATTGAGGGGACCTAGATCAGATATCAAGGCAACGTAATCCTTTAAGTGTGCAGAAAGCAGATAAACTATGCTTCACCAATAATTTTTATAAGCTTTTGCTCAATAAAAAGCGAATCAGGGACTACCACTGCGAAAAAGACAAAAGTCCCAGTGGGCAAAACTAGGGCGAATCGCTCATCGAAATCGTAGCGATTTTGTAGCGATTATTGAGCTACTTGACCGCCGATTTCCTGGGACATCGCAGCGATTTCTCAGCGAAATCGAGTAATCGCGAACAATCGTTGTGAAATCGCCACGATTACGATGTAGAAGTCGCTACGATTTCGCAGGTCATGTGTGTCTGCGATATCGTAGCGACTTCTACATCGATATCGTGGCGATTTCACAACGATTGTTCGCGATTACTCGATTTCGCTGAGAAATCGCTGCGATGTCCCAGGGAATCGGCGGTCAAGTAGCTCAATAATCGCTACAAAATCGCTACGATTTCGATGAGCGAGTTCTCCTCGATTTGCCCACTGGGGTCGTTTTTAGGAAATGACATAGGACATAAGAGAAAGTAGCCCGTGTCAATTTATTGCACCTGTGCACAGAAATTTTTCAAAATTATAATGGTTGCAAGTTTTGTAAATGTGCATAGAATTTTAGTATTTATGTAATAATTATCTGGCACTTGCACCTACATGTATAATTTACGAATTTTCAATAACAATGCAATTTACAATAACTTGTTTTTGTTACGATTGAATTTTTTAAATAGCTGAGAGTAGTTTAACTTGACAGTGGTATATTTTGAAAAAGATTAATATGATTCTTGGAATATAGATTTGTTGCTAGATTTGCTATTATAAATAGACAAGGAAACTGTGCTTCTTATTGCTCGCGAAAAATACAACAACATTTTGATAACGTTATTTTGCCTTAACAAAACTGGCTGGGATAAAAAATTTCATGATTGCGCTGATTTCCCTCTCACTTTGCCCCAATTTATGACTTGATGTCACTTGTCACTTAATGCCACCAAATGTCAAGTGACAACAACCGGTTTATGTCACTTAATGTCAGTGACTTAATGTCACTTGTCAATGTCACCCGAAACCTTGTCGGGGACACCTCGATCCGTCCTTTTGGATGGGTTACAGAATTTGGAAAAGGATCTTACTTAATTTTGGTTTGAAAAATTATAGCTATAATTTAATAAATTTCTTATTTGGCTGACAAGTTACGATCCTGATGCCTGCAATCGCAAATTAACTAATGGAGTCCAAACTATTGGGGGTTTGTAGTACCACTGGCCGCGGAAGATCAGTTAGACCGTGGGGACATAAATTTTCATGTTAATTCAAGAAAACTCAACATCTAACTGATTGATACAAAAATAATCAACTATTTGAATTACAATAGTTATAAATTTAATCAATTATCCTGAAATTGGAGGGGAAAAGCAATATTATTGCCGAATTTCAATATAATTTTGAAATTATAGTTTAAGTTGTCGTATGAGGTTGATGTTTTTGTACTTCAGTCCTTCTAAATCGTGGGGACAAATGCATTGCATGTCCCCACGATAAAATTTCCGTGGGGACAGTGTCCCTATGTCCCCATGCTTCCGCGGCCACTGTGTAGTACAGCAACATATATATCTATGTATAAGGCATTATTTACGATTTTGTGCTACATTCTCCTGTTATTACCATTTATGTACAATTAAATATTACTTAATTTAAAACTCGATTGTTTATCCTCACTTGGAAAAATACACAAAATTGTGTATTTTTATTCCATATGGTACAACCACAGATAGTTTAGATTTACGAGTAGATTAGCTAATGATTTAATTGCAAAAATGTATGGAAACATTAATCAATAATTGGGAATAAAGTTGGCGTGCATGTCTGTGGTAAATTAACTTTGATTTTGGTGAATTAGAGATTCGTAATGGGCTGCTTAATTTACTCAATTCTTGGCAGTGACGGTTTACACAAATCAAGACGTGTCTCACATTCTTAATTTATTGAGATCAGTTAAACTTGATTAGAACCAAATCACCCTTACTTACGAGTTAGTGTAGTCAACCGTTGCTAACTTGAGCATATTCATGTGGATATACATAAAACATTCATAATTTTTCAAGTTTAATGTGCTCCATGTAACTATATTTACTGACTATATGACTACATTCTACTTACCGTGGTGGTGACCTCTTCTCCCTTTATAATGAATAAATATACCCTAAATTTACGATCAGGATTTATATAGAAGCTGCTGCAAAAATTCAATTTGTCTCATTCCAACTCTATCCAGTTGCTCGAAATCCGTTGTTTTACAAAAGTTTCAGAAGATGAACTATCTTTTGTTTTTCGTTGCTCTCGCGGGTTTGGTCGTAAATTTCGGTTAATTAGCTTAACCTACATAAATATTTCATTACTAAAGACCCCCTAACTAAACTGAAATGACCGTTATTTTCTGTAGAGGCCTTCATTGCGGAAGGAGAATTATCAGAGAAATGGTCGACCGGGGATCAAGCCGGTATTGCGATTCGTGACCAGCTTTTTAGCAATCTATTCGACTCGTACAAGAGGGAAAACTATGCAGAAAATACCACCGTACAAGTCGGCGTTACACTTGCGGATGTCATATTTGTAAAGGAAAATTAACATTGAAATAAACTAAATGATACCGTTCGTCAACACACATATGCACAACACTTTTTAAGACAACACAGCTTATGTTTAATACTTCAAATCTTTTGGAAACACTAAATATTTGACTCCTCGTTGACTCATACTACCACATATTTGCAGGATAAACAGAACGACATAATGGATTCCAGAGTCTGGTTGCAACTCGTAAGGGACAACTTTCTTATTTACTCATACTATTTACCGCTTAAGACAGTAATTCGATTAAGAATGCTTTATTTTAGTCCTGGACAGACAACAGGTTTGCCTGGAACGAAGCTGAATTTCCTGTTTCGGTTTTGCGCGTTCCAGCCGAAAAAATATGGAGACCCGACGTTTTCCTTTACAATAGGTATGTTTAGATTGAATACATTTTCGCGAATTTTATCCTTGCTAATCTTCCACTGTTGTGGTCAGCCATCTCAGAGCCAAGCCTAGTTTGAACTGCTACGCGGCCAATGCACTAGTTTACCCCAACGGGAAGATATGGTGGGAGCCGGCTTGTCGACTTCAAACTTACTGCAACCTTACACTAGCCAGTGCACCGTACGACGAGCAGACTTGTGCTATGAGGTTCGGTAGCAGAACCTTCGACGGGGCAATGATGGGTCTAGAGCTTTGGGAGCAGGGCAATGTGAGTCCTAGAAACTTTTAATTAGGTTACGAAAACTTAAGGTTGAGTAAAAATCGGAGAGGCTAATCGATGGACGAAATAACACGACTCCATGTTATCTCTAATTGGTGTAGAAATTGCATACGAACTAAATTAAAAATTCAAACGTCAAGTTTTCCATAGCATTTTTGTAAATATAATTGTGGATGTGTATGCATAGATCACGTTTTGTTTGGAAGTGAGCGAATATTGTTAAGTATTTGTACATTCCCAGACTCCTATTCGCAACAGAAAATTGCTGATTTTTTTGTCTGCAGAGTACCTTGGCTGACGTATCATACTTTATCAACCAGAAATACAGAATCACCAAAAATGAAGCGATAAAAGAAGAGGAATTTTACGGATGCTACATGGAGCCCTGTCACACCGTTCTTTTCACATTAGGCTTTCAACGAGTGTTCGAAGGAGGCCCGACTTGTGCGAACCATTAAAAAATAACCGGATTAAATACTTTTGCTAAATAATTGCTTGTATTTGGATACAGTACCTAAAAATTTAAGTGGCGGGATTAAATATTTTACAATATTTCAACAGGATCAATTGCGCTGATTAATTTATTTCCAATTTTAAACTAAATATATATATCCATACTTTTACTAAGGAGGAGAACCTCACTAGTTGCCACACACATCTTGACGCCCCTTGGATATGTGGTAGTACCCCATGAAAGTGTAAAAAGTGTCAAGCGATTTCATGCCATGGCCTCATTTGCGCCCGCAACACCCCTTTGACGGCGCGCCAAATGCTAAATCAACGGCACTAAAACCTCCGCCAAAAATCCATTTTTGCTCGGATTTTCAAATAATCTACATATTCTTCATCCCATATAGTTGCTTTATCATATTCAATACCAATCTCAACTTTTTTGAAATTTTGCATTTTTTTAAGTTAAACTTAGGAAAGCTCAGAAAATTTTCGAAAATAGTGAAAATTTCCGTAAGGTCGAGATTGCTATTGAATATAACTATCTGAAACTATCTGGGATCAAGAATATGTAAGTTATTTTAATATCCGAGCAAAATTGGATTTTTGGCAGAGGTTTTAGTGCGGCTAGTTTATCATTTGGCGCTCCTTCAACATAAGTAAATATTACACCTCTCGCAATATGCAGTTGCGAGTTGCTTATGTACATAAGTTACTCGTTAAAGCTTGAAGTAGACAGATTTGTGTACGTGATGAAAGCTATTCGGAAAAACTTTTTCCGCGTTAAGCTTGAGGTTGACGGATTAAGTACGTGTTCTGCCGTACTGTGTCATCCTCCTGGGAATTTTGTAGCTTTTGGCTTGATGTTAAGCACCCGTAATAAATATTGTAGGACGTTGCTCATCAGTTATATTCTTCAAGCTCTTTTGTCAAAATCTGTCATTTACAAATGTCAAACTTAAACATTTTGTAACACTCAGTCCAAATGATTTTCAGGTCTCTGAAAAAATTAGAAAACTATCTTCAAACTTCATTCCTACAATCAATTTTAAACTGAGGGTCATTGACGAATTTGTCTAAACACTAGTCCTGCAAGACTGTTTTTAATTGTCTTCAATCTCAATTAAAAGAAAATTGTGAATAATCTCAACTGTATTTAGAAGTCATGAACGTAAAATGTCTAACTCAATGATTTTAAAATTTTTTCCACCAATGTTCCTATTGATTAAATTTTCTTATTCAATTGAAAAAACTTTTGCTCCGGTTCACGATATATTGTCTCATTGCCCATTTACCCTCATCACGCTTGCTAATAAGATTCAAGTACTTCCTGTCCATCCTTTAACAATATATGACGAAAATTTTATGCCAGTCCGAATTACTAATGGGTATAGCCATTTCATACTTCAAAAAGTTTCATTCATACGTTGAAGGCAACAAAGCCCGTTCTGTTGGACATTTGTCTTCCCGCATGGGGGAAAACTTACCTTAATGGACCGTAATTTGAACCAATCTCCAATATTTCCTCGCATCTTTGGGTCAGCTTATCCTATTCAAATCCTATGGACTACGTTATACGAACATGTTCATCACAACTTGGATCTGATTTACCGGTATTTAGTCTCATGTCCCATTGAAACTTTGGGAAGCCGTGAATTCTACGTTGTCATACAAGGTTTAAAGTTTTATCACTTAAATCGATATAAACGACCCTTCCTGGCGCATCCACAGGTAGAAAAATCTTCTGAAATTTTGTGCAAACTCGGAGGCAGTACCGAATGTTACTGTGGGGTAAGGAGAAGCATATGAGGAGGATTGGAAAGAAACTAATTGAATTTTTTAAACTCAATTAAACCAAGGGTGCGAAAAAAATTTGCATGCTGGTCCGAAATTTTTGGGTACTAAGCAACAGTAGACAATTTGGAAGTGGAATTACACAGCTGAGCAAAATGTTTAATTGTAAGCTAACTTATTTATTACGTATTACAGTTTGCATATTGTTGAGTTAAAATTCATTCTTTAACTGAAAACACTAAAATTTATCCATATGCATTTTAAATTTTCCATTAACAAAATGATTAACTCCCTCATTTCAAATTTGACCGTTTTATCCCACCTATTCTAACGCATTTACACAATTCTTGCCTCCCTTTTAAGTTCTCCCATACAAAAAGGATCCAACAAAGCAGGAGCAATGTCATTAATAGTCTCACAAAACCCATAAATGCGTCCTTACCTATCTTATCAGTGTCACTATCAGTCATTCGTCTATACTTGTTGCACAGCATAATTGTCTCATTACTTTTGCTATTTTCATTCCCTGCGGCACAATTATATTTCCCCCTAAAATCCTTCCTTTCCCCGTACTCCTGCGATTTGTAGTAATACTCCTGCCACTTTTCATAAACTCCGCCTTCATATAGTCCCATCACTTTACTTGTCAACACCGGAAATGTGAAATGTCTACTGAAGCTCCACTTGTACATCATGGTAAAGTTCATACTAGGCCGCGCAACATTCATAATGAGCCGATAGGATGGAAAAAATCTCTTCATAAACTGACCCATTTGCAATAGTCGGTCATGGAAATCCAGAATAATCAATTTTTCCCTCGAAACTGTTCTATTATTCACAACCAATTTCTGTAACACGCTGTCGGTGAACAACTTACTCGTCGTCTTAACCTGAAACCAATTTGCTTCATCGTCTTCATCAAAGTCGTCAAATTTTTCCAAAAGTTTGAAAATATCTGGAGTCACAAACACATCGAGATTCTCCATTGTCTCTTTCAAAAATGATATTAATTCGTACAGTTCTTTATATCGCGTCGTAACCACGTCCAAATCACTGTTGACGAGTTCATTCAAATCGCTTGGAGCAACTATCACCACTGGCGTTACTACGATCGACATCAACACCATTTTGTAACAATTGCTGAATCCGAAGGCTAGGAACAGCCAGCAAACTGTAAGAATTCCAAGTATCCACTTGCTCCTCTCGGGATCAATGGCTTGTTTAACTTTACATGATGTTCTAATCTTTAGTTTGGCCAGCGAATCTATCACTTGCTCCAACAAGGAGGAATACACGGAAAAGAGGGAGTACGCTAAATTATTCACAATTATTTTTAAATATCCCGCACTCTTTACTTCCAGCAGCGGTAATAGCGCTGATCTTGTAACCGCTGTAATCACCCCGCACGAGATCAGACTGACCCAGACCTTCCAGTGGAAACACTTGATAAGACTGACCACATTAAAATCCTTTCCAACCAGATTGCCATCAAGGATAAGGGCGTACGAAAAGTAGTCAACTTTAGAATGAACGTGCACCACGTCGTACCGCTCTTGCAGCGTTCGCATCTTTTTGAACGACCACTCTTCGTAAGCGCGGTAATTCACGTAGTAAATGTTGCTATAACTTATGACCGCTTGTCTCTCGATGTTTTCATCTTTCGCGTCTGGCGTGAAATTCAAACTTTTACGAATCTCGACAAAACAGCAGGTCGAAGCAATAACACGATTTGATATGGATCCCAACGCGCAATCCTCCCTCGTCACGCCAGCGGCGGCAGCATTAAAAAGTAATACCGAATGCTGATGGAAATTGGTGTTTACGGTTTTCCAATTTTTCCACATTTCTTCCAGAAAATTGTCATCACCCTTGTTCTTCACCAGGGTCAACATTTCTGCTTTTTCACGACAGTGTAAGCATAACGTTGACATGATATCGTTGACCGGATTGTAAACAAAATGTGGTGAAGGGTTGAAATATTGGAACGCTCGGATACCGTACAATGCCAATTTGGGGCTTAAAAATATCCATGGATACACGACACGTGAGATTATTTCTTCTCGCGACATGTTGCTAACGATTATGGTAAAATCTGCGATTCGATTCAGATTAGAGAGCAGGTTTTCCCGAAAGAAAATATTTTTCCAGGATTTTTGAAGGCTGCCATCTTTTTCGGGGTGAGGCAGGAAATAAAATTTGACGAAGCAGGTGGAGTAGGTTTTTCGGTGAAAGTCAAGTTTTTTAGAATCATCGTGCCATATGGGGTTCCCTGAAAATATTTCAAAAATCTTACAGTGAATGTTTCCCAGTAGATGCCCTTCGATTTGGACCAAATTATTATCCGTCGATCACAAATTTAATTAGTTCATATATTACGAATGACCCGATCTCCTAGGTTTGGTGGAAATATTTGCATCCATATATTTGCAGGAGGGTAAATGGATCGGTAACTTCGAAAGCTGCAGCATTTGTCAACTTTAAGACGCTTAAATCCTCCTTGGATGCAAATATCTTCGTCATTCCAACCTAAACATTCTGAGATCGTGTCTTCTACAAATTGGATATTAATTACGTTTTTGATCGACTGACTCAAGTCTCGCAAAAATCTGGGAGCGTACGCGGGAGAACCCCCATTGCTATGTAGCCTAGCACAATTTTCTAAACATCATTATTATATATATCTACGCAATGCAATTTTCTACTAAATATGTAATTACGTAGGTGAGAAAATTAAAATTACTGTGTATCTCAGGAATCTCATGCAGCGTGTGATGTACCCTTAGAATAACTGAAATTTGCAGTGCTTCCCTCAATTTCGAAAAATAAATCCACTCCACGCCCCCATTATCAAGATTTACGGTTACTTGAGCAATACAGGTAGAAAATCCGGTCAGCGAAGCGGAAGAAAATAATGTGGAAATATGTAAATAACAAATGATGTAAAAGAAAACTAAATAATTCATTTTAACCAAAAACCACACCTCTGCTAAGCTTACAGAAAATTAGCTACTTCACTTATAGATTAACTAACACATCCCACCTTAACTGGACCGTGTTGGTTAGGTATTGGCATTTTATTTGTAACTTTTGCAACAGTCTCGTAAGGATTCAACCGCGCAATACCTGAATACATAGAGATGAAGCTTTCGATAGTAATTCTGTTATACATACTTTTAAAACTAAGATTACCCTTTTGAAAATATTAATACACTCTAAATTCAGTATTGTATACAAAAAATCATTTATATGTACTAAATCCATGGAAAACTGAACTCTTCTCAAATTATCTCTAACTTGGTGAAACTACATATATAAATATTTTAAGGGAGTTCTGTAAAAATTTTTATTCTTAAGTTTTTATTCAAAGTTACGTTTTTATTCAAATTTAAGTTTTTATTCAAAGAGCGGAATGAATGCGAATGTAATTTGTACACCGCTTTCTATATTCTTTGAAATACTCGTGTGTAGACAAGCGTACGTCCCTGCCATGGTCGTGAATGGAAATATTCACCGTATAATCTCAATAGTAAACACTTTTCCAACCCCAATGCCTAATTTTATTTTGTTGTACTGAATTGAAACCAATAATGCCGATATTTACATATTATTCGTCACTTTACATATTCTCGCATGTGAAAACTTTATTAAAAGAGCGCTTTACATGAATGCATCTATGGACGATTTGCATAATTTATTTCGCACGTTGAAATGTTGAATAGTATACTACACGCGTTGTTATAAACGTCAGAAACTTATACGCCTGGGAACTTGACGGTGTGAAATTTTGTCAAATAGAATTTTGAATAAAGTTCTTGTTGCTAGTTTAGGTAGGTAAATTTCAGTGCATGTCTTGATTTGGAACATTGCTAGATATACAAATTGAATATTACGTCGACAAGTCTACAGCATTGATTGTGAACGGTTTGCATTCCCAAAGGTAGGAGTTGAATAACCTTCACAATTTTAAAATTTTTGGAGATAGATACATATTGGAACATGTATACCGTACTAGTTGAGAATTTTTTACTGTGTATAGTTTACAGATTATTAATTATGATCAAAACTTCTACAGATCTGTAAACATCCTCATGTTAACTTCAACTCAATACGACGTGGCTACATGTCAGAAACTACACAATACTAATTAACATAAAACTTGACATTATTAATAGTTAATTAATCCATTAATGTTGGCTGAATAAGTATTGTTTAATTTAATGTTAGACTAATAGATACATACTTCGAGTGTACATCTAACCTTTAGTTTCTACGTGGTGAGTTCAAAATATGTGCTTGTTTCTCAAAATTTAAATAAAATCCGAAATTTACCAAAATTTAAATAAATTTAAAATAATATCCATCACCGGGTTTAAATCACTTTCTCCCCTTTGTTAATTTGCTTTTCTCCAACAAACACCCGGCCACGGTAAGCAAACAGGGAATTACAAAAATTACAGAAAAAAATTGTTGAACAGGTTGTTGAAGTGCAGTAAATATTTCACATAATTGATATACAAATTTCTTAATTGTACCATCACCCGATCCCGTTGCTAGTTGTACCTGTTCAGCAACTGCATCGTCCTTGATTTTATAAATTTTCCTCATACAAGCCTCCATTTTGCTTTAGACTTACAATGCGATGGTGTGAAGTGTAACCCTCCGATTTGGGTGAAATTTTAAAATTACGTGGTCCAAGTCAATACAAGAAACGTTTCTTGAGGCAGTTTCTGCGATGGTGGGAATTGGTCGAAATATTTGAGGTCAAAGTTGAAAAATGGGCGATTTTTCCCTTCGAAGCGAACGGGAGAGGGGTTTGCTTCCTCCGCTTGGTAAAAATCGCCCGTTTTTTAAACTTTGACCTCAAATATTTCGACCAATTCCCACCATCGCAGAAACTGCCTCAAGAAACGTTTCTTGTATTGACTTGGACCACGTAATTTTAAAATTTCACCCAAATCGGAGGGTTACACTTCACACCATCGCATCGTTAGTAAATGTTACCCTTCGCTACCTCAACGCGTCTTAAATCTCCCTGCCCTACCTTGTCTCTTCGATCAGGTAATTTGTTTTCAATACTACCAAACTCATAATATTTATAACTTAACTACGCTCTCAACTGTACCGGACATTACAGCCAGCGTGGCGTCTGCCATAGCTCGTCGCTTGGTTGAATCTTTTATTTTCTGCAGTTCTGCAATGTCGCCAATCTTGGAAACCTTCTGTGCCAGGACGTGGCATAAGCGTTCCTTCATTTGGTAAAGCGCCTTTCGTAGTTCCCTCAACGTTCGCGTAACTTTGTAAATATGGTCGTCAAAGTTGTCGTTGTCCTGGACGTTTTGTTCGAAGTACGCGCCAGACATTGTTTTATTAATGGACCCACGTGCCGATCGAGCTATCTCAATTGCCTCATCAAGTTTTTTTATGACGCTGTACGCAATAGTTAAGTCCGTCCCGTAGTCGCCATTTATCGGTTTCTTTAGTGTAGAATTGGCTTCTTCGAGTGATGGCGATGAGTAGCTGGTATAATTTTTTTCTATTTCGTCGTACCGTGAGTTTTGCATAAACCTCAGTTACTTAAGTTCATTATTTTTTAGGTCGCAGGTTTCAAGGATATCTTTGTAAATTTGGTCTCATTCAAAATCCAGTCGTTCCTAATGAAGAAGTATGAATGAACGAATGAAGAAGTCAGAACTGAAGAGATTCATTCAGTCGTTTTCATTCAAATTCGTTTCATTTTACTTCATCGGACTTCATTTCTTCGCCCATTGTACTACACTCAAAATAAACTGGTGTCAATCCAGCGCGGTGTAGTCACATATAGACCCCACGCGGTGTTAATTGCCCGTATTAACACCGCGCGGTGTCTATATGTGACTACACCGCGCTGGATTGACACCAGTTTATTTTGAGTGTAAGCATAGGGTGAAAAATTCTTTTATTCACAGTCATTCGTCTGAAATGACAGAATCCTTCAATTATTATAATACCAATGCTATAAATTTCATTTTCATTCACTATCATAATCAGTCACATGAATGAAAATGAACAGGTTTAGCAGGTTTATGAAATTGGGTGATAATTTTTGCGAAATAATTAAATATATAAATGTAGACGACTTTATTTATATGTCACAAATTTAATAATCCATTTTGATCTTTGCCTTGATTAAGCTCTTGCATCTCGTGTGGTCCATCTCATCGCAGATTGGTTGGGTCATACCGCTCGAAATATGTGGACGATTTCATGAAAGTGTCAAGAAACCCCTTAAATCTTGGAAGAATATGAAATTTCGCACTTTGGAGGAGAAAGCGTACATGACCAGATTCACGAAGGCTTGCCGACCATTAAAGATTGGAAAAGAAGGTTTATTCATAATTTCGAAATTAACCGTGCTCAGGTTTATTAAAACTATTGTGAGAGGAACGATTCGAGCAGTGACAACGATGGGGAAAGTTCGATAGGTTCATGTTTTGGGGGTATTTACATGTTAATACATATGCATTTGAATTTCTCCAAATTGTATCTAATTTGTACTACTAAATTATTATTCCACTGTATCATTAAACTAGAAAACTGGGGTCGGGATTCGAGGCAGTGGCCAGATTCTAGTCCAAAATAATTTTTCGAATTATTTCCAGTGAAATTTGGACCAGTTTGACACAAAAGTCAAAATTTGCAAAAAATTCGCACATTTTGGCTCTTATCTCGAAATCCAACAATGGACCTCCCCAATTTTATGACGGATTATTGATCTAATCAATTTTACGCAAATTTTGAGCTATCTAACTTGAAAATCGTTAGAGCGCGAAAAAAACTATTTCATTGTATATCTTATTATTGTTATTATCGTATTTTAATATGTTTAATAATTGGATTATACGGAGCTTTAATGACAAAACTAAGAAACTGTTTGCTTTAATGTCAATCTCTCGAATCCTTTCTGCCATTCATTAATAAAGGTGCGAAATTTGTCACAAAGATTTAAAAAAAAAAATAGTGGTTACTTTTTGGGAATTCAGTAAAATTGTTATAATGTTTGTGGCGTTGGTATTACTACGACGGGTTTGTAGTCATAAAAAAATAAAATATGTTCATTATAATATTTCATTATATTCAAAATATTTCCATATGTTTATCATACAACTGTTGCTGTGGATTTTATGATGTTCCATTAATTTTTTCAACTATTCAGACAGCATTTAGATGATTGTGGTTAAGGTTTACGAATCTTCATTTCAACCCTTTTGATCGAGTATTCGGGCCCCTTCCAATGGTACTAATTTATTCCCGTATAAGGTTTATCCTCCCGGCTGGAAGCATAATACAAGGAGTTGAGCTGGCTCTAAAAATCGAACATGTTATAATAAAGCAATACAATGCGCGGTTTTATTAAAATTGACGGGCATATAAATACCTCAGAACAATTCCAGTACCACCAGCCACCCCGGCGTTGGGAAGCACAATTTCCATCGTCGTATTCATCATTGTCACTGTCATATGTGCATAGATCGGATATTTTGTGTACTCCGACCTCCGGCCAGCCACGCGTACTCCGACCTCCGCGTACTCCGGCAAACCTCGCGTACTCCGGCCTCCGGCAAACCTCGCGTACTCCGGCCTCCGGCAAACCTCGCGTACTCCGGCCTCCGGCAAACCTCGCGTACTCCGGCCTCCGGCAAACCTCGCGTACTCCGGCCTCCGGCAAACCTCGCGTACTCCGGCCTCCGGCAAACCTCGCGTACTCCGACCTCCGCGTACTCCGGCCTCCTGAAAAAGTCGCGTACTCCGACCTCCGGAGGTCGGAGTACGTACTCCAACCTCCGGAGGTCGGAGTACGTACTCCAACCTCCGGAGGTCGGAGTACGTACTCCAAGCCCGGAGTTCTCCGATCTATGCATATGTGGTGAATTTCTTCCCAGAATTCCGACTAAGGGAATCCCCTGCAAGAAACAAGATTCAGTAATCAATAATTAGTTACCATAATCAAAGTAGGATGTTAGGACATAAAATTGGACGCTTTCATGACATTGGACTGAGGATTAGAGGCGCTCGAAATCTTTATAGTACTACACACCGAGCAACGATTCTAGGTAAAGACTTATGGTCGCAACTGACGATAAAAAATAGTCACTAATGCAAAAGTCCAAAACGTCATTCTAGGTATTTCAAAAAATCACTAACCTGCCGTTCCATTGTATCCGCTCACTGTTAAGTTGTACTTATCCTGTGCACCGCCCACTTTAAATTCGCTATATGTCGCGTATACTTTGTTTCCACCCCAATCCTCGAGATCAACCCGCAACTGTGTATATTCCGCCTCTGTTAGCTCATGGATTGTTTGCAAACCTAGATTTAATATTGATTATTTACTCTTTTCACAGGTCCATTTTTAGTTTATCCAACCGAGATATTTTTTATCTAACCAATCCAGAAATCCTGGCCATAAAGGGGGAGACCAAAACCATTTACATAATCGGTTAAATTCCTTTCGAAATCGGTTGTGTCATTCCATCCTGCGTTTGGAGTACCTCTTCGCTGAATTGTGATCCACGCTTGGTCGCAAATTAGCTGTAGCGATGAATGAATTTATTAAAACTTCCTGTATAGGAAAGGTATTTTCAAATTTTGATGGAGCACAATTCAAATTGTCTAAGTAAAAGAGCGCTAAAACATTTCTGGATTTTCTTGAAGTAGGTGATTTTACCCGAAAAAGAAGGATCTTTTTGAATTGTATCCTACTTAAAAATTTGGACAATTTGTCCGATTATTTCTACTTTAAAATTACTTTAGTCCAAATCGAAGGACGATTACTGGAAGTTCTAAGTGGTACCCCATATTTAATTATGCATGAAAATTCAAAGTTAGCAATTACTTGCTTTATGGGAAACGTTGAACTAGCACGATCTAAATCATCCCCGCAGAATTTCGTCTCGCCATGTTGGCCGCTAGTCTTCAGGTGTGGGATTTCGGATGCGTTATATTGGTATGGTCCTGCACCCTCCAGGATGGCCCCAACGCTTATAAGTAATTCGGCAGTAGAATTCCTTATTTCCTCCAAGACTGCGGCCTGATCCTTTTGAACGGTAAGGATTTTCTCAACAAATTGGCACGTCTCGTTAAATGATGACTGTTCAAGAAGAGATATTAAGATAATAAGTTTCGTCTTAATTTTTACAACTATCTACAATACTTTGTAAGTGAGGACCATAATTAATTCTTAATTGAAATATAATCCCGTGGCTGGTACATATTTATCAATATACTGAATGAGAATATTTCAGGTCTCTGCATTTGGAGGGGGGTTGCTTCGGAGATGAATTCGATGTTACTAAAGGTTGTGTCAGTTTATTCGATTTCTGAAAAAAATTAAAAATCCCGACTTAGAGAATTCGCAAAATTTACGCTGGATTTTTAATTTGTAACTCATGACAACGTGCAAAAGTCGAGCGTAAATTTTACGATTTCTTCAAGCCTGGATTTTTAATTTAAATCGAATGAACTGACACAACCTGTAGTAGGATCGAATTCATCCCCAAAGCAACCCCCAAGTGCAGAGACCTTGATGTATACGTGTTTGAAAAATTTAAAAGTCCTCTAATGGAAATATATATTGTTATTACGTGGTTGATGTTAAATGGTTCAAATCATGCTTAACAAGTAGGAGCGAGCACACTCTTAATAATCCGGTAAAGTCTCGCAGGTAATGATTTCTCAGTAATAAATTCGGTAATAATACTTTACCAAGTAGTGGAAATTCGATACCATGATGGTGAAACTTTACTGCCAAGCCATTATCACATTATGGTACAACTTATCATTTCCACCTTGGCAGAGTCATATACTTGTCCTTTTCAGTAATGTTTATTACCAGATTATTTATAGTGTAAGACTCGATATGAATATTTTTCCTAATCAGTTGGCCAAATTTTTGAACGACAAAAAATTACCTGCATCGACCTCCGTTTCCTTCCATGCTCTTTTTTTCCCTCTTGACTTTGTTCTTGCTTATTACTCGCTCCATTGATTAGTGTTTGCAAATCAGATTTTAATCCATCCAATTTCGCGTTAAATCTGGTCTCCAATGCGGCCAGGTCGTCTTTCGTGGGAATTTTGGATAACCGATCGGAAAACTTTGTGTAGAAAGGTAAAATCATTTTAATGTTAAATAAATGCATAAATTTAAACAAACTCACCACTTTCAAAAGATCATTCACGTTCGGCTGGTCACCATTCTGATCCGCACTTTCTATCTAAACGAATCCAAAGATTACTGCGAATTTCTCGGTATTAAAGTTGCTACCGCTTGGTCATAAAATTATACCGGCCCGTAAAACCTTGCCTCCGATATGGTAACATTTTAGTATCGAGATCTACATATTACTACATACAGCGTATTCCTTATCACATCCACTTACTTTGCTAGCATGATATACTTATGAATATCGTTTGGTATTATTTTAATACTGGATTTCTAAGAGTGTAGGTAATACTCAAAATTTTAACAAATATTCAGATACTTACCACCTTACAAGATCCACTAAATACGAGGAGGAGGATTAAATGCGATGTAAAAGTCATTTCGCACGAATATTTCAATGTGCATCTGCCTTTTGCCACGGCCCAGATTAGAGTAAAACTTATCGCGTATTTGTTACTGTATTTATTAATCGATTACAGAAGTACATACGTGGACATGTATAAGTATTTAATTATGTGAATATTATGAGTACATATGCTAATTATGTCCATATGCATGTAGAGTGTATTATGTAAATTGTGTGGAAGGATATTCTCTTCTTGGAAATTTCTTACAGATAGATTACTGCGAATTTGATTTAGCAGTAATACATACACTACTTTTGCCCAAGAGCAAAGTTCGAGCCCACAAAAAAGCAAATGCATACTTCTGCAACACACGTCGGGATTTCTTACTATGATTTGCATCTTATATACATATATTATTTATTTAGCTGCCATGTAAGATCGCGCATGAGTACACCATCGGTACAAAAGTCAATTTTTTCCTTTACAATTTTTCTAAATGTGACCTGGTAACACATAATAAGTATAATTCCACTGTGTACGTGTACCACTGCCACGAAGTCAGTCTAAGCGTGGTTCCGAAAACTTATCATGATAAGTAATTGTGCAAAATTACAGTTCATTCTCTCAAGCTTCTCAAACAATAGCATGCTTCGAGTTGAAAAAGAATGAGGGTGTAATGACTTTTGGCCCATACTGTACTTTATCTTCTTCACTTTCAGACCAAACTTTACGTGAAAGGATTAAGTTTTATCCATTCATATACAGAGAGACGGAAAATACGGATAAATCATGGGTCAACTCCGCCGACAGGATTTTAAGCGCCGCCGTCGATACGTCGAATTTCATATTCCTTCAACATTGAGACGCCGCTCCGAAAACTTCTCGAAATTGTCAACGCCGCCGCCAAATTGTTCCGCGTTGACTGACCTTTGGGATAAATAAGGCTTGTAGTTTTTCCCAAATTCCTCCGTTGGCCTCATGTCCTGGGCTGGATTGTGCGTGTGCGTGTGTACCCTGAATGTATTAGTTATTATTGAGTAGAAAAGTAATTGAGTAAGTACATATTTAATTTACCTCAGCACTACTCACATAAACGTCAGCACTTTAAGAATTTTTTTTTCATGATTTTTATGAGCCTTGTGCACGTATATATGTTTGCGTATACTCACTTAAGAACGAATGGAAATGTGTGTAATTTTTACGCAAAGTAACATTTCGAAAAATAGTTTATGGTAGTCGACTGATAAAAAATCGCTACATAAACGTGTGCAATTGGTAGCCAAGAAGTTAAGGAATGAAGTTGGATGAAGTAAAATTAAATATCTACAGTCTAAGTCTGAAAGAAAATGACTGAATATGAATGAAAATCCACGGTCACAAATTGGGATGACTGACTTTTAAGTGAAATTTGTTTTGATCAGGTACATAGATATGTATGCCTGGGGCACCCTTATCTCTAGAACGGATTGATGAAATTACGCATTCATACTTGTCTATTGAAATTCAAATCACTTTTGTTTCAAAGCTCGGACAACAATGCAAAAACCAACAATGTTTTTAATGTTCAAGTGAAAGCAATCACTCCCCATTCCACAACGGAATTACGCATAATGCAGGCTTGTGAATCGTAAATGCACCAATTCCAACGAGGAATTGGAAATGTTTTCCACGTTTTTTAAAAAATCAATGGTTTATGCAGGTTTTGACCAATGTATTATTGGAGTATTTATTTATACATGTTGAAAAACGACTACATAGAAGGTACAAAAAATAAGTCTCGATACGCCTGGGGTATCAGTTTGCTAGTTACACATCTACTTATCAAATATTTACTAAATATTCACATTTTTCCCCTTTACATTTTTATCATTTCAGTTACCCTGGTATCCAACGCCACAAACATGACAAAATTTTTTATCAAATTTCAAAAACTAGCCACTAATTTTTCCACAATCTTGTGACCGGACACATACATATGCTGGAAATGGATGGCAGACAGCATTCGTATTATCGAAAAATAAATTACAAAAATTTTTTGCATCGCTTTTCCACTGAATTCCAGTGTAAATTAATTATTATCAAATATTTATTGTAGGGGCCCTACAGCCTATCAAACCAAGTTTAATAAATAAAATTGAAGTATCAACGATGCTTAGGAACGCATAGATCGGATATTTTGCGTAATCGGTACCCCGCGTACTCCGTACTCCAGAAAAAGTCGCGTACTCCGGCCTCCGGGGGCCGGAGTACGTACTCCACAGCTCGGATACTCCGATAGGAACGTGTAGCAACGTCCTTCAGACCGTATTCATCCCAGGGCTCGAACACTCTTCGAACACGTTGCACAGCCCATGATCCTACAATCCTATATGTACCAACGAAGCCTCGTCGAATGCAAAAACAATTTTTGATTTTCGAGCAGAAGACTAGCGCTCGTGTAAACCTGCAACAATTAGTAACCTATTAATGATGTGTGACTGTTTGAGGACATGTCTTACCGCTTTCAGGTGAACCATTTTCAGTGAAGTAAATTGGACACCTTCCGTTGTTAGGGGTAGGGTTAAACAGATTTTGGCTGCACCAATTTGAATGGTACTTTTCACGTTAGCTGCCTAACAGATTCCAACCGAAATCGCCTCCGGTGTCCGCTTTCCGCCAAAATGTTCGCCTTTTCAGTGCTTCCGTCCCAGTTAAGAGTTGCGACTCCAACGGGCTACCAAGGACACGAATGATATCGCCACAGACTTGTACACTCTAAACAAAAATAACTAAAATTTACTCAAGGTTGAGTAAAAAAGAGGATGACACAACCGAAAGGTAAAATTTGTCCAACGTTGTGCAAAATTTACCCAACGGATGGACAAATTTTGCCCAACGGTTGGGTAAATTTTACCTTTCGGTTGTGTTATCCTCTTTTTTACTCAACCTTGAGTAAATTTTAGTTACTTTTGTTTAGAGTGTATATATACATACTTAGATGCACAGACGGATAGGCCTGCATGTACAGATTTGGAGGCTGTCATGTTCATAGTTACATATTAAGATAGCCTTTGCTCAAAATCCGTCAAAAATTGCCGTCACCTTCCAGTCATGCTATACTTAGCGAATGTAGACTACAATACAGTGACTAGAGGGTGACTGGAAATTTTTTCGTGTTTTGAGCTGCAGGTCTGTCCGTGTGGGCTAACTCATAACACACAATACCTGGTGCGCTTGGATATAGCTTCCAAGCGCCTCCGGCTTCCGCTCCGAATTCCATCTCAAGTTGGTCTGGATTCCGTTAGCCGGCCTTAAATTTTCGCTTCAAACTTTCTGAGCCTCCTCCCCCGAACAGGATTTGTGCATCCACCTTCCAATGCTTCCGCCTCCGATCAGAACTCAACCGCTGACGCCACACCATAGCTCCCAAGTGCCTGTAACCCCGCTTCTGACCAAAATTAGCGCTTGTAAATATCCCTGTACATCTCCGCTTCCGTCCAAAATTGTTACTTCCAAGTCCCACCCTTTCTATCATTGCTGCGTCCGACTTCCCGGTGAATCTAAGGTTCACTATCACTATTACTACTACTATCATTAGAATTAACCGGTGTGTGTGATTCTTGTCAAATTTTTTCATAACGTGTTTGTAAATACATGTATGTTTGTTGCTCTTATGACTCAAAAAATATCTTTTTAACCCATCAAACCCTGTTCCGCTACTTTCTTCTTGCTATGAAATAGAAAAACAAGTGTTAAACAAATGAATTAAAAATTAGTAAAAAATCCTAATTATTTTAATCTTGAAACTAATCCCAATCCAAAATATTTTTGTAAAGTAATCTAATCCGAACCGAATTCATTCTCCGAATCCATGTTTTCATTAAGTCTAACCCCTAATCTATTTCAAGAGTTTAATTTCAAATTCGTAATCGGAGCAAAAAAAGATCTAATCTCCCAGCTCCAACTCAGTTTTTTTTTACTCAGGAATTTACTTTCCTCAGTGCTGAGCAAACTGAGAATTAGTTGGGATTATAAAGTCCAATCAAAGGCACGAAACTACACTATAATCCACAATCGCTTGTCGGTTAACGGATAAATCAAGGTCTACACATCCCTTCTCATTGGAACATTTAACCCTGCTGGGAGTACCCTGTCGGCTAAAAAAATATTCTAACCCTTGTAATTCTTCTTTCTTGAAAGATGTACATTTAAATGCGACAGTTGTCAATCTTTTCGCAATCAAAGAATCCCCCAGTTTTCGGTAAAACTCTGAACAGTCTTCTAACTCTTCGAAACTGATGGCTTGCAAATTCTGACCAAAGATAAGTCCTTCTGAAATTTTGGAATCATTCGGTAAACGACAGACGGCATTTCCAACAAATGAAATTTGCATAATGTGACAAAATTTGTTAAGGAACGCTTGCAGCTCGAAATTTGTTAACGTGACAAAAATGATAGGTCCAGTGACCCGCTCAGAACATCGGATTTCTTGCGCTTCATTTAGTATTAAAGGTTCAGTTATGATTAAAATCGTTTCGGAATCGTGACATAGGTCGAGTTTCGGCTTATTCCAGTTTGGAATAAGTTCAGTTGCGTTGGCGGGAGAATAGGTATCATCAAATTTTAGCGATGGATTCATTGTGCAGAAGGATTTTGGCGTTCCGGTTGTCGTTGAGGGATTATAAGTGGTGCTTGAGATATTGGTATTCTGCATCTCGTTGATTTGGCTATGACACACTATGGTCGCAGAAATTGCATAAGTCAATAACATATTTGCAGCCAAAGTTACTAACAAGATGGCGCCTTTGATTAGTACTTTTCTATTTAATTGCTTTAGTCCCTTCGTGTGGGTCCACCTACGATTTTGCGTTTTTCCTGTTATTGAATAAAGATATATAACAATTAGATTTACTTTAAATCATATAATCCCATTGTGTAATACAGTTAAAGTCATAATTATACTACCGGGTTTTAATCTGGTGTATCTCAAAAGTGCCGAAGATCGTAATTCTAACTTTTTTCATTCGTAAAGCACACAAAGGTTGGTTGCAGATCGTGGTTACGAAAAACGATGGGGAAATCAAGGGTCAAAATTTTTGACATAAAAGTAAATTTTTCAACTATCACTGTTATTTTTTTTCTGTTTGGTTTTATTTTTGTGTTGTCTGCCCAACTCAGGCTGCCGATTTTTAAATCTTGTTCATTTCTCGTTTAAACAAAGTAATGATTTTTTCGAAATTCACTTCACTGGTTAGTAGTACCCGATCCCCGCCTACTTTTGTTCTGTCCTTCTGTTTATGTGAAATTATATCAGGACTCCACGCCGTCGATTTTCACCGACACCCGATTTGAGGCGCTGCCGCCGCCAGAAAAAAATTATTTCATGCAATGAAAAAGAGTTAAAAAGGTCGAAAATGTCGAAATTTTAGTTTGGACAGTTTCGTTTTTGGTCGATATTCTTTCCCTCTACACTGCAAATAATTTGGTGTAAATTCGGTGCGGCGTAGCCACATAGGCACACCGCGCGGTAGCAATCCGGGTAAATTAACACCGGCGGTGTTGATATGTGGTGTAGCCACATATCAACACCGCCGGTGTTAATTTACCCGGATTGCTACCGCGCCGTGTGCATATGTGGCTACACCGCGCCGGATTTACACCAAATTATTTGCAGTGTAGAGCGACCAAGCGAGGTTGATGAATTTTGATAATAACCTCCTAACGTCAAGGGACAGGATGAATTCGAAAATGGACACTGCAGCTCATAACCTTCAAGGTAAAAAGGTCACGAAATGTCAAAGGTCAATTTAAAGGTCAAAGCAAAGACAAATATCAATTTGAACTGAAATTGAACCCCGAATTAAATGGCGACCTCCATTTTGACTTCAGGGGTCACGAAAGGTCACTTTAAGGTCACATAAAGGTCACCAACCGTTAAATTTAATAAGCATGTCAACTTGAACTGAAATTTAACTCGGAATTCAATGGTGTCATCTATTTTTATATCAGAGGTTATTATTCGGTCCTGTTTACTTAAGCACAAGCACCAGACAAATGTGCAGTAGAAACCGTTTCCCGCCCGTAAGAAAGACATGGGAGGGAAGTGGTGCACCACGGCCACCACCGCTGCCTATTTCCTACGGCCGGTGAGCGGTTTCTACTGCACATTTGTCTGGTGCTTGTGCTTAAGTAAAGAGGCCCTAATAATACGAAAGGTTACTTGAAGGTCACATAAAGGTCATGAACTGTTGGATTTGACACATATGTTAATTTGAACTGAAATTTAACCCCATATTCAATGGTGACCTCCATTTTCACCCAATGGTTACATTCTTTGTAACAGTTTGCGCTATTCACCATACAGATCAAGGTGCTAGGTGCAACTTTGTTTCATTAGGGCCAGAGTTGAGTCGGTTATCCGACTTTCGGATAAAGTATTCATCCGAACCGAATCCGAATCATTCGGTTCGGTTTGGATTCCGAACCGAATCCGAATTTTTCGGTTGACAAATTATCCATCCGAACCGAATCCGAATATTTCGGTTGGAAAAATTTCCATACCGAATCCGAATTGTTCGGTTGAAAAAATATCCAAACCGAACCCAATGATTCGGTTTCGGTTCGGATGGAAATTTAATTTTAAAGTCGGACAACCGACTCTAAACTGGTACATATGTTGCTCAAAAAAAACGCATAGATACTTTAATCTTGCCTCAATTTTCAATTACTTCCCGCATGTGCAAAGCAACAAATCAATAAACAGTGGTAATTGCATAGTGGAAATGAATTCTAAAGTCCTTCTTTAAAACAAATTATGATCCATCCGAACCGAATCCGAATTTTTCGGTTGAAGAAATATCCATCCGAACCGAATCCGAATTTTTCGGTGACGAAATATCTATCCGAACCGAATCCGAATTTTTCGGTTGAAGAAATATCCATCCGAACCGAATCCGAATTTTTCGGTTGAAGAAATATCCATCCGAACCGAATCCGAATTTTTCGGTTGAAGAAATATCCATCCGAACCGAATCCGAATTTTTCGGTTGAAGAAATATCCATCCGAACCGAATCCGAATTTTTCGGTGACGAAATATCTATCCGAACCGAATCCGAATTTTTCGGTTGAAGAAATATCCATCCGAACCGAATCCGAATTTTTCGGTTCAAGAAATATCCATCCGAACATCGGATGGTTTCGGACGAAAAGGTGTAGCTCCTCCCTCCATTGTTTTGATGATACCCCGTCTTCCGACATTCGGGAGGCAAGAACAATTGGAAATATTTTATTTTCGAGGTTCATAAAATATATGACATACGCGTCACCGCAATTTGGCCCGGTGTCATGGATCTTTTATATGATGCGTAATTTAATTTGCTAAATATGTTGCTAGACCTTGTTCAGTTTTTAGAAGGTTACAATTTCTGTTTTAATTGTTAATGGTCAATACACATGCTTTAGGTACGTATGATCTCGGCTAGTCTTCCACAAAGAATTATGATTTTCAAATTTCAATCTTATCTATAACTACGTTATCAATCAGTCATTATCCATTACCGCAAAAATTTTAGCAACCGTACATAAATAGAAACTTACCCGAATCGTCACCAGTCAATGAATCGTACTCTACATCCTGGGCGGATCTAATTGATTCGTTAAATTTGGCTGGTGCATTCCGCTTTCTGTTTGTATTTAGTTTGACACTTCGCTCAAGCGTGTCACGTATAGTTTCTAGATAAATGAAGTCTTATCTTAGTTACATACGTACATAATTTTACCGGGTTAAAATAAAACCCTTACCAGACCAATCTTTCAAGTTTTGATCGCATAAAATGTCTATCAACTTGTGAAAGACGGCAAGTTGTTCCTTTGAATTTAATTCATGCCCCTCTACCCACTTGTGTACCACGTCTTGGAAAGTTTTTATGGAAATTGATGGTGTACCTGGCGTCAAATTTGGTATGTCTTGATGACCATCGTTTTGTCTAGGGTCGCCCATTTTGCTTATTTTAATATTCTGCTTACGTGAGGCATCAAGCTCCACTGATGAAGTGGAGAGTAGCATTTAGGTGTTTATATGGAATCGCACACTTGCGTTAAATACTTGGGTTAAACAATGCACATTATCTTATCTATGTACAATTTTGCGCACATAACGAATATTATGATGTCATCAGTAGGATAGAATTAACTTTCGGAGAGTCGTAAACTCGCTCATTCTACCATAATGGTAGTGACAAGTATCATGGTTCAGGATAAATACATATCCCTGATGGGATTTTGAGGTAAAATAATTTAGATTTCTGAGATATGTACCTTCCACATTTCGAGAAAAATATGTAATATCTAACGGCACGTATTTATTGGGGCCAAGCCTTTGTTCAAGATTTATGAATGAGCCGCGTTCCAAAAATCTTAACTAGCCGAATGATGTCACATTTGTGGAAATAGTCAAAAGTTAAAAATTGGTGGTAGACGTACATTTTAAAGTAAAAATCTGAGCAGTGGCGGCATACCATGATAAAATAATCGATTCAAAATTTCATCCCTTTTGTGAAATAATATTCAGAGTTTGTTAAAATTAGCAAACATTAATTTATTAACACACGATTCTTTAACACTTCCTTTACTACTGAATTTTGTTAGTAAAATTTCTCCTGTGTATGATATTGATTTTGTACCTAAATAAATACATCTGCTAGAAACCAACTAAATTTCCATAATTTCAAGCAGTTTCCTACAAAGTGTTTCCACACACAAAAAAACACTCAAAATGTTAGATTTTTTAACATTGGCCGGTGACTACTGACAAATTCTAAGATTCTTCAAGAAAAATAGCAAAACAAATCAAACTTGTACTATAGAGTTTTCCACAAAATACCAAATATTTAAATACTATTTTTTGAGACATTTTGGTATCAGGGTAAAGTCATAGGTGCGGAGCTTCTAACAGCTTCCGCTTCCAGCTTCAGCTTCCGACCAAAATTTTCGCTTCCAGCTTCAGCTTCCGACCAAAATTTTCGCTTCCAGCTTCAGCTTCCGACCAAAATTTTAGCTTCCAGCTTCCGTGCTTCCGCTTCCGACCAAAAATCCCCGCTTCCGACGTCCGGAAGCTGAGCACCTATGGGTAATTTATGCATTAAGTATGTAGAACGGTTTATGGAGGTCAACGTCTTCTCTGTGCCACATATCATATCCAAAGAGCATCAAAATCAGTTGGTGACAGAAAATCCATCCTTTTAAGATTCCGTACGTAGCAGCAAAATTTTCTTTGTGCCCATGGGAAATTATGTGTGTGCTTCAGAACGTGTCGGATCAAAGGTCCAATCTCATGAGAAGGCCCGGGTTACCTATGTCTCGATTGGTAGGTTTCAATTCAAATGTAGTTTGTAATGCATACATATATGCAAATTACCATACATTTCACGAACCTCTTGAATTGAGTGGTTTGAGAGTAACTCAAACTAAATAAGGTGAACATAACGGTTTGTTTACTCGAGTTTGGTCAGTTAAAACAATACCAATTCATTATCTCGAAATAAACAAATCGCCGCACTACATTCGTCCAGTATTGCAAGTGGTATATATCACTCAATGAGATTTAGTGAGATTGAGTGATTTATATCAATCATCTCAGTTAGGGCTGGGTGAGAAATATGAGAAATAATGAGTAGTGCATGACCCCATCCGCTAGATGACGCTAGTGCATGTCGCAAAAATCTCATTATTTCTCATATCTCAGGATTTCTCATTATATCACACTGAGATGAGATTTGTGAAGGTAAAATGAGATTTCTGCAACCCTGCGTTGAAATATCTCACACAATTCAACTGTACGATGCTAATGCAAATGATTGTGATTGATTGCATAGGTGGCGTTCATAAAGTACGTAACGCATTCTAGTAGGTACCCACTCCTGTCAGTACCGTTACGGGAGCGTTACGGAAGTAGGCAGCCTATATTCATCCCACGTTACGTAACGCTTCCTTTCATATTCAAAATCATCTTTGTCTCCGAAATTCCTCCAGTCTCACAAAGTCTCATTTTTAAAAATGTGTAGGAAAGGAAAGAGATCGGACTTGTGATGACTCACACTCTTACTCCACTCCTCTTTCCTTTCTCTTTTCTCACGCAAGAATTAGATAGTCCTTCAGACAGTGCAGATAACAACCAAACTCCTGTACTTTCAATGTCAAATCAGCAGTGCCCTTGGGAGAAGGAGAAAGAGTAACTAAGTTTGATTCTGCCGTCAATCTATTATTTATTTGTTAGCAGTGCAATTTGTATCTTACAATGGAACCTTTTCTCAAGCTACACCGGGATTGCCTAGCGAGTTATATCGAAAAATCAAGCCAAAAATTAGGAATAACATGGCGCTTATCATTTCGTTGAATGGCCCATTTGAAGAAAAATACTGCCGCCAAACTTCAATTTTTGAGCTAATTTTCGCTCCTTTTTCCTCAACTGGGCGAAAACCAGGGATAATTTTGAACTTTGCCGCGCAATATTTTTCTTCAAATGGGCCATTCAACGAAATGATAAGCGCCATGTTATTCCCAATTTTTGGCTTGATTTTTTGATATAACTCGCTAGGCAATCCCGGTGTAGCTTGAGAAAAGGTTCCATTGTTAGTTGAGGTTCTTACCATTACAGTTTCAGTGGAATTGATTTAGTTTAAGTTTTTTGACAATCTTAATCTATATAGTAAATAAACAAATTTTTATAACCAGTTTGCGTTACGTTACTATGGGGTAGGGGGGTACCTTTAAGACCAGCGTTACGGAAGCGTTACGGGGGTAGGTAGGTACTCCAAAAAATCAGGAATTTAGCGTTACGTACTATATGAACGGCGCCTTAATTTGCAATGAGGCAACACACTACTCGGATTTTACGCATCAAAATAAAAACATTCCATTGCGGCTTCATGTTCATGATTCATGAAAAGTTGAGTGTTCATGAACAGTTCAGTGTTCATGAACGTTCATGAATGAATGTTCACGGTTAATTATCTCTGGGGTTTTCACTCCTTGTGTTTGCTAATAATCTGCATAACTCCCTATCAACAAGGTTTTGCTGTTGCGTAATATTTCCACATATTTTACAAGCAAGGATCCAGAACTATTGTTTTGATTCCACTTAAAAAACGCAAACAAATTTCATCTCAGGGGTTTTCATGTCCTCGGGTATTAAGCATTTCATTTCCAACAAACCACATAATATCCCATTTTGTAAGCGCCAACAAAGGTTTACTGTTGCATAATATTTTCACATATTTTATTTAAAAATGATTTAGACTTTCGCGTCAGATTTTGATGCGCGTTCGAGAAGTGAACAATGTTTCTCAGGTGGTTTTCATTTGTTCCCATTTCACCCTCCCCAATGGACAACAAACACAAAAATCACAATTGAAAATCAAACTTTACTCCAATTGTGAAAAATTTTCCGCAACACTCGGATAGTTTGATTTTTTACATAAGAGACTGCTCGTTATAACCTTTGCATGTAAAAAAGTCGCTTATTTAATAAGTGGCTTTTCCTGCTTACGGTTTGTCTCAAAATGAAGAGATGAATTTGGAAAATTCAACTATTTTTTAATTGTCTGGTCCTGGAGTCTAAAGTTTCCCGAGTAAAAATTTGAAAAGATTTCCTGCAGAAAATTGACCCAATATTCTGCAGAAAATTGGCCCAATTTCCTCCAGAATAGCTTTATGCAGAGAGATTTCTGAAGAAACCTGTGCAGAATTATGCACATACGGTTCTGCAGAATAATAGCGACACAAATGTTCTGCAGGATTATGTAAAAAAAAATATGCATAATACAATATGCATAGGGTTTTTGTCGATTCCTTCAGAATTCGACACATATATTTCTACTCGGGTTTATTATACGATGGATCAAGTATTGTTACATGTTCATGCTAAGGTTCATTTGAATGTGACCCAAATGGCACAATTTATGTACAACCCCTAGAAAAATTCGAGTGTTTCGGAAGTAAGAGATGTAGAATTTTTTTTACTTAACTTAACCTGAGCTGAATGAATAAATTTTCTTTCGATTCTCTGCGTTTTGGCAACGCCTTTCACCCGTATGCATACCTATTTACTACAAAATCCCACGAGTAAATGGAACAAGTGGCATGTATAAATACAGTCAAACGCCGTCAAATGCCATCTTATCTATTTGCTCGTATAACTATCTAGATAAGAGTAGCTAGGCAGTAGTTTGTTTCCTTCAATTATACTGATGGTATTTGACTGTACGTACGCACGTATGCAAGTCTGTTCCATCGTACTCATGGGATTTTGTGGTAAACTAGTATGCATACGTGTTCCCAAAACAACTTATGAGCCACTTATCATAGCAAATTGAACTTGTAAAAATCTAGGGAAAAATCGATCCCTTACATATATTAGACAGTTTGGGCAAATGACGCTAAAACGAAATTCCCTTATTTTTAAAAACGCTATTTTCAAAAAGATTACGGTATTTAGTATGAAAAACCGAAATAGCGAGAAGAAAAGCACGCTAAAAATATAAATAGCGTAGCATATTGGTTTGGATAGTCTTGTTTTGAGTTGATGGTGTCTCAATACGACCTACGCGGCAAAGTCAAAAATTGTGACGAATATATTTTTCCATAGATTCGTAAATTAGCGTGATGAGAATTTTGCCAAAACTCTCAGTACGCTAATTTTTTTACGCTAATTTGCTCACGCTATTTTATGAGAAATACGGTAATATTTTATTTATCGTCACTTGCCCAAACTGTCTATTGATGAAATAATATTTAGAATTTTTTTAATGCGAAAAGATTAATTTATTAGTGTTCACACAATGCTTCAATTATACATAAAAAAGATACGGAGGTCACAATTTAGCTTAAAAAATTTCTTGTACTCGTAAACTTTAAAGCATACACTAATTTCCTGCTAAATTTTAGTTTTCGATTCACCGTAAATCCTCCATTTATAGCCGAGTCTAAGCTCGGCACAGATCTGACTATAATTACTAACCGGGTATTATTTGAGACCCGGCAAAAATTTTTTTCGGTTGTTCAGACCTTGAAGCATTTAAGAACACACATTAACGGAGTGTCATAATTTGAGGTAAGCTTATTAGATTTTTCAAACTTGGGCTTGAGATCCGGCTATAAATAGAGGATTTACGATAGTTTAAATATGGATTTCATGACAATTTTTCGGATTGACATGGAAATTTTTTAGTTTTTTCACTTCGGGGTCAGGGTCAAACAACCTCATTAAGTTTCTCCCGTACTCTTCCTTCTTATCTGTACAATAAACAAATATGTCCAAAACCTTTGGTACCTGCCAATATTTCAAAACATTATTAATCAAGCAGCGGGTAAGGTTAAAAATCTCCAGTTTAATAACTTCCGGAAGGATGATGGGAGAAAGCAGTTTATTCCGTGAATCTGGACAAGTCATTAAATCTCTTCCGTTCAGGGTCACATTTTCTACGCGATTTCGCAGATAATCTAAAATCTTGTTCAAATTTACGACGTCTTCCAAGCTTTTAGACAAAATTTGCAAATTTATTTTAGGTCCTGGTATTCCCAAATTAGTGGCATTACTCCAGTCCCAGTTGTCCTGCTTAGAATATAGAGAAGTTATCGTTACGACGGTTGTTGTACTTCCGATCGAGTGGAGGTCGTGGAGGCAGGTTATGTTTACAGTGGGATTTTCCTCGTGAGGTGGACTGCTTATCACTCTGGGTACGGTTGAGGTAGTGGAATTTGTCAGTGGTAAAGGTATAGTGGTGGTAAATGGTTCGGTCCCCGAATGCGGGGCAAGTGTAGATTTTGGTTCCGGGTTGAATACCCCGGTCAGGGACAAAATTAGCACGGTTAGTAAACCCATAATGATCAAGAGTGCAATAAAGAAAAATGTAATGATTGGCGTGGACATTGATGTGGATATTCCGGTGGTGCTGTAATATTAATTAATATGCAAAAATTCATCAGCCATCCACTTGCTGAAATGATCATACCCGATCCGAACCAACCGGATTATCCTGGTCGTATTGGATCCAATCCAATGTTATAGCCAATGGCCAGATTATCCGTTCGTTGTGAATAAAATGTATCCGAAAAAACCGGATTATCCGGTCGTTGAGAATGAAATTCTACCCGATAATCCGGCCGTTTGCTATAAAATGGTTCTGATTCGAACAAGCCGATCCGAAAATATTCGATCCATGGGATCCGATTGTATCCTTTGGATTCGGACGGACGGATCGGATATTATCGGACCGGATATTCTAACCTCACTAAGTACATAGGTTAAAAAATATATGGCTCCACCTGGTCACACAAACCGTATCGCTGAAAGTTTGGGCCGATTCGACTCCCTTGTTTTCCTTGGCTATTTCCGGTTGCGCAACGACCACTGGGACAGCAGACGGTGACGAGTTCCATGTTTCCTGCTTGATTAGTGGGGCGCTGGTTCTTTTATAAATATACATACATAGAAGATTAGATTACCTTTGAAGAATGCTTAGGAAACTTCCTATCAAATATTAGGTTATTTAACCTACACATTACAAGCCCCAGGGGGACCGGTAGTCACGACGGATTTATATGTTTCTGATTTCGAAAAGTTAAACGAATTCGTGTAGGATTTTTCCTCGTGGTGGTGAGACATTTTAATTTAGAAATAAAAAAGATTTCAGCAGCGAATGAGTCTATGCAGCGGCATGTGCCACTGATTGTTATAGAGTGGCAATTGAACCCAAATGGAGAGTGCATAATACACCAGTAGCTGAAGGTTATGCTGTTACATGCACTTGTATGGACGTATGCACATCAATAAGTATGTAAAGACATATGTACACGGTGTGCAATAATTATCTGACCAACCCAAAAAAATTTTCCCAACAACGGCCGCAGGTTGCTGAGACTGGTTTGTTAATTTTGGGGCTTTCCATGACTCCGGAAAGCTGTGCATTTTCTCTCTTTGGGTCACCATATTTTTTTTGCTTACAATAAATATTCTTAGGAACGGGGGAGAGCCAGGTTAATAATCTGGAATGAATTTCGTCACATACGGTTTTTTCTTGGATTTAACGTATTTCGACACTTAAAAATCCGGTAATAAAATCCTAATATCGTGTATAACCGCGTGTGTGGTAACATTAGATGTTACCACTAGCCGCAATAAATTTTACTCCACTACCATTTCTTCTACCAAATGGTAGCAAAGGCTACCAGCCGGGTGTCTCAATTCCACCACTGCAGCAAGGCAGTATTTAGTTTCATATTAGAATCCAGTTTTTTATTACCAGTTCGCATTACTTCGTGTGCGTGCCTCATAGAGTCATATATGTATACCGCGTGGTAATAAAATTTCTTAGAGTGGGACAATAACCAATTTTGGATTGATTTTTGTCACGCTTTGTCCCTCTTTGATCACTACCTGAAGTTTTATCCTGTTTGCGACTTGTAAAGGGTTTGGAGTTTTTCCGAAAAGTTCCGGATATATGGCAAAATACCAAACCCATTGCTGTAACCTATGACATATATGCCCGAGAAGGAAGATTTTCTTGGGTTGTCAGATAATTATTGTATACCATGTATCTAAATTGCACTAAAGCATCCCGTAGCATAAGTTATATGTTTACTCAGATTTGTAGTAATCATCCACTTAATACATACTCCCTATTGTCTATCAGTAACCGCGGAAGGGTGTCGGACACAGGGGATGTGTCCCCTATTTATGCAAATTTTCTCTTGACGACAAGAAATGTATTTATCTCTACCGGCCCGTGGGATAGAAGTATTTACAAAACCTCGACCCTTTCGACCACCTAAATAATAATTAAAAAATTATAAGACAAAATGGTAAACACTATGCTTTCTAATCCTAGTTCAGCTATAATTGATTAAGGTTATAAATTAGTGCCTTTCAAATACCTATGCAAATCGTTTCCTAACACTTGTCCAGGCTCTAATATTTCATAGGCACGCAAAATATTCGCGAGTGATGGATGAGAGAGCTGATGACATTTTACATATGTCCCCCTGGTCAAAATTATCTTCCGTGGCCACTGCTACCTGATATCATTCTCCGATAAGCGTGCAAAGCATCACCACCATGCATTGACACGACTATGAGTTGACTATTTATATGGGCAGTTTGCACAACAAACATTTACGTAGCTACATATCTACATATTTATCTCAAGTGTAAATAGTCTTTGACAAAAAGTAAGTAATAAATTAATTACGTTTTTTATTCGCGAATTAATGTTTGGTAACTAAATGTTTTGTATTACAAATGTCTATTATCACAAGTCAAGAACTATGTATACCTAAATATGTATGCAACACTTACGAGGAAAAGGTCCAGGTAGATTCTAAAAAACATGGTGGGTAACCTGGACTCAAACGACAGGTCGTGAGTGTCCCTTGTCAGAAACATTTGAATACTTTCTACAAATTTTTATTCGTTGTTTTGCATGAGAAATGATAAAAGTGGACGAAATTGCTTTTATGTAATATGTCCCTAGGGCCACCCACCCGTGACCCCAAAAATTGACGCACTAGGCGGTTGCCTAGCTCGCCTATGCCTAAAACTGGGCCTGGTGGTAGGCGTTGCCAACTGCGTATGTAACTCCTAATTGTATCACTGTTAAATACACAAGCCAATTTGTGACTCAAAGTGTCCTCCAAGATCGACACACTATAAATATAAATATGAGTTGTGTATTAATAATTTTGAGAGTTATGAAGTTGGATAATCATGCTCTCTCAGGTTGTTTTGATTTTTCTGGTTACAATGCTGATTTTTAACTCGATGATTATATATGCTAAAATTCTCTTATTTTTTTATTTATTTATTTAGACTAGATAATTGCTTATAAAATTTATTGCGTTTGTGTCATGGTGTGTAAACCAATTTGTTATGAATTGATCTCTGTTGACACTTGAATAAAGGCTTAACAACAAGAACAACAACAACACTCATTGGTATCGGAGCATTTAACCCTGGTTACGTTGGGCTGTCGTAAAAAAAAATATTCCAAACTTTCCAAATCATCCTTTTCGAAGGATGTGCATTTAAAACAGACTCTAGTAAATCTAGGAACCTCTAAGGAATATCCTAGTCGTTAATAAACTCGCCAGAAAATTTCTGTCTAGCTTGGAAAATGGTTGCATTGTCATTTGATATTATGTATAACCAGAGGCTGGTTAATCCGGGATTATGGATTGAGATTGAGATTGGAGATTAATTAATCCTTAATCCCAATCCTCAATCCGTAATTTTGTACTTTTAATCCCTAGTCCTCAATCCCAAGAAATTTAGAAGAAATAATTAATCCTCAATCCCTATTCCGGAACGCATTGATTAATCTTACTCCAAGTTTGGGATTAAAATAGGATTAAATCAGCTCCACCTGCTGAGAATTCTCGGAGACAATGTCAATTCTACTTTTGTTTCAATCAGAAATATGTTTGTCATAACTATTAACTGAAATTTTTTCGTTGTATTTCACAAACAACAATTATTATAAAACAAATAGCTCACATGTTAAGAACTATTGATAAAACCTTTTCTGTCCAAGTTGATTTTAGTTCGGTGATGACTAGATAAGCAAACTTAATTTATGTCACTAATGTGTAATTATTATTATGGCCGTATAATAATAACCTAGAGTAGGAGTGCCCACTCACTCTTTAATGTTAATCAAATAGAGACTTATGTAAGTGACCACTTACATAAGTCATTAGATCAATATTTATGCGGTCAGCAGTCTACGGTGGGATTCAAATTCAATCACACATTTAAGGCTTCTCAAACAATATAAAATATTACGTGTAAACTGTATAGCAAAGGTAATATCACCTAGATATGTATAAATGTGATTCACGTAAAATACGAAATTAATCCCAATTCGGGATTAAAATAGGACTAAATTAATCCCTAATCCCATTGAATGACTCGAGAGATTTAATCCCAAATTAATTTTAATCCCGAATGTAATTAATCCCTAATCTCAATCCTCAATCCCGATTTTTTAAAAATCAATCCATAATCCTAATCATTAATCCCACTTTCGTTAATCCCAAGGCTCTGGGTATAACATCCGGTCAGAAGCACGAAACGACGCTGTAGTCCTGAGTAGCATGTCGATTAACGGATAAATCAAGGTCTACACATCCCTTCTCATTTGAACATTTAACCCTACTAGGAATACCCTGCTTGCGAAAAAAATATTCTAAACCCTGTAATTCTTCTTTCTTGAAAGATGTACATTTAAAAGCTACAATTGTTAATCTCCTAGCAATCAAGGAATCCCCCAGTTTTCGGTAGAACTCTGAACAGTTTTCTAACTCTTCGAAACTGATGGCTTGCAAATTCTTGGCAATGATCATTTCTTTCTGAATTCCTGAATCCTTTTGCAAACGACAAACTGCATCTTGAACAAATGAAATTCGCATAATGTGACAAAATTCGTTAAGGAACTCTTGCAGCTCGGAGTCTGTTAATGCGACGAAAATGAGAAGCCCTGTTACCCTCTCAGGACAACGGATTTCTTGCGCTTCACTTAGAATTAAAGGTTCAAGAATGATTAAAATTGTTTCAGAATCGTGACATAGATCGAGTTTTGGCTCATTCCAGTTGGGAATTAGTTCGATAGCGTTGGCGGAATAACGGGTATCATCAAATTTTAGCGATGGATTCATTGTGCAGAAGGATTTAGGTACTTCGGTCTGGCGTATGAATTTGTTGGAGTGTGTGAACGATTCATGTTCGGCCCGATGATGTGTAACATTTTCAATATGATAAAGAAAAATAATGTGGAACAACCAAACTGACATAAAATAGTACAAACAGCTTGCGTTAATCCATGCCTGGTTGCGTTGATACTTGTGCTTCTTGTTCGTCGCTTTGTTTCTCCTAGTATAAAAGAAATACATAAAAATTAAATTAGGATTACTGAAATTAAACATATAATATTTCCACAACCATTATAAATCGCTGAATACAACCAATTTGGAAAATGAAGGTACTTATAAGGTCAATAAAATCATCATCTCATAGTCATAGTCGTCTCATAGTCATCTCATCGGGGAAGAAAAATATTTAAGCATTGACCACATGAATTTGATTATTTAAATTTATTTATTTATTTACTTTGGAAATTTTTTTGGTTAAAAAACTGTGGAACACCCTATTGGGATTAATAATTTATTTGGCGTACACTGGTAGCGTGTGCACCAGGAAGAAAATATTTAAGATCAAATCGAGTCCGAAAAGATAAATGGCCCGCCAGCCCCCAACATCGCGAGTTGTCTGAGAGACAACTATTTGACTACGGACGTAATACAGGTATGGAATGGACGCTTGCAATAGCATTATGTTTTTTTCTAAACAAATGTACCTCTTCAGGCACTCTGGTAAAGTGTTTTAGGAATCATGGATAACATGTGTGCAGCTTACCCGAAGCGCTAAGAAGCGGTAATTCTTCCTGACCTACAAGCTCTTCAGATCCTTGACGGTTGTTAGTTTCGTGTACAGGATTTTCATTTGTACTGGGCGACGCCGAGCAGGATGGCTGCGGCGGCATCAATTCTTCTCGGTTTTCGGCGACCTCAACAGAAACCCCGGGTGCGTGGTCAGCTTCGGAATCTGCGACAAGCTTGGGCGTCAGTATTTCCTTCAATCCTCGTATTTCGTGCCATTTAACCGCAAGAATTGTGTCTGCCAAGAAATAATAATAACGTTAAAATTTCTTGCAATTATTTACACTATTAAAATCTTGTAGTGTTGCACATATGTATATATTCTGTTCTGGTAGTTAATACTTGCTACGGAATTGGTAGTGGTTTATTTCTCGGGAAAAGAAGGGACCAGATATCTTCTAATCGATAGATTTGAGTGTATTTTATATCACCCAATGAAAATTCAATTTTGAGAAACCCTTATCTTCTGAATGGAGGAAAATATTTTTACACAAAAAAATAAAATATGTATTCATAATATGTACGAAAACCAAATATCTGATTATCGGCAATTAGTCACCACTTAAACATGCACTCCACTCTCATCTCCGCAATTAACCACGCAGTAAATAAAATGCAATAAATAGAAATTGGGACTCATATTGTTAACAATTTTACGCGTAATAATTAAGCAATCTTAGCATTAGGTTACCCCATTATACATACGCTAATTTATTGGCCCGAGTGGCCCCAAAAAGGGATTAATAAATTCATTCATTCATTTATTCATGGGTACGAAAACCCGAAAATGTGCAAAATATGGAAAACTAAATATCTTCGAATTCTTGAGATCGTCCCAAGATGGCATACTAACATGCCATCTTACTTCATATATGTGAAGTTTTAGTAACATCTGATTTGTTATGAAAAGCTAGTAGTATGTACATATCCGCCATATAGTTATTACCTGCGTGGCCGGTCATATTCATTATGGGTCATCTATTAAAAATGTGTCATTTTTTCAATAAGATTATGTTAGGTTACAACTCTTGTGAATTTTGAATTTTAGCCTTCTTGCACACTCTTAACCACATTTTAGAACTAAAAAGTTTTAGAAACTTTGGACCGCGCTGACAGGAAATTCAACAGTAAAATGACGAGTTTTAAAAATATGTAGATGAACATTAATACTGCGGTTGGTACTTATTTAATACCAGTTTTCTAAGAGTGCATTATTTATAAGGTTATAAATATAACAGGACTTTACCAGGGTCCTTATACTGTATCCTTGGAGAATTTCTAGATAGGGTCACGTAAGTTCAAAAATTGTCCAAAATTTATTTTACAGATTTTGGGAATATGGGATTTGACCTGTTTTGCAAACTCTTCACCGAGTTTCAAAAGTTAAAATCGTTTTAGAAACTTTGGACCGTTGACATGAAATTCAACAGTAAAATGACGCGTTTTAAATAGATAAACCATATAATTCTTCCGGTTAGTACTTATTTAATCCCAGTTTTCTAAGAGTGCATTATTTATAAGATTATAAATACAACATGACTTTACTTACGACGAGCATTGTTCCAACCCGCTTCTTTCATTGCTTTTAATAACATTCCTATGTTTGAGGATTCCGCATGCTCCCTCACAGTTGCATCAATTAGACCTCGGTAAACCTCGTACAATGTACGGTTTCCATTCTTAGTTTTGATGAATATTCTCCACGCTGGTTTTCTTGTCTTGACTTAGCCCCATGGAGTGACAGATTTGAGTGAAATAATCATTAGCACCTTCCACTCCCACAATTACGTCAACCAGCCGCTTTATTATGATGTCTTGGAGGTTATCGTTGCGTCCTGGGTACATTACTAAAGATACATATTCATAATTAGAATTAGAGACAGTATTTGAACCCCAATAAAGCACATGGTTTATTTTTCACCGCCAATCTTTTTAAAACCAGCGCCAAAAAAACTCTTGTAACTAAACAGAAAAAACACTTTACAATGGAACTTTCTTTCAAGCTACTCCCGGATTTTACAGCGAGTAATGTCAAAAAACTCAGGCCAAAAATTATGATTCCCATGACACTCGTTTTTCCTTTGAATGGACCCTTGGCAGAAAAATATTGGGCGGGGGGAGGGGGGACGCAAAGTCATTGTTTTGCACCCCGTGTAGGAACAAGCGATAGTAAATCAACTCGAAAATAAAATTTTGCAGCTTGTGTATATTTTTCTTCAAAGGGGCAATTCAACGGAATGAAAGTGTCATGTGATTCCTGATTTGTGAATAAATTATTTGATATAACTGGTTTGAAAATCCCGGTGTGATTTGAAAAAAATGGTTCCATTGTTAGGATTAGCGTAGGATTTGAGCACTGCATGGAATCGTGAAAGTTTGCAAAACCCGGATTTTCATGATCCCCCAGTCGGGCGCCGTATTCCTAGTTTTGCATGGTTAGAAATCACGTTTTTGCCAGCCTAAAATCTCCTTTGATTCTAGAATTCTGCTCAAGCGCCATCACCTACTTTTGCTTGTATTTACTTCCTATATTGTTTAGCGTTAGTTTTAGGAAGACGCTTAAGAAGCATGTCTGCCATGTGAGTTGTAAGTAAAGCTGCGCAAAATTTAGACAGCACGAGAACGAGGACAATTTCTACATAAAGTAATGTTTAAATACAAGTACATAAGCTCTAAATAAAACGAGTCTTTACTCAAGGCTGAGTAAAAAAAAGTGGATGACACAACCAAAAATGTAAAATGTAAAATGTGTCCAACCATTGTGCTAAATTTGTCCAAGGTTATGCATATGAACGTAAAAATTGGCCAACGGGGTAGGTAAATTTTGTACCATATGGATAATTTCTTACCTTTTGGTAAGAAATTGTGGTTCAGTCATCTTTTTTAATCAACCTTTAGTAAGTTTTACTTATTTTTATTTAGTGTGTACACTGTAAAAAAAGTTGAGTGAAACTGCCAGCAGGACAAGTATTGAGTAAAATTTTGTAGGGATTTAATAACGAGTAAGATGTAGGGAGGTTAAGAAGCAATGGCAGAAAGTGGGGCTCTATGGTCTAAGGGTATGACGCTTCGGATCAATCGGAGAAGTACAGGTTCGAGTCCTGTTGGGTCCTCAATTTTTGCCAATTTGCCTCTTTTCCTCCAGAAAAAGTTCTCAATGCACTCGCCTCCGAATTCCAACTTCAATGTTATCAATTTACATATTCATTTTATTTTTCATTCAAACTACCAAAAATCAACATTGACATTCCTTCCTAACATTATATCCCACAATTTACCCCGCCAAAGGTAAAATTTACTCAAGCTTGAGCAAAAACCTCTCAAAGTTGGATAAATTTTAACTTTTGTTGGGCAACTTTTACTCAATAGTTGTCTTGGTGGCAATTTCACTCAAACTTGAGTAAATTTTACTCAAATTTTTTTAAATAAGTGTATAAATAAATAAATGAGTGTATAATTTAGTTAGCTAAAATATATTGGGCCATTAGCGTAAAGTTTAAGAGAAATAAGAATGGTTATTGGAAAGTTAGGGAAGGGCATTCAGTCCACCTAGGGTTTAGTTTTTAGAGTAACTCATTCAGTTACTTAGGGTCACCACTAATATTACACTTTAACTAGCTTACGTGGAATGTTAGAGATTTCTTCGGGAGTCAATGGGCTACTTTGGTCCGGAATGCTACATGGGTTATCCGCCATCATGTGCAAATCGTCTTGTATCGCTAGATTTTTGCAGACATCGAATTTGTTTGCCGAGCCGATTTCGCTTATGCTGACTAAATTCAGGAGAAAATGATACGTACGAGTCAATCAATCAACTTACAAATTAACCCGACAAATAAATATTTACACATTATTAATAAGTAAATTTTGAATGGGAAGAATGTTACCTTCATAAATTTATGAACTCTCAGAATTTGTATTATGTAACTTGTGCGTAAGGTAGGTCAACTTAACAAAGTTATTTGGTACGATCCACGTCTACCCAGACGTCTATGTAGAACATCGTGACAACTTTCTGCCGGAATTAGTGGGGTAAATGCAAATATTTGCAAGTTTTGTGGTAACCACTATCTTGCCTTTGATCGCACACAGAGATTTTTGCATCCTGTCATAAAACCAGAGCTTCATCGACTGATTTAAGTCGATGTGATTATTTTACTGATTAAAAGTTGTGCATCATCAGTCACATGAATACGTGGAGGGCCTCCGCTGGAGGCTACCGAGTCAATCCTGCTGGCCCAATTGCTCTACGTTATCTTGTCTAAAACACGTTTATTTATCAGCAAGCATGCATATCTACATAACTATGCATAATATGTAATCACAAGCTCCTGCTGTAATACACAACTTACATTTGAAGAGCATGTAATACATATATATTGACTTTAGTGCAAGGGTATGTATTTGGACATTATCTGGTTTAATTTTCCACAAATATATATGCACGGTCGGGTCAAACCATTATCAATCATTCGTACACTCTCAATAATTTTTTGATAAAATTGTCACCGGCAGTTCTACCGCGTGGTAACAATATAGTAATAAATTGTCTTGTGAGGGTAAGAAATTGCCTCCGGTATCGGTAATATTTTTATTGCCTGAGCATTGACATTCGGGGCTGAGCAGGATTTAGCCTGTGTATATGTTATCCTTCGGTGATAAATTATTACCGAAGTGGTAGAATTGCATGGTATCTCCGCCGGTAAAAATATTATAAAAAAAATTATTGAGGGTGTGCCAATGTATGTATGTATGCATACATTATGTAATCACAAAAAATCGATCCGATCCGACCCGTATTTCGGATTCTCAAACCACTCGATGCGATCCGTTTGTCGGATGAAACCCGATCCGTTCAGTTTTGAATGTATCTACATGAAGCCATATTTTATTTTATTTTTCTTTTTTTGGGCGATCCCAATGATCCAAAATATCATAAATCGCAGCAGGTACTGATAATGAATGTTCTCAATTACTTGTTTTAAATATCCAAATTTTTAAATTCAAAGTCCTTAAGAATTGTATGACCAATGCTGCAGGCATACATAATATATAATTCGTTGATATTTGTATCTGTGAAAATGAAAAGGGACCACTCTTGACATTTTTCACTCTCGAGAGTGGTCCCTTTTCATTTTCGCAGACACATTTGGGTACAGTGACTACTAACAATGGAACCTTTTCTCAAGCTACACCGGGATTGCCTAACGAGTTATATCAAAAAATCAAGCCAAAAATTAGGAATAACATGACGCTTTTCATTTCGTTGGAAGGCATCTTTGAAGAAAAATATTGGCGGCAAACTTCAATTTGCGAGATAATTTTCTCTTCCTTCTTCCCCCACGAGGCGAAAATCAAGGCGCTCGTGGGAACTTTGACCCCTAATATTTTTCTTGAAAGGGCCTTCCAACGAAATGAAAAGCGCCATGTTATTCCTAATGTTTGGCTTGATTTTTCGATATAACTCGTTAGGCAATCCCGGTGTAGCTTGAGAAAAGGTTCCATTGTAAGTAAGATTTGACGTACACGAACTGGATATTCCACCCGATTTGGCCCGTTGTCTGGTCACCAAAAAAACACATGAGTTTGGATTTTTGAAGGCCCGATCCGATCCCTTTTTCAGATTTTCCAAAAAAGCCCGATTCGTTTATTAGAAAATTCCTATCCGATCCGTTTTTTAGATACTATAAAAAAACCGTTCCGATTACAACGGGTTGAGCCAAGAATAACCCGAAAAAATTGGAACCCCGACTCAACTCCGGTTTCTTGACGGACTTTGTACGATGATGTAAAAATCGGCCTTTTTACACAGCACAATTTATTCACGTTCCCTCACGTACTTAAAACAAGTAAAGTGTAATAAAAAGAAAGGATTTACATATGCGTGCGAACCAAGGATACAAAATCAGAATACAAATTTTGCAGACTTTTAGAAAAGGAGGAAAACGACTTTATTTCTTGTTCATGCAATCCTCCAGTATGAAGAAATATGCAAATGTTTGATATCGCCACGTGGAGACCACGTGGAGTTTTTTCTTACATAGATGTATGCACAGCTTGTTGTGCAATTTCCGACGCGTAGCATACGAAATACACTTATTCATGTTAAACATTAACTTTTGACATGAGAATCAAATACAATTAAAATATTTTGAAAGTTAATTTCTTGAAAATGGTTTTTAATTAAAGGGTAGGGTCGCATTTGTGTCAAATAAATTAGACGAAACTACAAATACAAACATTTACGTATTCCTTGATCAACTTTTAGTAACTGCATGTCTACTTTTTCATATGCTTCGGTAAGAAATCATTACGATAATGGAATCATGTTTTTGTAGATACTGGATAAATATTTTTAGATGTCAATTATCACAAGGTTTTTTTCGAGTATACACCCAAAACAAAAATTGTCAAATCAACACCGCCCGTGTCAATGTATGACTTAACCGCCTTGGTTACAAATTGTGATTTCGAGTGGTGACGAAATTTTTCCGTCCGGTCGTAACATTATAACTACCGGTATCAAAATCATCATAACTCGGATGCAACATTCTAACCAAGGCTGTTAAGTCATATAGTGACACCGGCGGTGTTGATTTGACAAACTTTTTTTTTGAGTGTACATATGCATATTAATAGTAGATAAACACTGTTTTGAAGTATTTATATATTTCTCACAAGTATGATATGTACATATCTACATGAATACGGACCACTCCCTCATAGCAAATATGTATGTATGGTCGTTACCAGCGTGTTCCGACCCGGGGTTTTACTGGGCTAGGGTTTTACTAGGTTTTATTGGGTCGTAAATTAATAGAACCCAACAGTTTTTACTATGTTAAAGGGGTTTTACTGGGTTTTACTCGGGTTTCACTAGTTTTATCTAAAATCCAAATAGATAAATCAATAGAATCAATCTTCAGGTACTGATTTAACTTGAATTACTCTGATTAATATTCCGTAAATTTCTATATTTATTTCGAATTTATCAATATGGCCTAAAAATCACAATTTGAAGGTCAACTCGTAGTTTGATCATATTAGTGCTTTTCTGGGTGTTCCTGGCATTTTACATGGAAATTTTATTGTAAATCTCGATAAAATACATTAATTTAACAAATTGGTGTAACATTGTAAGTTGTATTATTTCACCCAAAGCATTGAGTAAAACCCGGGGCTTTCCGAACCCTGGTCGTTACTTAAAATTTTAAAACTTTCTGAAAAGCATCCAGCCATTGATTGTTCACGACGTACGGAATGCACGTTCCCTCCGGAGGGACATCCTTCTTGGCCATCCGTCCAATCCTCGTCCACATCTTTATGCGAGATTTGTCGAGGATTTCTTCAGATTTTCTAGCCTCCTCGGGTGACAGGGATGCCTTGGCCGAAATCTTTATACAATTCAACAAATGAAGAATCGCACGTATTCATTCACACATTAGAAATGCTGAGTGATCTAAATGGCACGCTAAAATTTGGGAAAAGCCCATAAATCTCCATTAGTTTTTAGATATTTTAAGATTGCAATTTTTCTTGATTATTCAACTCTAATATCAAAATTGATGACAGAATTCTTAAAAACGTTGAATTTCAGAGGCAAAACTTATGGAAGTTTAGGAATTTTTAAGATTTTTCATTTAAACCAGTGTGTGCAGAGCAAAAAGGCAAGCAATGCCTTTTTGCCTGCCTTTTTGCCCTTTTGCTAATTGGGGCGAGATGAGGCGAAAACCCTGCGATAAAAATAGTTTGAAAGTTATTCATTGCGCTTTTTAGACATTTCCCAACTGAGATCTTTAGCCCAAAATTTGATTAATTAACCTGATCACGATATAAAAAAATCATGAAAATATCTAGGGAAAAGTGTTCAACTAATTTGAAATATTGATGAAAGCCATAATCTTCGAGTACAATTTTAAAAACATTTTATAATTTCGTTAATACGTTATAAATGTATTGTGCGATAAGCAATCAGGTTCAATCGCCAAAAATCTAGCAAAAAGGCATCAAAAAGGGAAAAAGGCAAAAAGGCATCAAAAAGGCAATTAGGCATTGAAAAGGCGAAAAGGCACGAAGGAATAACAAAAAGGCTGCCTTTTTGCACACACTGGTTTAAACCACCCTGTATAAATGAACATCAAAGTTGCGGATGCGAATACCATCCTCTCTTCTCACCGGTTTGTGGATTAATTGCCTTCGGAACACTTGATATTTCCAGATTGCGTCCATGAATTGGTTGAAATTAAATTCCGGCCATGTTTCTGATGTAAAGTGAATGTAGGCCTGGCTCGCTTCCCACATCATAAAGTCAGAATATCTCTGATCGCCCCCTGACCGGATTAGGATGTCGATGGGACGCATATGAGCCGAATGTTGGGCCTGCTCGATCAAATACTCGTTCCAGCCGAGCGAGTTTTCTTCACTTTCCGAAGTTTTTGTCGGCGTCTCATCCTTCCATCCTGTGAAGGCTTGCAAACTTCGTAGAATCCCTTCCCGACCTACAAGTAATAGAACGTGGGACGTTGAAGGATATTAAATTAAGGACAAGATTGAGACCCTGTTCGTTCGGTGATTAACTACTACATAACAGGGCTGTCAAATCAGGTCCGAATTTCCAAATCCGGATTTCGGATTATCCGTTTTTCTAAATCCGGATTTAAATCCGGAGTTGAATTATTTATTGTTATCCTTAATTTCCTTGATATTTGAACGACTCGGATAGATGTTAGATAGTTGAGTTATTAAATTGAAGTGCAATCTCAGCTTTTCTAGAAGTTTCAAAATTTTCTGATCATGTGGGTAATATATTTCTCAGTTCATGAACTGAAAAAACGTTAAATTTCAAAAAAATTGAGTTTGATATGATGAACGAACCATATTTGGAATAAATATCATGCTGAATTTGGTTTAAATGTACACTGTTCGCAAAGATTTGTGTCTTTACATCGTTAATAAATATGAATCTGTAAGTAAGAAAGAGTGGTTTGAAAATAATTTCATAAACAAGTTTAATTGAAGGTTTACAGTTTCCCTTTCTCTCAATACTTAATAAACAAAAAGTTGTAAATGGAATTAAATATTTGTAAGATAGACTTATCTTTCTTTTACCTGTAAAAGCGAGGGCGACATTTAGCTTGTACGGCTTAAAGTCCTTGGTTATCTCCATCACGTTGGCTATGCGATTTTTTAACTTTTCCGGGCTGCGCTCCCAGTTTCCGATAAATTGGACGCACATGTCGGTATTTTTTCCAGATTTTCTTTCAAATGGGGAAATATAAATTTTACCTTATAGCTAAGATAAGTGTCGTTTTGTAAGAAATAGTTTAATTCGGGAGTGAGACAAAAGTCGTTCTGAAAAATCGTGGTCGTGGTGCTGGAGTAAGACAAGCGTCGTTTCTGGAAGGTCATTTATCTTCACAATCTTCTCTCCGTGGAGCAAAATCTGTTGGAATTGAGGGGATTTCTCCTATTCCAACCAAATGTTAAATTTGAACATTTTCTTCCCGAAATTTTGGATATTTCCCTATCTAACGAAATGTTAAATTTTTGAATTGTCAGTTTATTCGAGTTTTATTAAAAATCTTGAATTCCTCCTCCCACACAATGACCCCAACATACTTATAACGTCCCTGAATTAACCAATTTTCTTGTAGTCAATGATACTCGTTAAAGGGTTAAATATGTATGAATGTGAAGTCCACGTATTAAAAATAAAATAAAATAATTAAATACTTACACATCATTCATCGTGTCTTCTGACCGTCGAAATATGAGTTCCATCAAGTTATCCACTTCATCCTTGGTTCGCTTAAAATTTTCGGATGAAAAGACATAAATGGTGAGCTCCTTACATCCGATGGCTTTCCTCCATTCCTCCACCCCATCCAAAATGGTCGACCTGAATATTTATTAGACGGTTAAGACACTTTTTTTAGCGTCATTCTACATAGTCTACATAGCCCCCTGCCTGAGGGGGAGGGGCTGATCCTGGCGGAAAAAATAGCTAATGCTAAAGTACATATAATGACGAAGTTTCATGGTTTGGGGTACACCAGGTCTGAAATATGCGTGAGAATGGAAATCTGAAATTTTCCAAAATTCAACACAGCACAAGATTGGGATCTATAATGACGATAGATAGGAACAAACTCAAAAACTATTGTTGTCTCTAGGCCATCAGGGAGTTGTTACACACCAGACAAAGCATAATATTCTGGACCCTCTGGCGGAGACCTTTCCAACGGTGTGTTGGAATATCCCACTTGATGTGCTATATGAGAGTTGACCTTTCCCTACTTCCTACTAGGTCAAAATCGTGACCTTCGTTTTGAGAAGTAGAAAAACCCCTCCAAAAGTTTTGCAGGGAAAGAAATAAGGAAACTTTTGACGAAAACCGTTTTCAAAAATATTGACCCTCCTAAAAATCGCAGACGCGCGTAATTTATCCCACTTTAAGCTCCTCTCACTCCGCGAGGGGGTGGAGCAGAGAGGCCGGACTTGACTAGGACTCACAAAAATCAGCTCTATAAAGGCTGAGAATCTTATCCAAATTAAGTTGTAAGGGTGTGATATGATTCCGGTTTTCATTACTGTAACTCATTGCAAGTGGCGGCGGAGGTTGGGGGGACATTAGCATTCCGAGATAGGAACAGCTTATCAGATACACTGTAGATATAAATTAATTAACTCATTACCCTGCCTCATGACCATGCATAACTTTCAACCCTTTCGCCCTTGCAAAACGACGATTTCTGACAAAGAAAAAAATTCATTTATGAAAATTTGAATTTGAAAAATTTTTTTTTTGAAAAAGTGCCTTGCTTATATTACCCATCCATTATGATAGCCATATGATTCGGTGTGGGTCCCATTCGCGCCACGGATGTCGCCAAGATTTCGTAGAACGACATCTCGTAATGCTTCCTGCCTTGGGCTGCTGGGTTCTCCATTTGAAAATTTAATTTGCAAAATTTCGACGAAAAAAATTTAAAATTTCGTGGAAATTTGTGTTTATTTTCCACAATCTTAAGTGTGTTCAGGGCTGCGCAGGATGTACAATGGGAGGCTGGGAAGTGCGGTCTTGCCTATTTATACTGAGCAGGTGTTGTGGGTTGGTAATCTTTCGTCCGCACCTGCTCGTCCGTACACTCAAAATAAACTGGTGTCAATCCAGCGCGGTGTAGTCACATATAGACACCGCGCGGTGTTAATACGGGCAATTAACACCGCGTGGGGTCTATATGTGACTACACCGCGCTGGATTGATACCAGTTTATTTTAAGTGTACACTGTAAGTAATCTGGTAATAAACATTACCGAAAACACAAGTATATGACTCTACCAGAGTGGTTATGAAAAGTTGTACCGTGTCGTAATGGCTTGGTTATAAAGTTTTATCATCATAGTAACGAATTTTTACTACCGAGTAAAATATTATTACAAAATTTATTACAGAGAAATCATTACCTGCGTAACTTTACTGGATTGTTAAGAGTGCAGGCATTGGTCCATATATTTACTAATGTTTCTCATATTAGTTCGGGATTGGAAGTTTGGTACTTAAGGCTGGTAGAACATAGGGGTTAACAATGTCGGTGTCATGAAGTAAATGTTGGTTCATATTTGTCATTTCATGTCATAATTGTCATAAATGTCTGACACTGAAATTTTTTGTAAATGTCTGACAAATTTGACATTTATGACATAAGCATTACGAAATTCAGACCCTACAACTTCAATTTAAGCGCTATAACTTAGGTAAATAATATAGCAGGAAGAATGATTCGCAATTTTAGTTATATTTCTCATGAATTTTAAATTTGTCATCTAAGCGAATGCATATTTCTAACGAGTTCTAAAGCGTATTAAGAATCAATTAAGTATTATAAAATTCATGGCTCTGAAAATGTCATAAATGTCAAGAAATTTATGACATTGTCCGGATATGAGAATTTGTCATAAATGTCATGACATTTATGACATTTTCCGTATATGACGCACAAATATTACACAAGTAGAACCCTAGTAGAACATTAAAATGCATAGTCATATTATGCACAAAGTTTTATACCCATTAAATATTTTTGGAGGTTAGAGACTAACAATGAGGAGGTGCGAGGTGGTTATCATCGAATTTGTGCTCAGATTTATTTTTCAAAATTTCAAAATTTCAAAACTTGATATTTTTACGCCATTTTTGAATGCTAAACACGGTACTTTTAATAAGTTAACTTTTTTTAATGATTTCAGCGAATTTTTATAATTTCAGGGAAGTAATTCTGATGAAAAATTGGGTTTTGGTTTTGAAATCGGGTTAAAATTCGAAAAGTTTCAGCGTTTTTAAAAATTAGGAGCTTTATTGAATTTTATTTTTGAAATTTCCTCCACGAGAATAAACATGCGCATTCAGGAAGAAACAAAAATACGGGTCCACTTATTTTTGAAGGTGACCAATTTAAAATTAGATATCGCCGATAACCACCTCGCACCTCTTCGTTGTAAGTTGTTTGGGAACATTACAAAAACTGTTTTCCCAGCTCTTCGTCAAGCCAACTCTTGCGAAGACGTGATTTAGGAAGCCTAGATAAATATATTTAAATTCATATCAGCAGTGCAAGGAACCGCCTAGAATTATCCCTCCTTTAATGAGTATTATCGCCTACAAGAAAATCCATTAATTCGGGGACCTTATAACTATATTGTGGTCATGGTGTAGGAGGAGAAATTCAAGATTTCTAATAAAACTCTAACAATCTGAAAATACAATAACCTAACATTGCGTTACATTGGAAAATACCCAAATTTTCGGTAAGAAAATGTCCAACCTTAACATTTGGTTGGCATAGGAGAAATCCCATAAATTCCAACAGATTTTTCTCTGCGGAGAGAAAATTGTGAAAATAAATGACCTTCCAGAAACGACCTTTGTCCTACTCCCGCACCATGACCAGGATTTTTCAGGACGACTTTTTTATCTTACTCCCGAGTTTAACCTTTTCTAACCAAACGACAATTGCCTTATTTACATTGCAATGGGTTAACGGCATGATAGATGGCGCTACTTGTCTCGCACTTCTATTTCACAATGCGATAACGCCAGCGGTCTCGCTCAGATTTTGGGGAAAAAACGATAATTATATAGCCTTAGATAAATAATTAAACACGTGTTTCAGGATTTTTCATAACGCTCAGTTTAAGCAAAAACTGTTCGTACTGCATGAAAGATATTTTTAGACTGATTCAGATCCTTATTGAGTTGCATATATTTAAAGATGTGACAAACATTTAACAATGATACATACATAAGACACATGTATAAGTAAGTGTTGAGTAGTTGGGTTAAAACTACGTAGATTCATGCATTCATAAAGTGTCCCTTTCAATGAGGCATGAAACTAAAAAAGGGGACCCTTTTAATCCCTTGTCCAGAGAAAAAGAGGTCAACTGCTCAGCCCTCATAAAGTTTACTTGAAAATTTAAAACTTGAAAAACTCGGTTAAGAACATGCATGTTTTAACAAAATTATAGTACGGACCACGGACGGACCTGTGCATCAAAGGACACGTGCTCATGTGAACGGACGCTGACGCACAAAACCCTGAGAAACAAGATATTTAACGTTAAAACGAATAAAATGCGACCATAACATGCAACCATATGTAGGTAAATGCATCACAAAACTCGTAACGAATAAACAAAGTCGGATAAAATAATTTTGCACAATCGGCCAAGTAAAGCATACAATAAAGACGGAATTAATTGTCCCACGATAATTGATAAACATCTAAAACTAGGTTGACTCTGACACATGACATAGTGACGAGCTCTTTTTCATTATTGCAAAACTGGAAAAACCAAGTATCTAGTACGAGGTTGTACAATCTTTGCATTTATGTACGGTGCGATGTCATAATTAGCATATTACTTATCCACTCTCCAGTGGATAAGTAATATTCTAATTTTCTAAGTACTGGGAACTGGATCATATTCACATCAGTGGGAACTGGAGAGTTCCAGCGAATGGGAAAAACTAGGCATTCATTTTTACCTCAGCATTACATATGTAGTTGAATTAGTTTTTTAGTAAATTTATTGCCTCCACGTGTAAAAATTTAAAGATTGATGAGGATAAGCACCACAAGAAAGTGGCCTTCATAACATGTTGCCAAAGTCATACTCGTGGCGGTGAGAAGCGATAACGTTGCTGTGGAGGCATTTCTTTGTGCATTAAAATTAAAGGGTTTTGAAGGAATGCAGAAATTGACATAATTATAAAATTCGGACCATAGCATTATTTCATAAAATAAATAATCACACCTAAAACATCAGGGGGTGGTCGCAGACCCACAAAGTATATATACCTGAGACTTTAAATTTTCATCCAAAAAGTTTCCAGTTATTTTTTGAATTTTTTTTCGAATTTCCAAGATCCGGGATGTAGAGAAAAAAATTAGGAATAATTTGACGAAAGTATCATTTCGATTTCTTTTCTTGAAATCCGTTTTGTTCCCCCTCGGGAAAGGGGCGGACTTAAACAAGAGTTTTGGTACCTCACAAAAATCACGTCTGCAAATCTTAACAAAATCACTCTTTTTTTCTATTTTTCAAAATTCCTCATACACTCTTAGCCAAACGGTATTGAATCATCACCAAACGGGGAGCCCACATGACTTGACCAAATTCTGATAATGCTTTACCCCACATTGTGATAAATCATCCCCACAAAGTGTTAAATCCTCACGGTTTAGTGTTACGTTTACACATTGTGTGGAAGATTTATCACAATGTGGGGTAAAACATTAGCACAATTTGGTTAACAATTCAAGTCTTTTACGTGTACAACTCAGATCTGATTGAGACCAAGTTTATTTTGTTCAGCACAAAAAAATAAGCCTACCCGTATTTCTGCATTTTTTATAATGCGCTAATTTGAGCGCATGGCGCGAATTTTTAATATTTTTCCAGCCAAAACCTCGGTTTTAAAATATTACACAACTTTTCGAATTCAAAAATTCGAAAACATGTCTCTTCAGATTGAGTTACCCGATTTATTAAAAATCCAATTTTCGCGAAATTCAAATTTTAGAATTTTTGGCTGCTTTTAAAATTAAAAAACTACCAACCTTTTCAGAGTTTTATATTTTATAAAAATTTTACAATGAGATTTTTAATATATCAAGTAAGTCAATCTGAGAAGACTTGTTTCTCAATTTTTGAATTCGCTCTAAAATTCGAAAAATTGTGGAATTTTTTAAAACCGAAGTTTTGGCTGGAAACATAATAAAATCGCGCCACGAGCTCAAATTAGCATATTACGAAAAATGCAAAAACACGGGTAGGCTTATTTTTTGTGCTGAACAAAATAAAATTGTCTCCATTAGATCTGAGTTTTACACGTAAAATACCTGCTTTGTAAGTCATGTGGACTCTCCGTTTTGTTAAGGGTGCATATGTACATACATGTTCAGTATCATTTGAATGTCATCTAATTACTAATCTAATTACTAATTACTCTAATTACTCGCCTTATTTTAATTTTTTATGAATCATTTACTGGCTTTGTAAAAATTTGCTCCTTTACTGGCCCAAGCAGGCCGAAAAAAAACGATTAATAAATCAAATCAAATCAAATGTGTACATACATACATTATTGTTACTGTAGTGTAACCTTCACGAAAATTAGGGTACATACTTTTATAAAAATTCTCATCGCATGAACATCTGGTAACTTGAGTGGCTGTGAAGCAATGAAATTTCAGCTGCTGAACTTGAGCAAGGAAAGTAACGTGGAAAAATGAGTATCTTTTCATCACTTTGTTCACACACTTGAGGATAAAGGTGAAATTTCATTGCTTCATAGCCACTCAACTTCCCGGATGTCGAATATGTTAATGTGATGGAAATTTTTGTAAAAGTATGTAAACTTGTTTCCAAGATGCGACCCAGCACTGCGATGGACATCATTTGTGTATACTGCAAACAGTGTTTCTGCTGTTAAAAAACACCTGCAGGAAAATAGTACATAAAAATGTTTTTAAACGTTAAATAACACCTACCAAAAACCCGAGAAAGTGCATGAAAATGCATAAAAATCATTCTAGTGCAAATAATTTTGTAATTTTTCTCAATATTAAATTAATTAAGAAATATTTGTACCATTTTATGATATTTCCCTCACGATTTGAGTGTTTTAGCTTCAAGGTAGTTTCGGTTTTTTACTTGAAAAATGAATTATAGTCCGTAAAAAGTTTTTCGGACTTTTAGAATTATAACTTAATAATTTTATACCGGTACGTCCGGAACTGAATCTTACCCCCATCTGAGGGGGTACAAAAATATAAAATTTCGTAAAAATATGACAGTCCTTGCATTGAATTAATTTGTATGCATTTTTATGCATTTATATGCGTTTTATATGTATTTTTTGTACATCATGCTTGCATAAAAATAATTTCGTGTGCACAAAAAGAAACACTAGATTGTTTGTAGTCCACAAACAATCTCCTTGATATAAATTGTGTTATATAAAATGTAGCCACATGTAAATTTTCCCACGTGTTAAGTTGCACAACATATTTGTAAGACAAGACAACAAGCTTGTCGCAGTTTAAAAGTATTTTCTTGTATTTATTACTCGAGCATACAAATTCGCACTTTCCGATTATTTACTGGCTTGATCGCGTAGTTCAACGTCTTCGGAATTCGGAATAGTTACGAATGTTAAAATTTCACTAATACCAAAAATATGTCGTAATTTTTAACATGCCCAATTATTCTGACGATTGATATTTGAATTTGTAACATTTTTTGTCTGTTTATAATCAGATTTATATTAAGGTTCAATTTTATCAGCATTTCGATTGTAGTGATGTGGCCTGTTTATGTATATTAAGCTATGTACACTGTAAATAATCGAGTAATAAACATTACCGAAAAGCACAAGTATATGACTCTACCAAAGTGGTAATGATAACTTGTACCGTGTGGGAATTGCTTGGTAATAAACTTCTGCCATCATGTTAACGAATTTTTACTACCTGGTAAAATAATATTACCAAATTTATTACCGACAAATCATTACCCGCGGGCCTTTACCGGATTTTTAATAGTGTACATACACTTCCTACCCTATGAGTCAACATACATGATCCGCTGTTCAAATAATAATTTCATCCCGAAAGATGGAATCCGATGTTAAATATTTATTTTTGGGTCAGTTTTGGAAAATGCGCGGGCTTAAAATTGAAAATAAACAAAACGCTTAGAGAAGTGGGACACGTTTTACAATCCGACAACGTCAGCAGTCTCCGCTCCGAAGCCACGATAATTATGCAACATTTGATAAATAATTAAACACGTGTTTCAGGATTTTTGCATAATGTTCAATTTAAACGATATTAGGATGGAATCCGTGTCCAAGAATCTGTAATTTTCTCCCTTGTGAGAAAAATGTCGGGGTAAATATCGAAATTCTCGCTAATATAATTTCGTTACAATGTTTCGAGCATTATGAAAAATCCTGTGTTTAATTATTTATCTAAGGTTACATAATTATACTGGTTTCCTCAAAATCGGAGCGAGACCGCTGGCGTCATCGCATTGTTACACTGTAAATAATTTTGAGGCAAATCGTCACCCGCGGAGGTACTATGGTGCTCTATTTCTGGGTAATGGTTTGTCATCATTGGGAAATAAGTCAAAAACTCGTGTACCAAAAACACGTGACGTCGTTACTAAAAAACTTGATTATTTTTATCTGAATACAGGATTTTGTTTACACAAAGAATCGAATTTTGTAAATGACGACGTGTACGTGTGTTTGATACACGAATTTTTGCCATATTTCCCATTGGTGACAAATCATCGCCTAAATCATTACCGAAAAATAGTGGACCATAGTACCTCAAGGTACTTCAAGGTCTTCCACACCAAATATTTTTGAGCCTAATTCAGGTTTCAACAGTTATCTGCCCCTTATCTCCATAACACAAATGTGTCAATAATTTCAGCAATAAGGTTGGGAAAAAGTAGCAAATTTTGTAAAAGATTTTATTCAAATGTGCCGATTTGTGCAAATGCCATTAGTGTAAAAGGCCAATTTGGATACGATTATATAACACGAATGGAAAAAATTGCGAATATGCGACCACGTTAAGGGCGCCATTATCTTTTTGTCTAGGGTGCCACCTTGCAGTGCACGGGGCCTGGATAATAGAGCACTAGCAATTCTACAAATTAATTCTTTATTAAAATTGAATTAATAAGTAACGAAATTACTGAAAAAGCAGATTTTTTAAGAATTTAATACAAGAGGTCGTGACTCAGTGTGCCCCGAAAAACCCAAAAAAATCCCAGGCTATGGGTTTTCAATAATAAAACACTGGTGTTTTTCTTACCCTTCTATTGATTTCAAATCAATTATGCAGACTAAATATGTATGCACACACTTATTACAGCTACAATGCACCTGGAATTATCCCCGGGTAATAAATTTATTACCATGGCGGTATACTCAAATACAGTAACCGCTTCGTAATAAATACCTGCTACAAAATTATTTACAGTGTAGCATCCTCCTTTCCTACTCTCTATTCGGACACAGTTGAACTTTTACAGAAATTGAGACTTCTGAGAAACTACGGCAATGCCAGTCTCAATTTCCTCCGGCATTCTAACTTGATGAAAATTGAGACTCACAGTCCTGCAGTGTTTCAAAAATTCTCAATTTCTATAAAAGTTTAACTGTGTCCGAATGAAGGGTACACTCTTAGAAATGGGGTTACGATTATAACCAAAAAGTAAACGTATATTACTCTACCGCCGTGGTTATGAATTTGTCACCAATTGGTTATAAATTTATTAGCTCTGGTGACAATTTAATACCAAGTCGACGAAACTTTGTAATTAGTCGGTGACAATTGTAACCACTCGACGACAAATTTATAACCACCGCGGTAGAGTCATATACGTTTACTTTTTGATTATAATCGTAACCTCATTTTTAAGAGTGTATGTATGAATAAACTGATTAAAAAGGTATTCATTTTCCCACGCCACAATTTTCTTGCTCAATCCCACAAGGGTGAAACAAGTAGGGGCAAAGTTACTCTTTCAGTCGGCCTTTATTAAGAAGCAGAAGAGGATAAGTGGATATTTTACTTATCTGACCATAAATATTTTCAGATTTCCACCATGGATTCAAACAAGCTTAACCAAAATGACGATTTGGGTAACTGCCGGGTAAAATTTGCTGTTAATTTGGAAACACTTTCGGAGAAGATAAGCTCCGAGATGAAAAATGGGTGGGATTCTGTCAAGAAACTTGAGAAAGAATTTGACTTCTTTGTTCCAGAAATTTATAGGTGAGGGTCAAAAATATTAATTAACGTAGTAATTTATTTAATTTACACAAAATTGGGACAATAGTAAATAATTGAAGAACTATTTTATTTAAAAAAAGTTACGTATCTGATTAATTAATTTAACTAAAGTTAATTTAATTGAAATTAATTTAATTAATAATTAAGCTAATTATTAATTAAATTACAATTCCCTATAATATTACTAATTGCCTTAGTAGCTCAGTGGTCAGAGCACTTGACATGATTCAAGTAAGCCGAGGTTCGATTCCCGGCTGGGTAAAAATTTCTGGCATTATTTGGGATTTTCTTATTTATAAACTGATTAATTTAATTAATTAATTAAATTTAATTAATTAATTACATAAGTTCTTTCCCCCAAAGGCCCCCCAACAATTCCACCATATTGGAAACTAATCCACAACTCAGTGCGGTCAGGGATGACTTGGAAGACTGGATTTCTGATAGTTATGGGACCTTCGTAACGCAAAAATATGGCGACAAATTAGCCAATCAAGCCGTATCTTGCGTACCTCGACTCTTTCCAAGGTATCCCGTGGCGTCAACAGAGTTTCAGGTTTTGTGCTATTTCTTCATCATGGGCGTCATCCTGGATGATTATTCCACCGACCGTGGGGATGAAGAGGGGGCGAATAAAAAACAATACTCCGAGATGGGTAGCAACACCGTCGCGGAACTTTTTGAAGCGACCGCCGGAAACGACGTGATTGGTACGATATTTGTCTCAAATTGCCATCTCGGGCAAACATTAAGTGCTGGGATATTGACCGCATAAGTTTTTGCTTCTCCATTGTATTCTTATCTTGGCTACGAGAAGTCTTAAAGATTATTATTGCCTACAAGAAAATGCATTAGGTAATTCAGGGACGTTATAAGTGTGTTGTGGGAGGAGAAATTCCAGAGTTTTAAGAAAACTGGAAAAAAAATGAAAATTCAAAAGTTTACCATTGCCCTAGATAGAGAAATATTCAAGTTTTTGGTAAGCAAATGCTCAAATTTAATATTTGGTTGGCATAGGAGAAATCTCTTAGATTCCATCCCATTTTCTCTATGGAGAGAAAATCAATGACCTTCCAGAAACGACAATTGTCCTACTCCCGCACCATGACCAGGATTTTTCAGGACGATTATTGTCTTACCCCCGAATTAACTGTGCCTGGGGGCAGGGAATTTCTAAAAAATGAAGTTAAGGGCTAATTTTTAGAGAGATTTGAAAACGGATCTGTAAATATGTGGGAAATGCGTTTCTGCTGCAAATCCATTTTCCATTCTGTCCCAAAATGAGCCGTAATAAACATCATTTTTAAGAAATTATTTTTATGCCAGTGTCCCAGGCAGCCTTAAACAATTTCTTACAAAAGGACAATTGTTTTATTCACATTTCAAACGTAGGTACACATCAGAGCCAGTGTTTTATTTATTGCGGGTTTGGCTCATTTCTTGCACTGCCCCTAGCAGGTGCAAAAAATGGGAAGAACTACAAGAAAGGCGCGCTGCATATTATAAAATATGCTCTAGTATTATTACATAGTCCATTAAAGATGCACAACAATTATCACTTCAATTTTTATAAACATTAAGGTTTTTAGAAAAAAATCCGAATAATTTGGCTTTCTGACTTTTTTTCCATATTCTTAGGTTTATACGAAAATTTGAACTTCTCCAAACATAAGTTTAACACAACTGAAAGACTACTAAATGGTGCATACATAAACTGCAAAAGAATTGAAACCGATAACTTGCCCCGCTACTAAGTTATTGTTATTTGAATTTGGAGGTTCGTCCTACCCGAATAAATAATTTTGCTCCCTAGCGTATCTAGCCATGAACTCCGCAATTTCTTGCATTTCCTGCGGAAAAAATATTTATCTGCATGTAACCAATTCTTGCGGTTGATTCTTGCATATGGTTACCTGCACCCGAGAGACTGATTAATAAAAATTATTGCCCAACCTACATAGACATAGATGCACAATAAACCATCGTAAACTTCTGACTCACTTCACCCCAACCGCTCCCACTACATCGCCGGAACACTTAAATTCACCGTATTTGATGTTATTTTATATATATATATATATATTTTGTTATATATTGCTAGATGTTATTTTTGCAAAAATCTCATTTTGCCCCGAACACTCAGCCTGTATGCGGGAGCGTGTGGCACAACTTGGGAGCATCTAATTTCGCTCTTTCATCCATAGCTACCATTTCTGCAAAAATCTCATTTTGCCCCGACCACACCCCCTGGCACCAAGACCGTTGGCCCAAACAAGTTGATTGGGCCTCCTCCCGGGGCATGCATATCATGTCGAAAACCGATTTCAATTATCTCCATCCGTTCACCAGTCATCCTGCTGACAAGCGGACAGACATATGTACAGACAGACAAAGTCTTGGATAAAGTAGCTGAAGCTACTTAATAAAGACACCATACGATCTCGAGGCAAAGGAGTATGTAAATCCATATTATAAGCTGGAAATGTTTGTCGGCAACGGAAGTGAAAGTAAAGAAAGTCAGTTTCGAATTCAAAATAAAATAAATTACAAATCTTAAATGCCCGATAACCACCATCAAACATTTAATGTTTTACATTTATTTTTAATTTTTGCCCCATTCGAAACTTGACATTCTTACCCTTCTCTTCCGTTGCGGAACATTTGCTTTCACTTCAGTTACCGACAGACATTTCCAGCCTTCTTGGCAGGCGAGAGACGGGCTTATATGCTAGTAGACAATACGGAAAAACCGTGATTGAACGTATGTAAATCCTATTTAGAAACGTGCCCTTAATTTTTCTACAGACACCAAACATCTCACGACGAAGGCCATGGACATGAAAGTGTTTAAAGAACACCCGTTCTTAATCTCGATTGGGAACTCGATGAAAGAGATTTTCATCATTCTTCAAACCCTTAATGGAAACCTTACTCTTGACAAATTGTGGTCAGGGTACAAACTCAATCTCCTTAAAACGTCGGAGTCTGCGAGGTGGACGTTCAGAAATGAAAATATGGGCAAACTGGACGCATTTTCGGAGGATACGTGTCGCTATTTTAGGACTAGTGTGAGTGATTTTCGGATACAAATAAGGGGTAGATTATAATCATGGTTCGCTACCCCGGGTTTTTGTGGGTTGGGATTTTTGGGGTACTAAATATCCGGAAAAAACCTAATGTTTAATGAGATTTAGTGTTGCGAGTGAGTTGTAATGAGTTGGACTTAAATGCACTATAAATATTCACCAACTTGAGTAAAATTAATCTATAAACATTTTTGGATTTGCAGATAAATTTGGAATGAAATCGTACAAATTACGACGAAAGAACAAAATTGTAAATTGATAATTGTTAAACTAGCTTGTCGTAAACTCATTTTCAACTCATTTACGACTCATGAACAGTTTAGTCTAAAATTAATTCTTATGTTAATTGAAAGTTGTACCATTCCACCCCAAACTTATCTCGGAGTCCAAAAATACTTATGAATTAAATTTTTCGCAAGTCGGTGAATATTTACAGTAAATTTAAGAACAACTCATTTTTACAACTAACTGGCATCTCTAATGAGCTTTTTTCGGTTTTTTTTTCGGGTTTTTGGGCAGATTGAAACAAGCCTCTTTAAACTAGGAGTTAACTTAAGTCACTTAGGTCAATGAAAATTTAATTTTCAGATTCAGCATGCAATTTTCAGCACTTTTATCTGCGACTTGAATTTCCAATTAGCATGCCATTCCTGGTTTTATTTCAATTTTACTTGTTAAACATGAACGCTTGAGTTAAAAATTAAAATTCTGAAAAGTCTGTGCCGAGCCCGAGTATAGAATTAGTTTTATGTATAATTTTAGGAATTTTGTTCCAACCAGCCCCATTATCTACAAAAACCCACAAAAATCCCAAAAACCTTCGAAAAATCCACAGGGTTGGGCATTTCTAGAAAAACCCAGGGGTTTTCGGGACCCTGATTATTATTTGATAGTACATAATGACTTCTCCTTTTTGGGGACCTTGTTTATTTATTCGGGATGTTACAAGACATTGAAATAATTATTTTCACAGGCCACCGGCTTCACGGATACGATGTGTTACATCAGAATGTTAGAAGGAATCGAGTTACCCCAAATAATATCGGGACACCCCGTATTCATCAGATGGCACGATATTGGGGAAAAGCTGGCCGGGATCTTGAATAATTTGCTCGGCCTGCAAAAGGACCTCTTGCTCGGAGAGGGGGAAGCAATTTTTTTATACAAGCTAAGAAAAGGAACCCTTCTTAGCCACGCAGTGGACGAAGAGCTCCAACTATTGCGGTGAGCCCTGAGAAATTAATCGATTTCGAAATTAAAAATTAAAATTTGACATAAGAAATTCCTGAACCTGAGATTAAGATTAAAATTATCCGCAACTACTAAATTAAATTATTAACATTAATCTATTGCGGTGAGTCGTATCCAAAGCTGGGAAATTAATCAATTTCGAAATTAAAAATTGAAATTTGACATTAAAAATTCCCCAACCATAGATTAAGATTAAAATTATCCCACAACTACTTAATTAAATTATGAAGATTAATTAATCTGTTATGGATTAGGATTAAGATTGACAATTAATTAATCTTGATTAATAATGTTAATTTCGACTGATTTAATTTTTTTCATGATTTATTTATGTTGAATTGGTTTTAAACCTGTATCAATTCAATGTTTCAACTAATTAATCCAACATATCGAGTTTGAGAAATGGAAGGCTTGAATACCTAATGAAGTGGAAGATTAAAATCAAAAGTTAGTACTGATTGAATTGACGTACGAAATTAAGATTAAAATTAGTGATTAAAATGACTAAATTTATTGATTAAGATTATGGTTTAAGACTAATTAATCTCAATCTTAATCTTGATCTTAACTATTTTAATCAAGATTTTCCCAGCTCTGGTCTTATCCACATCAGTACATATTGGTTATGTTTTTACTAATTAGCTTTCCCTATTTTGCGTAGGGATTCCGTGAACGATTACAGAGAACTTAGACGCTACGTTTTAACCGAGTTTGGAGAAAAATACGGAAGGATTTCCGATTATGTCAAATTTATGGATAACATCCTGCACGGATCTATATACGTTTTCAGGGATTCAATCAAATACGGAATGACAGAGCAGATTTGGGTGGATTATGAATGAGAACCAGACGTTAAATTCAGCAGATTTATGTTTGTACACTAAATAATCTGGTAATAAACATTACCGAAAAACACAAGTATATTACTCTACCAAACTGGTAATAATAAGTTGTACAGTGTGGTAATGGCTTGGGAATAAAGTTTTAGCCTCATGGGAACGAATTTTTACTAGCTGATAAAATATTATTACCAAATTACCGAGAAATCATTACCTGCATGACCTTACCGGATTATCAAGAATGTATAAGCTTAAATAAATCAAAATATGTGTGTAGTATGTACTACAAAACTTTGGAATTTTATAACAACTGGAATTTTATATTATATGTGCACGCATTTTATCTTCGAGGAGGTTCAAAATTTTTAACACACTCATACAGTCAATCCAAAAAGTATTGGCAGCGCAAACGAGAGCTGCATAAAATTGGTTATAAATTTGACATGCATTATCAAATTTACTGAAACTGCAGGCACCTGGCAAATTTAATATAGTGTTCGATTATAATCATTTTTGGGATTTAAATTAAAGAATCCCGACATAATTCTAAGTTTGAGTTTGACCCAAACGAGTCAGGTACGAACCTCCAAAAAGTATTGGCAACATGTGGTTTAACTCGGTGGGCGAAATTATTATCCAAATATTTTCCCACATTTCACCACGGCAAGTTAATTAGGGAATAAAATATGACCTTACCTGCTTCAGAAGTATAGCTTGATGTTGCCTAGGGCCAAAATAGTGACCCCAAAACGGTCTTATTTGGCGGCACGAGAAATTACCATGTCGTTTTTCACAAAAATGCTTCCATGTCGAAAAATTACCATGAAATGAAATTACCATGTCGAAAAATTAAGCAAAAAACATGCTTCGCCATATTTACTGTTCCAGCCATACCCAAGAAACGGACCATGAAAATCCTAGTGGCTGTTATTCAACAATCCGCCTGAAAAATTTACCTGTGCCCAAAATCGACAGACTAATTAGCTAATTAGTTTTTCCACGGAGGATGATTTCAGCTCCAAAACTCAACTGGAATTTGCTAACCAACTCTGCAGCCAACAAATCAGGCAATATGGTTAACATTCGAACTCATGCCATGGAGTTTGAAGGCCCAGCATCCCAAACGACGCGTGAGCCACCAAACCGCATAAACTCGAGAAAGTATTATGGGGTGGTATTTAGATACCACCCCACAAAAATTCGTAGCGAGTGAAAATGAGTCTACTGGTCTCACAGGACCATATATTGCTTACTCGGATCGGATAAATGTCTCAAGTCTGGCGGATGCTAAATTCGGCTAATAAACGAATGCCTTCATCCGACATTCAAACACGGAGGCGTATAAACTCTGATTTAGGGTTAAATGCCTTGGTCAACGTGTAGTAAACTGGTCGTTATTACCAAAATCGTGACCAATTAGGTCTATTTAAGAAGTCCAAACGATAATTTGAAATAGTCTGCAAAACAAACTGAACCACTTCAAATTCCAATAATGTAGTAAATTCACACATACAGCCAGAGTAACAAAGAAATCTTTGTAGACGGAAAAGGTTAAGCTTCGTTCATGGCCTGCCGTTCCCAAATTTGCCCCATACAGGACTTATTGAACAATTTTTGCCGTTATACAAGAAAGAATATCATATTCGAAAAGTTGCAGGCAAAAATTTGAACTAATTTCACCAAATGTGGTCAAGAACACCAAAAAAGGTAGCTAAAAACGGTGACGAAGCACTAATGGAGACCGCCCGACAAATGCTTCTCAAGATTAGGCGGAAGGAGGTGTACGGACCATTCGAAGCAAAAAATAATTCCCTTCAGCCTTTGTCTCTGTCCCATCAAAATTTCGTTTAAATAAATCTATTACTTTAGTTTTTATGTGCATTTAACCAAAATTGCATTGGTTTCAGAACACCGTCTATGAAAAACTATGTTTTTTGAATTCATGGTAACGTTAGTTAACGTAGTTGTAGTTTGATCTAGTTGGGTATGAAAAGCTAGCAATACATATTTATATATCCGCCGTCTGTTGATTATGTATACTCTTAATAATTTTTTGGGGATATTGTTACCGGCGGAGGTACTATGCAATTCTACCGCGTGGTAACAATACAGTAATAAATCGTCTTCCGTGGGTAAGAAATTGCCTCCGGTATCAGTAGTATTTTTATTACCTGAGCGTTGACATTCGAGGCTGGGCGGGATTTAGCCTGTGTATATACGTTACCTTTCGGTGATAAATAATTACCCAAGCGGTAGAACTGCATTGTACCTCTGCCGGTAACAATATCATCGAAAAATTACTGAGAGTGTATGCATATTCTAAAAGTTTAGCAAATACACATTTCAGGATGTATGTACAGCCTTAATGGTAGTACACACACTCTAAAGCAGTGTTTCTGCTGTTAAATAACACCTGCACGAAATTAGTGCACGAAAATGTTTTTAAACGTTTAATAACACCCACTAAAAATCTTAAAAAGTGCATGAAAATGCACGAAAATGCACGAAAATAATTTACATGCAAATAACATAGGAATAATGCAATTTCACTGAATATTTGATTAATGGAGAAATCGATGTGCTATTTATGATATTTTCCTCACCATTTTAGTATTATTTAGTAAAAAAAATATATTTCATTTTTCAAAACGAAAAATGAAATATTATTTGCATGTAAATAATTTTCGTGCATATTCTTTCATTTTCATGCACTTCTTCAGATTTTTAGTGGGTGTTATTAAACGTTTAAAAACATTTTCGTGCACTAATTTCGTGCAGGTGTTATATAACAGCAGAATCACTGCGAAATATGTATGTAAAATTTTTAATCAAATAGTCAAAAATTTGTATATAAAACATATCTTTTATTCGTTCTAAATTGCTTTAAATTAAATGTGTTGGTCTGCTAAAGACAGCAAGTTACATTTCAGAGTGATATACTAACAACTTTTCCAAATGTTCTTGGGTCATTCCTACGATTATCGAAATTATTCAAGTATTGTGAATTTCTGAGATTTTTCGAAAGGAATATATAATATTGGAAAAATTGCCGCAATATGTAAAAACATATTTATGTATTAGAGGTGAGTCGGGCTGGATATTTTGAAAGCCCGCCCAGGCCCGGCCCGATTCAAAGGCCAAACTCAAAAGCCCGGCCCGCCCAAAGCCCGTTGGGCCTGGGCGGGCTCGGGCTAGCCCGACTGAAGCCCGAGCCCGACTCACCTCTATTATGTATCAAATATATATATATACATTTTTGGCAAAATCGTTGAAATATGTAAGAACATATTCATGTGTATGTATGAAAACCTCGACATATGTAAAATATGTGAAAATATTTTTTGACCGTGTGACCTATGCCTGACCACAAACAAAATCCCAAAGTTTCAATTCAATCTATGTTGTTATTAAAAAAGTCCTTCTTCCTTCCCACAACCGCCCTAGTCATGCTGACAAACAGGCAAAAAGAAATTCTAAAAGGCAATAAAGCAAAAATCTAGCTTTTTCCGCAAACTCATTTGGCACACTCTAAATCAAACTTGTGCTAAATTTCCCTAACGTTGAGTGAAAAAGAGGATGACACAACAATTGAGTAAAATTTGCCCAATCGTTGTGCAAAATCTACCCAACTTTTGCAAAATTTAACTACACGTTGTGCAAAATTTATCCAACGGTCGGACAAATTTTACTCAACTGTTGTGTCATCCCCCTTTTCACTCAACCTTAGGGAAATTTAGCACAACTTTTATTTAGAGCGTATAAGCAATTCTTTACGTTTAGCACCATTTTATGGCATGATAATCCTGCATACATTAAGTTTCAAAAATAATGGCAAGCTTTCATAATAAAAGGCGCATCGTATGTTTAATCACGATGGAGAGATTCCTTAAATTGATTGTGACACGTGTGAATACAATTTTTTACCAAGTACATAAACTCCAGGAAACATAAAATATACACATATTCCACTATCGCCTTATCTCTTATTATACGGCAACATACATCGTGTCGGGATTTAATATATGTAGATGACGGTGAGACCTGTCACAAAACTTATAATGCGAAGGTGTGAAGTGTAACCCTCGGAGTTAGTTGAAATATGTACTTCCATTATGTCGTCCTAGTCAATACAACCCACGTTTCTTGAGGCAGTTTGTGCGATGGTCGGAATTTGTCAAATGAATTGAGGTCAAATTTGAAAAAAATGGGTAAATTGGTTCAAATTGAGGAAGCAAATTGCACTCCAAAGGGGAAAACCGCCCATTTTTCAACTTTGACATCGATATTTTGATGAATTCCGACCGTCACACACACTGCCTCAAGAAACGTGGCTTGTAATGAATAGGAGCACATTATCTTAAAAATTCAATCAAATCCGAGAGTTACACTTGACACCAACATTTTGAGTTTCCTACAATTTACGCTTTCCCACGGACAGCTTCCAAGTGAACAAATAAGGTTGTTTAGAAATTATTGCAAAACTTGTTGTACAGAACATATTTACAATATTTCGCAACTTCACCAGCACATATTTATATTTGCATAACGCCACTACTTTACCCTCGACGGACAGATTTCTTAGTTGTTTCGCAACTATATTTCTGTTTTTTTTTCAATGGAGCGTGTGCAGAAAGGATTGGACTACGTGATTCCGCCTTCTTCTCGACCACAGTCCTCGTTTGGGTCTAGAGAAAAACAGTCATGGATAAATTCATACTTCCCCCAGGTTCCCGCCACTTGTCGGTATCGTGGACCTACGATTTTTCAAAGATAGACATCAGTCCTAAAATACCCCAGGCAGTGGCAGACTCCCTAAAGAAGTTGGGACCAACTAAAGTTACAATTCCTTACTACACTCCGAAGGTACAGATTATAGTACACTCTTAGAAATGGGGTTACGATTATAACCAAAATGTAAACGTATATTACTCTACCGCCGTGGTTATGAAATTGTCACCAACTGGTTATAGCTTTATTAGCTCTGGTGTTAATTTAATACCTTTTATGAGACTTCATAATTTGTCGGTGACAATCGTAAGCACCCGATGACATATTCATAACCACGGCGATAGAGTCACATAAATAAAAGTAAATGTTTACTTTTTGGTTATAATTGTACACTCTAAACAAAGTTGTAGAAAATTTCTACAAGGTTGTGTAAAATTTTGTCCAACATTGGGTAAAAAAGAGGATGACACAACCCGTGGTTAAATTTTACTCAACCTGGTTGAGTAATTTTTGCTCAACAAGTTGTGGAATTTTTACTCTATAAGTTGCGGAATTTTTACTCAACTAGCTACTAAAAAAAGGATCAATTAATGATTAAAATTTACTTTTTGTTGATCAAAATTTGCTTTTTATCCTGTTCGAAATACTTTATTTGGCTCATTAAAACGTACACTTTATTTGTTATAATTTATTCTCATTTTACATTTTATAAATTCTGCTAATAATTTTATAAAGTGTGTACAATATCATTAATTTTTGTAATGTTACTTAGATATAAGTATTACTTCGGAAACTACTAAAGACATGCAACTAAAATTTTGAGTGACCTACAAATCTTCTAGCTATTGTGATTAATTTAAATTGGTGATCAATTGATGAGATTTTTTCTGCTAACAGACGTTATTCTATTGAACCTGCGGCACCGTCCAGCAACTTTACAAAAAACCGTCTTCAACATCGTTATCTGTAAAAATATAAGTACAAATAAATATGTGAATGAAAATTATTCGAAAATATGAGTAAATGTGCCAAAAATAAATAAAAAAGCCTTACCTTTGAATTTATCTCCATATTAGATTGTAATTTGAAGAATTTTTTCTAATCGTAGAGTATTTTTAGTAAATTTCCAAAAGAAGAATTAATTTACTGCCATTGCTTTTGTGACTTGCTGACAACAAGTCACCAACTGACGGCATGCACGTATTTGATAAATACGCCCAATGGAGAGAGCACATTTTACTCAACCCTTGAGTAAAATTTAACCAACTTTTTAATCATTTATTACCCAACATTGATTAATTTTACATTTAGTGAACAAAAAGGTCGAATTTTGTCCAATGTTGTATAAAACTTGATTCACACAACTCTCGTGTGTAATTTTTAGCCTGAACAAGTAAAAAATTTGTCCAACGTTGTAGAAAATGTGATCAACTTTAATTTACTCAACTAGCTTTACTCAACTTTATTTAGAGTGTAACCCAATTTCTAAGAGTGTATAAATTTCAATTTTAAAGGACATACATATGTATTGATCGTTAAACACGGTAAATAATGTGGTTATGCTATCGTTTAAATTGTAAGGAAAAATCTGTGGATGACCCCTTAGCAATTTTAGAAATGTTGGTATGAAAAAGTAATTTCAAAAAATCGGCCAATTATTTTTAAAGATATAATTTCAGCATACTAATATCTAGGATGGGTCAGAAATCGATAAATATCTTGGTGGTATATCTTTACACGAAATATTCCTTGGGTGACCCGAGTGAAAATTTAAGGGATTCTATGTATAGAATTGGCTATATTGTATGCATAGAATTGGCTATATTGTATGCATAGAATTGGCTATATTGTATGCATAGAATTGGCTATATTGTATGCATAGAATTGGCTATATTTTATGCATAGAATTGGCTATATTTTATGCATAGAATTGGCTATATTGTATGCATAGAATTGGCTATATTGTATGCATAGAATTGGCTATATTGTATGCATAGAATTGGCTATATTTTATGCATAGAATTGGCTATATTGTATGCATAGAATTGGCTATATTTTATGCATAGAATTGGCTATATTGTATGCATAGAATTGGCTATATTGTATGCATAGAATTGGCTATATTTTATGCATAGAATTGGCTATATTTTATGCATAGAATTGGCTATATTGTATGCATAGAATTGGCTATATTTTATGCATAGAATTGGCAATATTTTATGCATAGAATTGGCTATATTTTATGCATAGAATTGGCTATATTTTATGCATAGAACTTGCTCCATTTTATTCATAGAATTGGCCAGATTTAATCCATAGAATTAACTGGATCCTATCCAGAAAAATGTATCCAGAAACAATTTGTGCACAAGATACGCAGAATTATACATAATTCTCCCGAACCATTCTTGCACAACATACCCGTCACAAGCTTTATGCAGAATGGTTCCCACTTTTTCTACACAAACTATTGTTCCCTCCACTTGTCAAACTCGGGAGGTCTCAACGATTTTGACCAAATCTCATATTCCCACTGCCAAACTAACTTTCCTCTAAAACCAGAACATGCGCCAGATGACGCCCACCGACGAAATCGCAATCCCCCGGATGCGGCGGAGATTTAAAAGCTTCCTCACCCAATCCTTCGGCGGCGTCGTGTCACAAGAAGAAATTTCCAAAGTGGCCGAATACGGGGTTGATTTCACCTACTGGTACTATCCCACGGGACCCATCGACTCGCCGCAATACTTCGCCGTGACCAAGATGTGTGGCATCCTGTTCATTCTGGACGACCTGTTTGACGTCAAGGATGCCAATGCGGAGGAAGGGCACCATAAAAGCGGCCATGCCTCCGTGATGCGGCTCCTTTTGGACAAATGGCACAAATCCAACGGTGAGACGGACACCCCGGAAATATCGGTAGAGTTGGAACAATCCTTGAAAGAAGTGCCCTTGCTGGCCTGCATCTGTGTCGCGCTAAGGGACACTTTAAAATCCCTGGATCGCCTCGGAGGGCGGGAGCCAGCTCGAAAAATGTATGAATACTACATGTTCCGAGCATACTTTGCCGAATCTCTGCGCCACAGCCGGGTCTACTCGGTTAATCCCGATGCGGCCCGGTTCTTCACGGGGGAACAGTTAGCGATGACGGCGGTGATTGGCCTGTTCGCCTGGGGGGATGGGATCCGTCTCTCGGAAAAGTTTAAAATGCACCCACTCTTCGTCCGGTATCAAGACATGGCCAAGATGGTGGGGGTCATGCAGAACGATATGGTCGGGCTGGAGAGAGACTTGGTGAATGGCGAGATAAACCATGTCATTACGCAGATGACGGCGGGAAAAACGTTGGACGAGGTGTTGGCGAGGGAGATAAAACTACACGAGTAAGCCGGTTTTTGCAAAAATATGAGGAAAAAACTCTTTTTTTTAACATGTAAAACATATCTTCGGACTAATTCTAAAACCACCTAACTGCAACTTACGTAATTCTAAAACCATATATGTGCACTCGCTTCGTAATTCTGAAGCCACGTCTATGTCTAATTCTAAGACTGCGTCAGTGCAAAACAAAAACAAGGAAAATAAGCTAAATGCAATTCTAAGATGATATGCAGTTAATTATTTGAAAAAGTTCATATACATAAATATGAAAATTAACTGCATACTATTTTGGAATTTCAGGTAGGTTATTTTCCTTGTTTTAGTTTTGCACTTACGTAGTCTTAGAATTACGAAGCGGGTACACATACTTGGTTTTAGAATAACGATGACAATGCAGTTAGGTGGATTTAGAATTAGTCCGACGATATATGATAAAATTTTATTTGCATCTTGTCCTATTACAGGCAAGACGTGGAGGAACACTTGGTCTTGCGGGAAGAGATTATGGCACAATTTAAGGACGACGAAGAGGTCGTAAAATATTTGGAAATAACCGACGCCACCCTGTACGGTCAACTTAAAATGATGGATAAATGCACCAGGAACAGCATGATGGGGAGATTGGACTTTGTAGTGGGAGAGGAATAGCGAATCCGGTTTGTCATATTTAAATACAGGGTGGCTTAAATGTCATGTTATAATTTTAATCACAAAATTGGTCTCTTTTTGTACAGGGTGGCATAAATGTGACGCAATTTACAATGAAAAATTTTTCAATGCGAAAAACCCCTAAATCTCCATTAGTTACAAGATTTTGGATTGAGATTTTTATAATTAATATCAAAACTGATGAATAAATTCGTACAATGTTGAATTTATTTTCATGGGCGGCCTATCCATGTACCTGTTCACATTCATTCATATATGCACTGCAAATAATTTGGTGTAAATCCGGCGCGGTGTAGCCACATATCAACACCGCCGGTGTTAATTTACCCGGATTGCTACCGCGCCGTGTGCATATGTGGCTACACCGCGCCGGATTTACACCAAATAATTTGCAGTGTGTGATTATTCTAGCTGTCGGGGGTATTGGGACCTAACGGGTACTCTGTACACTAAATATAAAAATTAACCAACTATTAAAAACGCTATCTAGTTAATTATGCAGGCATCTGCGCTCCTTCGCATTGGTCACTTGTGGTGCGTGAAATTATATAAAAGACTTACACAACGCAGTTATGATATACTATTTATTGCATAAACGCAATTTAGCATACCTGAACTTTTTACATAACTCAATTTCACATAAAACCCAAAACTAAAGATTGTCCATAATCATGCATACATAAACCGGTAGACCTTGGTAGTATTTCATGAGTGTACTAAAACGCTGAAGTGGTTTGATTCCGAGGTTGACGCCTGTAGTATTTAACGCGCCGCGCCGCCGAAAAACTTGATTTCCTTAAACATTGTGACGCCGCGGGAAAATCACTAAAAACTTCCGGCCGAAAATTTGTCGGCGTGGACCTCTGGTTTGATTCCATTTACGCCAACTACACCTAAATACTCAAATGGTAAAAAAAAACGAAAAAATACTTATATATTTAGAGCGGTAATGAAAAAATGCTACAATCTAATTTTATTTATCAATTATGATTTCATTGCCTTACTAAGATTTCCCATTTTTTGGGACCTTGTTTATTTAAAACTTGTAATTTGTTGTTAATGACATTATGCGCCCTGCAAAACCGCCATTATATTTGCATCATGAAAATTTGTAGTAAATTTTTGATTTTCAAAATTGAATTACTCCGTTATTTCTCAACCGATTTAGGTCATTTTGCACTAAAAATGTCCGGAATGACTTTGCTTGCAATGTTTTCAATAAACAAAAATGCTGAGTTATACCACCAATGAAGTCTATAAAGAAATGTGTTTTCAGGTGCAAATTTTTGCATTTATTGCCTCATAACTCAGGTAAAATCAAAAATTCGCCAAGTCGACTTGCACATCGGTTCTAATCCCGTAAGAATGATCGGTGCAAAATTTATTAAAAATCGGTTAAGACATTACCGAGATATAAAATTGTTTCACTTTTTTGGGGTGGGGTAAATGCATACTTACAATGCGATGGAGTGACGTGTAGCCCTCCGAGTTGGTTGAAATTTTGAAATTACGTGGTCCAAGTCAATTCAACCAACGTTTCTTGAGGCAGTTTGTGCGATGGTCGGAATTTGTCAAAGTATTTGGGGTCAAAGTTGAAAAAATGGGCGTGTACACGAAAATATCCGCGTATATGGACTGGATTGAAAAAACACGAATATTGTGGCTGTGAAGGGATGATACATGTTTATTAAATGAAATTTATCCAAAACAATTGTGACATTTCTTACGTAAAACATGATTATGATATTTTTTTAATAAAGCGCACTTTACTCCGTGGAAAATAGGTGTACTCAATCTATATCAAATTACATACATAATTCCTGTCATAAAGCTGGTGATTGAGTTGCCTGTATTCAGGGTATGCAACCCCGGGTTTTTGGAGTATTGGGGTTTTGCCGGTATTGGTGGGTTTTGGGGTAGCACAAATGAGCAATACCCACGGGCAGTCGGGGTTTTCAAATTTAATAAAGCATCGTGTAGGACATTACTAACAATTCTACAATTTAAGTATTTATTAAATTTGAATTAATAAGCTGTTTGTTGCGAAATTGCAAAAAACAGTTTTTTTCAAAATTTAATGCATGAGGTCGTGACTCAGTTTGCCCCCAAAACCCCAACTACCCCGACTACCCGCAAAACCCAGCTAAAACCCCGGGGTATGGGTTTTCAATAGCAAAACACCGGGGTTTGCCTTACCCTGCCTGTATTCGTATGTAAATGCGTCACCAAAATGCATGCATAAAATCAGGATGAAGTATGCAAATAAAATTTTACGGCTTAAAGATAAATTTCATTAAAATATTTAAATTAGGATAAATTTCATTGACGCAAACACAGGATGTCCATACGCACGTGTTTACATAACGCGGATTTAACACCAGTACATATGGGGCTTTTCATAAATTATGTCACGTAAAAATTGCGATTTGCTAGGCCCCCTCCACTCCTTTGAGGTGTGTCACATTGGTACGAAATCACTGCAGCTTTAGACACCCACACCATCACGCGTGACATAATTTATGAACGGCCCCTACATGTGTACCTATGTACGTAATTATAATGCTGCACTTATGCGCATGTCCATGGAAAGGGAACTTTCCCAGAAATGTGTAAAAAAATTTGTACGTCAATTTCATTTCCTTTGGAGATATGTATTTCTAAAAGTTGGGTAGTTTAAAGAATTTACCCAAGTTTACAATGGGGGACCTCAGACACACGAAAAAATCGTCGCTTAGAATTTCGCTTCGTTTTTCGCTTATCGATAGCATGGCCAAAATTATGAAAATTACAAAATTTTTTTTTCAACTTAAGCTAACCGACGGTAACCCCACTTCTTAGTTGAGTTTCTGTTCACTTACCCCAGAGCTCGCTTATCAGGAAGTAACCGAAAAACGAAGCGAAATTCTAAGCGACAATTTTTTCGTGTGTCTGAGGTCCCCCAATGTTATCAAGGTCTGCGTGAATTGTAAGAAAGAGAAAAAATACTTCCATGTTCTGCCCCTCGTACAACTTTAGTAATTCACAATGGGCAATAATTAAGCAGTTGCTTTCATCCTTTCATTCAAATCTGAAAGGAAGTATTAAAAAACTGGGAATTTACGTCAGAACGATAAATTTATGCTCTTCTATAAAAATTGTATCGATTGAAAAGTGAAGTAATGTAACTAAGCTTTTCGACGAAACTGTTCCTCCAATTAAAATCCGTCTTAGAAAGACTAGAAATTTCAGAAAAATGCGAACACTCCAAATTGCCTGCCTGCTTCTTATTGGGATTCAATTTGTCATAATTACAGGTGTGTAAAAAAATAACAAAGTACCGTTGGGGAATAAAACTAAGCGAAAATTAAAATCCTAAAAACGCAGTCCTTGGTAATGTGGCAAACTTTGTAAATTGTGTAAACTTAGAAACGTTTTCAAAACTTTGCAAATATCTACGTCTAAAGAAAATATCTTAGCATGCAAATTTTTGTAAACTTGGTCAACCTTTTTGCAGGTTTGGATTAGTTTATTAGTTTTGATAAGTTCGTAAAATGATCTTACAAAGCGTACCCATCTCATTTACAAGTTGTCAAAGACTGCTTTAATGTCCTGCAGTTTCCAGACAAAAAATAGTAATAACAAAATTAAAACTCGACTGTAATAACAAATTTTTTATAAATTTGTACTATAATTTATATTTTTTATAATTTTAATTATTTTTAGCTACTATGGATGACACTGGTGTTATATTAGAAAAAGTGGCTTCATTTACAGAGTAATTGATTTGTTATGCCATATTTATTTCTCTTTGTAATATTTTTAATTTACTCACACTAGTGTCATCCACTTTTGCACTCAGCTTTACACAAATTTTACTTATTTTTATTTAAAATGTCCAAATTTAAATAAAACTGTAAAATTATCGAAACCCAAAAAATCAATTTTTTTAAATTAAAACAAATTTAATTTATATATGTATAAACTTTGATTTTATGTACTTCTGACAGCCGAGGAAACCGGGGAGGTTGAAGTTCTCAGGAAAAACCTGACCCGAATCGGTCGGATCGTGGGGGGATATAAAGCCCGAAAGGGGGAATTTCCCTGGGTGGCTCTGCTCCAATTTGAAGGCGAACTCTTCTGCGCGGGAACCATCCTCAACGAAAATTACATCTTGGGAGCGGCAAGTCGTACTCTTTTTGCGTAACGCCGTCAAAAACTAGACGCAATTACACGGCATACTTGGCATCATTCGTAACATTCGTAACTTTGCCGTCTTTTTATAAAGATCTTGAAGGAAAGTTAGGTTACAGGTATAAATTTTTGTAAACTTGCTGAGATTAAGGTTTGTAACTTTATTTTGTAATACAGGAAACAGTTATCGTTTGCAAAATTATTCTGCACAACTTACGATTCTACAAGTTAAAAAGGGTTGTGTGGACTAAATTAAAAGTGCATCCCGTCACTGTAGAACCCGGGCTTCAGAAAAATAACCGGGTCGGGCAGAGGTTCAGAATCTTTGACCTGACTCGCCTCTTGTATTTTACATATTTATAATTGCTCTCTCTCTCCCTGGAGTTTTTCTATCATGTACATCAACACCTTTCAATACCTTTTAATCAAAAGTAGAGATTCAATCCGCAAAAAAAACTACACTCTCTACTTGTGTACACATCCTATCTACTACAGCTTTCCTTTGTCCATCATGGTCATCTTATCTTATCATCTTTTTTGATAACTATACCTGTTCAAAAATATAATTTGTCTTCCAAAGTCAGCCATCCTCATTTTCAACTGAAGATTTTCATTCATATTCAGTCTTTTTCGATCAAATTCACTTCATCTGACTTCATTTCACTTCATCGGACTTCATTTCCTGCTCACCTCCAAGTATTAAGCATATAAAGTGAAAAATGAAAAGAGTGAGAAACCCTTTCATTATTCATCCGAAATGACGGAATCCTTCAGTCATTTTAATTTAAATGAGAGGAAATTCATTTTAATTCATTATCATAATCAGTCAAATGAATGAAAGTAAACAGGCACTTAACAAGTCCTTCACCAACAGGCCCACTGCACGGGAGTGGACCCCACCCACCTGACCGTCGTTGTGGGGGACCACATCCAAAGCGGGGATGAAGGCACCGAACAAATCGTCAAAGTTGCGGAAATCATTCCGCACAAGGATTTCAAAATGTGGGAAATTTCCTAATTTTACAAATTTATCAATACTAACATGAATTTTCTCAATATTTCATTAAATACATCACTCCAGGTCCACGTTTCTGCACGACATTGCCCTCTACCGGGTAAAAACCCCGCTAAACTTTAGTACCCCGTACATTAAGCCGGCCCGCATCGCGACGGCTGAAACGAAGACGACCGAAGACATGGTCGTCTGCGGGTGGGGCGCTATTCGGGAGAATGCGCAGGGAAGCGACGTCCTGCTCAAGGTCGGGGTCAAACTAAGGGAAGACTCCGTTTGCGAAAAGGCGTATCAACCTACCCCCTTAAAGTATGCCGCGAAGGGACAGATTTGCGTCGGCGCGGGGGGCAAGGACAGTTGTCAAGGGGATTCTGGGGGTCCTCTGCACACCGGGAAGAACACGGGGGACTACACGGTCGTAGGGATCGTCTCGTATGGTACGTGACATTACACTCTTAAAAATAATGTGCTAAGTAAATCCAGTTTAAAGATCAAAGATTATTCTAGATTTAGTAAGTAATTTAAATTGAAACTAAGGGAGCATTTGCTTTTCAAAATCGCTCTCTTTCAAGATCGCTCGTTCAACTTGATTTCAAATTTGGACATAAAAATATGCAAATTCTTCAACTTAAAGCTGCTAATTTTTTGTTTCAAGTCAAGTAACTGCGACCTTCCATGGTATAATCTTAGATTACTTTATCCCCCTATCCTGCCCATGCTAGAAAGTGTGACATAATTTACTTATTAAGCTCGCCTAATGGTCAAATAATTTTCTCAGGTATTGGATGCGCTTCTTGGGAGTATCCGGGCGTGTACACGAAAATATCCGCTTATCTGGACTGGATTGAGAAAAACACAAATGGTGTGGCTGTGAAAGGAGGATAATTATTAAATGAAATTCATTCTGATAAAATAAATTTTATAGCGCATAATGTGGTTAAAAATTATGTAATTACGCAACCAAACAATCAAACTAGGCTTGAACTTCGTCCAAGCAGTAAACTTGAAATTTACAACTTTATTTACTTCAATCTTAACAAGAGTCGACAATAGTTTTAGTTTTTTAGAGTTTTGAAATTTTCATTCACATTTTCTATTAATGAAAGGATTTAAGCTAATTATTTTATTTATAATTGTTACGTTTATAACAAACCTAAATATGTTGGTAAAAAAACCAGAGGATCATAATCCTGTTGGGATTAACAGAGTTTCTCAATGATGTATAATTTTGCCATACAAATTGTTCCCAAACTCCATATTTTTGTAACGCCGTCATGCAAATCTACATGCAATAATTTGTTAATGAAGCCTTCCAATTTTGAAAAGCAACGACAAACTACAAATTACGCAACCATAACCCCAAATTTGCCATCCGCTGGTGACGAGTTGCCCACAATTATTTAGGGTGTACCGAAAATATTTAACAGCGTTTAAAAATTAGGCTTGAAAACTTTAAAACCCACTCCAGTTTTATTTGAAAACTAATTTCCATTGAAAAAATGTATTTGCGACAAACCTTTATTCTGTTCTAAATACTAACTAAACAAAAAAAATCCACGTTATGCAATATCCCTGCATTAATTTCTTCCCAATTTCAAAAAAACATACCAGACTACACAGCACAACAGTACCCCCAAATTTCACACATGTGACAAACTTTGCCCTAAAATCTCTCTTGTCTAGCTCATTAACAATCGGTTTTATCCAGTTCGCATAGTACATGAATACCTTTTTCCATCTCGTTTTCTTAAAATATTTCTCCCGCCAGTAATAAATCCCAGAAGAAATTAAACCCTTCAACTGCCCATACACAAAATTCTTCCTGTCCGTCGAATCAACCTGAAAACCAACCCGATATGAAAGAACTCCAGCATCTGCTCCCTTAAGAAAGATAATCCGTCATCGTTATCGTTTAAAAAAGGGCAAAATCTCAACAATATTTTCAGTATAGTCGACGTACGCAAATTTCTCACTACATTTCGACAAACTTGTGTATAAATCATGCGGCCATTTATTTATAATGCACCTTTTGCCAAATTCGCCTTGCTTTTTTCGCAAACCTGGTGTTAGAATAGGCCGGATCGCCACGAAGAATGCCACTACCGACCCGCCTGTAGCCCGCCAGGCGGGTTAGATTTCCCTCATACCCTGCAGCCTCATGCAATTTGCCGGCAAATTCGACAGATAAAATTGTATTGGCTCGTGTCCCATTCTAGTACCATTGCTCATACTCTGGGACCGATTTAAGTGGAAGGAGAAATTTAAATCCTAGCTGGTCAAGATAATAAATGTAAGACCATGATGGATTTCTTCGAAATGGCTTGATTACTTCTGAGGTAAAGACATCTTTACACATGTTGCTAATTACGACAAAAAAAGCTACCCAGAGCCGAAAAATTGCACTCAAATAACCAGGGATGGCCCTCTTAAACACAGATAACAGCGAAATTTCAAATAAAATTGAAAATGACACAATTACAATGTCAAAAATTGATGCCCTAACGTGAATACCGGTTGGCTGTTCTCCTTCATTCTCAAAGAGCCAATTCGTTGCCCAAGTCATTCCAATAAACGTAAGGATAACAGGAAATATTAAAGACCAAACACCACTATCGAACGGCTGGGTATACAATTCGTACGACATTTCATGTTGGATCCCGTAACACGAAATGAAACTACAAGATTTCCTACCCACATGGATAATCTGATGATTCCCGGGTAAATATCCAAACGCTGCCGACCCAAAATACAGGTACTTATCATTAACAAAGATCCTTTGCGCGATCGTTAAATTGTACAGTGTTTCTGAGATTATCGTGTACGCGATGAAATCCTCCGAGCCTGTTGAATTGTCCGCGATAGAAAAAGCAATCCTGATAATGTGTTGCGAAGAAGTATTTCGTCTGCATTTTTCCAAAATCTGTGCTAAACTTGTATTCGAATTGGACATCATCCATCCAGTATCCAAATGACCAAAAATATTGGTTAAAAGTCGTAGCGACCTGGTCAGCATTTTGGTTAATTAGGGCCATCTGGCTAGGTTTACTCGTGAACAGGAAATTTCTGCAAACTTTGTAAATTTTTGTACCAATTGAGCAGGCACTGGATTTGGGTTAAGGATTCCTTCCTGTCGATGGTATCGATTAAGTTGTATCGATGCAGTTTCGGAACTGGAACATCCTCAGAGACAGAATTCTCGATTTCCTATAAAAGTAAGATCCGTCTTTAACATCATTTTGTAAATGTTTCCCAATTGGTTTCCAATTTTTGTTTGTTTCGAATTTGCCATAAAGATAAGCAGGCCCACTACTTCCCATGATGTTTGAAAATATTCGTGAAAATGGCATACCTCTCGTGTAAAAGGCAGATCCAGTCTCTGCAAAAATTGTAGCCCAACAACACGATTTGTCCGGCTTTCGTCTGATGAATGTTACTTTGTTGAAAATAAATTGCGAATGGGAATACGTTTCGTTGTTTTTATATTCGAATAGCCCAGGATCTTCAACATAAACTAATAGTTATCAGGACATGGTCCTTCTTAGTATAGTATATGCAGTAACATAAGTATAGTCATGATAAATGTAATATAGATGTATGGAGAGAGTGGACAATGAGAAAGAAGCATTGTATGTAGCGAGAGAGAGAGAGTCAGTCGGGTAGTGGCGGCTGGAGAGAGCAGTCGTAATAAAATGTGCTCCGTAAAATAATCCCCCGGTCTCATCAAACATATTTATTAGTGCACACAAATCGTCATCCCCACATTATCATCATCATCACAACCACACCCACCATATTAGGATGTCGACCACATCAGGAAGGGACTAGAGCTGGAATCACGAGGGGATAATGGTAAAGGGTCTGGTAATCGAGGTTTGTATGGTTTTGGATAAGTACATATTTAAATAGGGAACCCTTAATTTCTCCCCGCACCCCTTCCTCTTATAGTGGGTGCAATGTAATGAAATTCATGCTGGAATTAGGCAGGATTAAGGTGATCATGCAGTGCGAGAAAATGTCAACTAAGCGAAAAACATATAATGATGCGTCCATATTGATAAACAAATGATTTCAAGATAGGAATTTACTGGAGTGGATACTTTTCAAGCTAAGTTCCTCTTTAGCCTCCTTCTGTGCAACACGTATCTCTCTCTCGCTCTGCATCTGGATCTCCTCTCTTCCATCTGGGTCGCGGGTGTGCCAGGGCGAGTAAAGTGTGTCTTAAGGCTTTTTCGTCACGTGAGCCTCGTCCACTCACACCCCCAATCTGCGTGCCTAGTGACACCCCCTGCCACACCCGTCCCAGCAACGACAAGCTGAGCCATCAGGCGAAGATGGATTCCCAGGACCCTTTGCACAGGAGGATCTACGCTTTAGAGGGACTCCCGAGGTAGGTTTTTGTTTGGTATATCGGGGTGCTGGCCGTTGGGAGTGGTTGATTGAAAAGTGGGGGAGGGGGTCGTGCATGACGGATGGCAGCATAATTGGGTCTACGGGGGTCCCATGACCCGGTTGTGTTGTGATGGTGGAAGGGGCAAGTGGGGGGGGTCATCGGCCCCGGCTACGGCTTCCATGGGGGACGTGGGCAAGATCCCACGGTCCGTGGACAGCCCCGCCCAACAACCTTCAGCTGTCTGCTTCCGCATGCAGATGCCACCCTCATTTGGTTATCACCACCACCCCTCGGAATCTGCCTATGTATCACTGCCATACATTTGCCTACCTGATGTCCGGCAGTAACGGGCCGAATGGTGTATTGGGCCACCTTCCCAATGCATGTAGGGGTTTTCCGAGCCCACCACGGTTTTTCCTCTACACCCTTACTGTTACATACATTTTATCATTTGATTTTGTCCTATATTTGTCATAGTGTGTAATTAGCCAGTATTGGGATGCCGGGTGCTATTTGTGGATAATGCCCACAACTAAAGACATACTTTAGCAAATTCTACATATAAGATGAAATAATGTATGTTTATCTGAATGCAAGTTTGTATGAAATCAATGAATGCATGATTGTAAAGGCCGACGCCATATCAATCTTTGAATAAATACCTACCTACTACTTTTCAAGCTAATCTAAACATTGACAATTTGTATTGAAGTCAAGCAGTGACATGGATATTAAACTTTAGTTAAAAAGGTTTTAGCAACCAGCCTTAATAAATTTGTAACCCAGTGTATTTCGTATGGTGTCGAGAGCTGAAAAGCAGTACTAATTCGACGCGGCCTTAATAAAAATCTAATCATGAAAAAACGACTTGTGAAAGTTTGATATGGATGCTGTAATATGTAGATAACTTACTTAATAGTAACAAACTCTTAATTTCTTCATCAATATTGTATTGATACATATATACGTACATGAATGTAAGACGGGTCTAAAGTAAACAACTTATAACACGTATAAATATTCTAGATAGTTTTAGCTTAGGGTCTACATATGTACATACTAATTTTAAATATCGGCTTGCACTCCAATTTGATCTTCCATCTTGCTGAAGCATACATAATTCATAAATGTCCGAAATTAATAATGAACAATTTAACAATAGATTCTCGAAATGGACAATGAGCACCTGGCCAAGCCAAATATTTGCAATATACTTCAGCTGACACATATTTTCTTGAACATTACTTGCCTCCGTTTTTTTGTTATTTTTTTGCACACCTACCAGTATTTAAATCGATTTAACATTTTTTCAAATGCAGCATAGTGATACATTGTTTGTCCGGTAATTTGAACATTTTGTACACGTGTCGAAAGAAATGTATCCCGTTATGCAGTATAAAACGGTGCAAATGTTTCAACTAGGTCAATTATCGTGACCACCACCAACTTCTTGGTTTACCGTAAGACGTGAAAAGCAGCATGTACAATTTAAGCTCTGCTATAAAATGTAAATATATATGGATACTAGCCTAGAAGCCCGTCTTAAAGACGGGCACAATTTGAGGTTCCACGAACATACCACAATTATTACACAACTGGGTATCTGCACTGAAAATGATCCTGAAAATGATACTGAAAATGATACTGAAAATGATACTGACAATGATACTGAAAATGATACTTAAAATGATACTTAAAATAATTATAGTCAAAATCCTTATCCCTTTCCTGATTGGTTGAGCCAGAACCCCAGCAACCAATCAGAATGCTGGGATCTCACGGAAAGTTTCACGGGACGGACTTTTCGAAATTATAATAAAGATGTGAACATGAATAAAAGTATGAACATAAAGATGGTACACTCTTAGCAATCCAGTATATTCACGTAGGTATTGATTTCTCGGTATACAAGTTGCTACAGCTTGGTATTAAACTTATTCCTCTCCGTAAAAATTTGACATCGATATTGTAAAGCCTTAATAACGAGTTATTAAAACACAGTAAGTATTATTTATCAATTCCACGCTGGTAGAGTCATATATGAATACCAGCTGGTATTAATTTAATACTGGGTTTCTAAGAGTGTACCTATGCAGTCTACGGAATGTGAGCAATTTATCAACTCTTAATTAAGAGATTCTGGACATACATATGTAGGCATGCACATAAATAAGTAGTGTACATATATTTTTTGGTCTTTCCTGTTTAATGCAAGCAATTAGTTTAAAAATTCATTACGACTTGAACAAAGGTTGTAAAAAAATATTTTACCCTTTTGATAAATAAATTCATGCTGAATACTATATTAAGCAAACTGTACAAAATCCAGGGTAAATTAAATCTTTCCTTAGCTAACGTTAACCTTGATCTGGTAAATAATTTCGTACAAAAGAATGGAGACTGCATTAATTTACATATTCAAGAGACAACACAAAATGGCCAAGGCCAGTCAACTATTTTATTTACTATGATTTTGCTTATAATGTGAATATTAAGGCCTCCGCCAAAATAAATCTTAATAAGCAATATGTGCTTATCTCTTTATCCCAGTCGGATAGTTAAGGTGTTTATTTAAGTAATGATACCAAAACCCTGCCATGTAGAATCCTTTCCATTCTATAATGTTCGATACGGCGCCAAGCTTGCAGTCTATTATGGAGACTTTTGACTCTGTATTGAGCGATTTTGTTTCACATTTCTTCAATGCAATGTTATTCAGTTGGGCTAATATTGTAATTACACCTGAGCATTGCACATTGTGAAGGGATGTATTGCTTGCATTAACAAATACACCAGCACATTGAATTTCTTCCAGATTACAGTTTAATCCTTTAACACATATGTGCAATTCTGCAGGACAATCTCGGCGATCAAATAGTTCATTTTGCGACTCTGGACGTAACGATACATTTTGAAGAGAATTATCTAGCAGGTCCGACTGGCCAATACGCTTGAGGGAACCACTTTCGCCGTCAATGCATATTACGACCTGTCCTTTCGTGACAAATAAATCCCAAATTGTCAAGTTCGGAGCGAATAAACTACCATAAATTAGCAAGTCTCTCGGCGTCGTATTTTCAATCGTTACCCGTTGCAACATATGGTTCTCACCTTCCACAAAAATTCCATAAACGTTGGATTCTTCTTCTGTGCCGTCGTCCTTGTGATATGCTTCCAATTTAATTGTGACGTCATTTATTTTATTGTGTGAATTTTCTACCCATATCGTTGGAAGGTCGTCTCTCGCATGACCAATGATTTTCAGATAAGAAAGAGTACAATGACTTGCGCAAATCTGAATTTCATTTGCTCGTAAGTCAATTACGGTGTTTTCTCCTTGCCCAAAAATCTTCGTGTTGTCTACACGCATATAAATGCCACAATGGTAAGTCGTCTCTACCAGTCGGATGGTGCATCCTCTTGAAACAAATTTGAGGCATAGTCGTAACGCTTCGCTTGTTCTCGCAACTATTTCTTGTGGGCGAATTTGTATGACTTTTATATTCAGTAGTTTGGAGGCCTCGGTCATACTTTTTAATCTATCGATCGTGTATCTTTTGGTGCAAGATATGATTAATTCTCTTAATCCTGGACCAAGGAGAGGATGTTCATCTACTAATTTTTCGTTTTTATCATTCACCAATTGGTCGATTAAACCAGGTAGTTTTTTCGACGGGATTAATGCCGTTGTCTCCCATAGAACTAACCCCAATGAGTAAATGTCTGCCTGGTACGAGTACTTTCCATCGAGTATTTCCGGTGCCCTATACCATCTCGTTCCGACGTTGCTTGTGAGCGTGCTGCCATCTTCTGGGAGGATCAGTCTCGCGAGGCCTTGAAAAAAGTATACAAAATTGGTATTCAAAATAGTTTGTGCAAATCTTGCATATGTACATACCAAAATCTCCGATTTTAATGGGTAGATTGTACTCAAAGGAAGTGAACATAATATTTTCAGGTTTAAGGTCACGATGTATGACGCCATTCTTATGCAAAAATTCCATCCCCTCAATTAGATCTTGTACTATGGCGGCCTGCTTCATTTGAGTATAAATCGAGTCTTTTGGTGGCTTGAATTCTTTCAGCCAATCCCGCAAACTCGGTCCGCAGAGCTCCATTTGTATACAGGTCCATCTAACCGTAGCCCTTTTACGCAGCTCAATTTTATAGCTAGCTTCTATGGTGGGGTCTGATAATGCGATAATTTGTTCCACTTGGGAGGGCGACAGGACCTTGTTTTTCACGTAGTTATGAATTCCTACGACATTTTTGTGTGGCTTAAGCGCGAGAGGAATATCGTACTCACGCCGTGCCTTTTCTTCAGTCAGAATTTCGTTCGAAAGTAGAAATTTCACGGCGTAGAATTTTGAGGATATCTTGACCTTAAGAACGACACCAAAACGACCATAACCCAGACAAGACTCGAACGTAGTTAAATTATCAATAAAATCGAAGATTGGAAGCTGATCTGGCCAAATGGTTGATAAGTTGTGGACAGCAGAGTCAGTATTTTCTGGATATTTTTCAGCCATGGCAGGACTTTTGTGAAAACCTTAGGCAGTGAAGATTGTAAATAAGAGAATAAGAAGATAAGAGAAATAATGCGCAGTTGATGATGTGGCTTCTGCTTATCACCTCGAGATAAAGGGTTATCTCCAAATGAATGACAAACGGTTAGTTAGCATTACAAGGAATATATACACTCTTAATAATCCCGTAAAGTCACGCAGGTAATGATTTCTCGGTAATAAATTTGGTAATAATATTTTACCACGTAATAAAAATTCGTTACCATGATGGTAAAACTTTATTACCAAACGATTACGACACGGTATAACTTGTCATTCCCACTTTTTTAGAGTTATATACTTGTGCTTTTAGGTAGGGTTTATTACCAGATTATTTACAGTGTTTGTATGTACGTAGCCAAACATGTACATAAAAGTGGGTTACGTAAGGTGGCATTGCATGCGGGGTTTGCAAATATTTGCATCTGTGTTTTCTGCTTTTCCTTCGATTGTATTGTATTAAAATTCCGATTTTGAAACCTGTTCATCTCCGTGCACTTTTTGCAAACTATGGATTTTATTGCGTTGAAAATTGGAACTGTTTAATTTTTACAAGTTCAGAATTTTGATTTTTTTTTTCTTCCATGAGAAAGTAATCTAGTTTATTGTCATGTTCAATTTAAGAAGTTATTTTTCAAAATTCTTGCAATACACGTTAGAAATATGAAACTTTGTTTAAACCCAAACATTACTGCACCAAACTATTTACATAATATTATACAACATGCAACTACATTTCATATTATGTAACGCTTATTTGTACAACAATAACATTCTTACACATGTTTTAGCGCACCAACTAATCATAACTAATGATGTCGTTATCTCCATGAAATTACTCGCGAATCTTATCTTCATGGGAGCACAAGATCGAACAATTTTTTCGTACAGTTTCCTCCTTGCCCTGTTCCGCTCAGAAACCCTGCATAATCGTTTCCGACAAAGTTTCGAGCCCAGATTTACATACCCCGAAAGTGTTCCTATTGTCAAGATTGAATTGAACGATGCCGTCGCAAAGGTGGGAAACACGCCGTTTCCTAAATGTTTAAATAACTCCGATTTAAGCGAGATTGACAAATATGTACCCAATATGTTTCCGAAGGAGATGGTGACCAAGACGGCGGGGAGGATCACTTCTCGATAACAGAGGTTTATTTGGGCAACAATGATTCGAAGATTGGTGTAACGAGATATTAAGTAATCGGTATCCTTGGGTCGATTAGATTTCGCTGACCTGTAAAAATATTTATTAAACTTTGAACAACTTGGAGACAAATCATCACCAGACTCCGGATAAAATTTTTTTATCAATCCCTACTCATGTTGTAGAACCAGAAGAGAGAAGTGAAGCAAAAGAAGGAAAAAAGCGGAACCAGGATTTAATAGGAATTTGGACTTTGAGAAAAAATTCGATACATCCCAGCAAACAAGACACATACATGCTCAACACGAGTAGGGTAGGATAAATAAATAAATATCCGACGTGTGATCATCACCCGCGGAGGTGCTATAAATAATCCTTTAATTGTATTTTTGGGTAATGATTAATTTTACGGTTTATTTTCCTCCAAAGGAAATAAACAAGTATGCACATATGTCCATAACTTGGGTAAAAGCGAAGTTATTTAAAAATTCAATACTTTCATTTAAAAAATATGTATAAATATTTGCATAATGAAAATGTACAATTTTTAAAAACAATGATGTCACATCTCTTTGGCATTTCTCGTTGGTGATCACATGCATCCGTGACTCGATGGCTAGACGCCGAAATTACCATAGTTTTAGTCACTTATCAAGTCTGGGAATTTATTTAAAAATGAGGACCACAGTTTTGTAAATCGGGTAGATTTTATCGTTCAGAATTTTGAAATAAATTCCTCTAAAAACATGAATATTTTGAAAATTTCGCTGATGAGTCTTTGGTTAAGTTTTACACAAAATAAAGCATTATAAATACTACCGCAGTGGGTTAGGATTTATCTCCAAGTTGTTTAGAAAACTAGATACATAAAATTAAAAAAACATTACCATTTGAATTTCGACAGACTGCACCCAAGACAGAGTAAAGTTCCTAAGAAAATTTTGAAAACCAGGATGCAAAATATAAATGTCGGGATTATTATGGCCCAAGCTTGAAGACCGAGCAGGAAAAGGTGGGCAAGAAGCCCGGTCCATTGTTGATTTTTCGAAGAAGGAAATAGAGACCCAAGAAATGGTGGCATTTCCGGTTTAAACAATGGTACCGCGATTACAAACGCTGAGGAAACTATTGCTGTCAAGGTTGAAAAATGGTCGCAATATTTGATCCCTAGTTTCCATAAGGCTGAGTTATTATTTTCTGCAAAAAAAAACAAGAAACCCGCACATGGTTAATCATTTAGAAATCCATACAAACGATATTGCATGGTTTTCAGGCAAGATTATTTGCATTAAAATTATGCAAACGAGCCACAAAAAGTTATTGGCGAAAAGTTGATACGCATTTAGTTTAAAATTAGTTATTCAATGACGGTCAACGGTCAAATTTTATGGGTCTCCTAATTCTGATTAATCACTCAAATTTCAAAATAGTTTGAAAATGTTTTCGAACATAAATATTTAAATTATTGAAATATTTCAACGGTGCGAGATGAATTAGGCTGGCTTAACGAAAATAAGATCATAAGAATCCAGACTGGGAAATATAAATTTTGCAAAAATTTATATTCAAATATTTTCCTATTAGAAATAATTGAAAATTTTGGTAAACATATTCCCACTTTTTCCTTAGTATTTTATCGATTTTTCAAAATACTTACGTATGTACATTACTGATTATAAATATGTATTTTACACTAATAAATGATTTTCCAGATGTACACTTTTTGTCATATTTTATCTACCTGCTGAAAGTGAATCCTTTAAAGCGAACATCATATTTAACAAAGTTACGAATGGACTCGGTTCCCACAGAAATTTACACCCTGCGACCAGCGAAGGTGTAAAAACTCCTATAAAAATTCCACAAAACATGACACGAAGGCGAGTCAAATTCCCACAAATAATGGAAACTATCCCATTCACTGAAATTGCCGTAATGGTGAGAACAAATACAACAATTTTCCCACGACCTAGATGGATCGAAGCAAGAAATCTTTTCTTAGTTAAATTATACACGATAGGCCTAATTCCTGTCAGGAGAGATAAAATTTTCAAGTTCAAAACCAACAGTGATAACATTTTTGCTTACAAAATACTTAAGGTTCTAACAATAAATTAATTGTCGTACTGTGCCGATAATCTGCATGACTTGATTCGCTTTCAAATTTTATTATCTAGATAAATTTAGTATGCAACAGGATGTACATAGTTTGATGATAACCGATAAGTTTGCTTGGACTAAATATTTGCATATTTACATAATCATGAATCATATCCGTTATAGGTTTCAGTTCTACGCACATTATTCGCAGCCAGGAGAAATATTTTCTATCTTGTTTAAATATCAGGGAAGCTTCATCAATTATAAATTTGTGAAGCAAAAGAGTTTCACATCCTGAGGATAGATGAACATGTAGGAATCATGTAACCAAGCAAGTCTGAAGTATTTATTGTCGGTTAAATGGTCGAATTATGTACACTTATATTCACAAATATGCATACGAGTAGGCCGTTGTATTTGCAATCCAGGCGTATTTATGCAAAGGTTAAGTATTTAGTACTTTGCTTTAAATATATATATGTATGTATGCAATTATTCTACTAGATCGTATTTTGCCAAGTAATTTCAGTAAGTATGAAATTTCTTGCAAAATTTGGAAACTAGCAAAAAACACAAAAATGAAAATCTAACCTAACTTTATTTTATCATGTTTCAATTTTGACACAAACTTTGACATTTACATATTAGTTGCATTTATACACCGCTTTTAACACCCATTTTGCCGGTAGCGGCTCCTTCTTTTCCCCATACTCGTCATCTTCCGCCTCATTCGCGGCGTTTATTTCGGCGTGAACGTTCTTCCAGTCAATCTTGAAGTTCTTGCTTTGTTGCGAAACCGTCGCCCTCTCCTCGGCATGGATATCTTCCTGCTGATAATTCGCAAATTCGACCTCAATCCAGATCCTGTCGCGTTTATGCGCGATCCAATCCAGGTTTTGGAAACTTCCCAAAATTCGGAGGTTCACGAGTTCGTCGACCGCGGCGACGTCGGGGTCCTGCACGTTGGCGAGGTGGAGGCGAAAGGGGCCGCCGGTATGCCAGAGGAGCGTCATGACGTCGTCGTTCCAACAATTTATGGGAACGTTGAGCGATAAAAATTGCAAAGAATCCAGTCGGGTGAAGGATTTCGGGTCGATCAAGCTGATCGGGGCGTGAGCGACCTGTTTGCATGGCAAATTTAGTGAGTTACTTGTTTAACGGAAGGTTTTGTAAACTGTGTAAAATACATGTTGTGTGCAAGTTTTATAGAGGGGAAATGAAACAATAAACAAATGAAATAAGTAATATTGAAATGTACAAATTTGCATGAAATATTTGGTGGGAGATTGATATATAAATACTTTGTAAACTTTATAATTTCACCGAATTTTATACATTTCGATCGCAGTTCAATATTTGTAAAGTGTATAAGTCCTGGAAAATATGTGTATGTATGTACCTTCACTAAAGTTTTATAAGTCGTGTACAGAAAAATTGGTTGCAAAATGAGTTTTGTAGAATTTGTGAAGTTAAGAAAAAATCTTGTTAAAATGTGTAATTTTTTAAAATAAGGAATTTCGAAAACTTTTATATACATATAAAGGGTGTTAATAAAGTCCGATCCCATGCATTTTTTGGAGCGTGGTTGTTACAAATTCAGCTGGAACTTTTGAACCAGTGAAGTTATTTATTTCAAATTTTTACCATGGGAGGAACAACTAAACGTGTAAGTCATGAGCATCTTAGAGTTGAGATACAAACATTGCATCAGCAGGGGCTTAAACCTACAGAAATTGTGCAAAAATTGGGCTGCAGCCGCAGAACGGTTTGGAAATGGAAGAATAAAAATTTTGTCCACGACAAAAAGCGACCAGGGCGACCCAGAAAGGTGTCACCTACCACAAAAAGAATGATTAAAAACAGACTTTGCAAGAAAACCGGTAGTTCATTACGTAATTGAGCAAGGGAGTTAAATGACTCAAAACGCTATAAAGAGAAGAAGAAGCAAATTAACTGTGTGACCGTGCAAAAATTTGTGAAAACTACGAAGTGGGGTCACACAGCTTACAAACTAACCAAAAAAACCTCTCATGTCACAAAAATATATCGATGACCGTCTGAAATTTGAAGAACTCCTTCAGAAAAGTGCCCATTTGAGTGAAAAAAGACTTGGTGAAGAATTGCGCAGTCACATCCTTTGGACTGACGAATCTATTATTGAACTATATCCAAAATTGAACCAACAAAATGTTCGTTACAGGACAGAAAACAAATCGGATGTACCATCAAGAGCGATCCCAAAATTCGGGCTTAAAGTTATGGTAGCGGGTAGATTTTGTGCACGTTGCGTGACCCCTCTACATATCATACCAAAAGGCCAATCAGTCAATGCAAAGCATTATATGGAAAAAATATTACCTATCTATTTCGATAGCATGGGGAACAAGGAAATATTTCCGAATGAAAGAAAAATAGTTTTCATGCAGGATGGTGCTATAGCCCATACAGCAAAAGCGAGTTTGAGTCTCATCAAGACGCAAGTTTCAACGGTCTGGAGCAAGGGGGTGTGGGCCGCTAACGGCCCAGATTTGAATCCCCTGAAGAACCAGTGGTCCATACTTAAGGAAAATGTATACAAAGAGCCACAACCCCGGACGAGGGAAGAGCTAGTAAAAAAAAGTTCAAGATGTATGGAATTCGATTTCCAGAGGCACATTGGAAAAATTAGCACAGAGCCTTAAACAAAGAGTTGAGGGCATGGTTAAAGTAAATGGTAACAAGACCAAATACTAAGGTAAATATGTCGAACATTTTTTGTAAGTATCACGGGTAGTTTTTTTTTATACTAGCCTTCACTTTTTTACAGGAAAAATGGGATCGGACTTTATTAACACCCTGTATAATTGATCATTGGTATAAATAGATTTATAACTTTGCTAATTTTTTGCATTTTTCGCGAGACAGATTCAGAATATGTAGGCAAACTCATGAAAATAACTTTCGAAACATGTAAAATTATCCTCGTGCGACGAATGTATTCTGACGCCAGCGGTCTCCGATTTTGACGAAACCACAATAATTATGCAGCCTTGGATAAATAATTCAACACAGGATTCTTCTTAATGTGAAGTTTACACGAACTTATCCGTGAGCGAGAATTTGTATTTTTCTCGCGACGGAAAATATAGAAATTCTCGTGCACGGATTTCATAATTTCGATTATGTTGACAATGAGTATTATGAAAAATCCTGAAACACGTGTTTAATCATTTATCTAAGGCTGCATACATAATTATCGTAGTTTCGTCAAAATCGGACCGAGACCGATGGCGCAATCGCATTTTGAGAACTACGGGAAGAAAAGAAAAACCTGGAAGCGAATTTGTTTAAAATACAATGGAAACAAAATTTGGTTTGGGATTGTATTTATTTTAAGGAGCCAATGAAAATGAGCTCAGAATATTATCTTCAATCCACAAGTTGTCTCATTTTGACTCATACACTATCACAGAAATCCTATGAGGCACATATTCCTCAGAAATCACATGTACATAGAGTCGCATTTTGATTCATAAATATGATTATCCAAACCCTGGTCTTCTGGTGAAATTGTCGTTAAATTAGTAATTCGTTTATAAATGACTGGGTTTCGATGTAATAAATACTCTGGGAAAGTAGAATTTAAATCAATATTGAAATATGTATTCTTCAAATGTCTGCACATGACACAATTCCCTACATATTTCCAAACAAAAATAGCGCTACCTATATTTATCTACGTACGTCATGTATTTCTCTAATCGAGTTTGTTTTATTCAAAATTTCCGCTATTTCAGAAATTAGACGGTTTGCATAGGTACGCATGTACACATGCGGTCCTTGGTAGTTCGTAAAATCTTGTAAAAAAATTTATAAATTTTCATAAAACAAAACAAAACGCGCTTCATCTGGACAAAAATCTTTGAAAATAAGGACACTCTTGGCAAAACGGTATTTTAAGGTTTTATTCATCATTCATATCCGACGTCTGGTGATCAAGACCTGTGGTTTTCATTTTCGAGTTGTTCATCAGCCCAGCTAATTTTGATATTTCGCTGGTTTTTACAAACCTGTCGAAAGATTATTTTTTAATTCTCCAACACCATTTTCATAATAGCAACAAATTTAAGAAAACAATTTTGCTACTATTCCAAATCTTGTAATTTTTAGTTTGCCGCATAAGGAAAAGTAAAAAGTGAAAGTACTGGTTTTCACTTTAACTTAAAATTACCAAGGGGAAAGTAATTGGAGTGTAAAGTGAAAGTTAATGGCAACGAGAAAGGAGAAAGCATAAGTTAACAATAGGCGTTACTCTTTGTCAAGCATACTTTACTCTGGCTTTAGTAGTACGGTTTACTTTTAATATTGAAATGAAAGTGCATTTACTTTTCAAAAGGGGTAGCATTATTTTTAAGAGTGCACCAGTTTCTGAGCTTGGCATCTCATCCATTCAGAAATTTACATTTTGTCCGATCATGCATGCAAAAGGAGTCGAGCTTCCCGAGCAGTCTGCTTAACAACTTGTCCCGTGTGGTCTAGTGGTTAGGATCTCCCGCTCTCACCGGGAAGGCCCGGGTTCGATTCCCGGCACGGGAAGGAATTTTTGCCACTTTTTCCATTATATACAACTTTTGGAGTATTTTTTTTTATGCGCTGCACGACCAGGAAATCATTTTTGAAAAATGGCTGCGTAGTTATTTAAATTCTGTCATATTTTATACATAAAAAAAACTAAATTATTGTTTTAAATTATTTATTTCATATAAAAATCCCTCTCTGCAGTTAATTTTATATGCATGCAAAACGTACATTTGTATAGTATAAAAAATTTTAAATAAAAGCTTCATTTACAAAATTTGTTCACTTTTTTGCTATCTTATTTAATGTACAATAAAAAAAATATTTATAGTAAAAAAAAACTTCAAATATGTACACACGTCTCGAAAAATGCATAATTTTCAGATCTTCTCTTGTTCCAAGTAAATGCACCCACTTTTAACATAAGTGGAGCTGCCACTAAATATGCAAATATATACGTGCAAACAACTCTTTTAGATATATGTACACTCTTTAATAAACCGGTACAGTCACGCAGGTAATGATTTCTCGGTAATAAATTTGGTACTAATGTTTTACCAGGTAGAAAAAATTCGTTGGTAAAACTTTATTACCAAGCCATTACCACACGATGCACCTTATCATTATCATTTTGGCATAGTCATATACTTGTGCTATGGTATGGTTAAAATGAGATTTTCACTGAAATTGAATTAGATGCAATGAAACCAAATGCTCCCGCGATGTCGTGGGGTGAAGTGAAACTAAAGCTACTTATTCATTCGCACAATATCTCCTTGTAAATTAGAGTTTCTGAGATTTTCTCATAATTCCCCATCACCAATCAAATAGATCCGATTTTATTATACATCTGAGACTCATTTCACATAAAAAAGATTTCAACTAAATATATATGCACATTCACCCTAAATAAATTTGATTCTGGCCGCGTAAAATTTGGGATGACACAACTTGTTATGTATAATTTGCCAAGTACACTCAAAACACAAATTTGTCAAATCAACACCGCCGGTGTCACTATATGACTTAACCGCCTTGGTAACAATGTTGTATCCGAGTTGTGATGACTTTGATACCGGTAGTTACAAGGTTATGACCGGACGGAAAAATTTCATTACCACTCGAAATCACGATTGCAACCAAGGCGGTTAAGTCATACATTTACATGGGCTGTGTTAATGTGACAAATTTTAGTTTTGAGTGTACACTCTTAGCAAAACGGTATTGAATCATCACCAAACGGGGAGCCCACATGACTTGACCAAGTTGTGATAATATTTCCTCCTCACTGCGCCAAGGGCACCCTGGTCTGGTCATCCCTTCGCACGAGGACGGTATGATAGACCAGCAAGTTCCTCGTGGTCAACATGGCGCCCGCGGTGGCGTACGTGAGCCGACAAGCCCGCCAAACCTTGGGCCCCGCGACGGCCTCCATCTCGTCTCGATTCGCCTCCAGCATGTCGATGTAGTGCTGATACGTCAAATCCGCGTCCAGCGTGATGTCCTGCGTGTTGGCGAAGCGCAGGTGACGGCAACAGGGCTCCACAAACTCGTGCATGTCGGGGAAATACACCTGCCCGAATTGGTACTTGCAAAAAAATTCGACAAAGTTGGGCACACCCCTTTTGACAAAGTAATGTTGGAGCAGAATCCTACCACCTGGAATGTTGCAAAAATTGTTAAACTCAATCTTTTCATGCGGTTTCTTCACAAAAAAAGAACGATAATTTTTTTAAAATTAAAAGTTTTTTAAAAATGAATTTTTAAATTTTCAGGGAACTAATTCTGAGCACAAATTGTATTCAATTTTTCTAATTTCAAATAATTCGAAAAATTCGAGCGTTTTAAAAAATCCGGATTTTGGCTAAAGTTTTTTTTCCACGAGCGAAATAATGCGCGTCCAGAAAAACGAACAAATGGGGGTGAGCTTATTTCTCAGCGTTTCCCCGAAAACCCGGGTAAACCACTTCCCCCCAGGTATAGCAAAACCCCACGGTTTTTTCTAACCCTCTCCCCTGCACTTACCAGGTTTCAAGAGAGATTCAATTTTTCCAAAAAACTCGTCATAATTATGCTTCCCGACATGTTCCAGCATTTCAATGACCGTAATGCGGTCAAATTTTCCCTCCACGCGTCTCCAATCTTGCGCCTTGATGGTCACCTTGCTCCCCCTGCAGTGCTCCGCGGACTTTTTGGCCATCGACTCGCAGACCGTGACTCCCACGACGGTAACGCCATAATTGTCCGCCATGAATTTGGCCAGCCCGCCAAACCCGCAGCCGAGGTCGAGCAGCGTCATGCCCGCTTTAAGTTCGAGTTTGGCCGCGATCAGGTGCAGTTTTGCGACCTGCGCCTCGGCATAGCTCCTCGCTCCGTGGGCATAGTAGCCCGACGAGTGTTGCATGTGGGCCTTGTCCGTGATCAGTTTGAAGTACTCCACGGCTACGTGTGTAAGCAGTAAACATGAATTGGTAGACTCAACACGTAAATTTGTCACTTGCTTTTATTTCGTGAAAATGTACACTCAAAACAAAAATTTGTCAAATCCACGCCGCCCGTCTCAATATATGACTTAACCGCCTTGTTGTATCCGAGTTGTGATGACATTTATACCGGTAGTTACAAGGTTATGACCGGACGGAAAAATTTCGTTGCCACTCGAAATCACAATTGTAACCAAGGCGGTTAAGTCGTACATATATAGACACGGGCGGCGTTGATTTGACAAATTTTTGTTTTGAGTGTATAAAATAATTTTACAAAACGGTTAGATTTTACAAGCTACCAATGAATGAATTGCCCGCTGTTATGAAACATTTGATTTCTGAAATAGCGAAAATTTTGAACAAAACAAATCCCATTAAATAAATACGTATGTAGATACGTACACTCAAACCAAAAATTTGTCGAATCAACACCGCCCGTGTGGATATATGATTTAACCGCCTTTGTATGTGGATTTGGTCAAAATATTTTAAGTCAAAGTTTAAAAAATGTTCGATTCGGAGAAAGCAAACCCGACTCCCTTCAAAATCGCCCATTTTGCAACTTGGGCCTCAAATATTTTGACAAATTCCAACCATCGCACAAACTGCGCCAAGAAACGATGGTTGTATTGACTTGGACCACGTAATTTTAAAATTTCAGCCAATTCGGAGCGTTACACTTCATACCATCGCATTGTTAGTATAAGGGTTTCGATTGGTAAAAACCACGTTGACCAGGGCAGCGGGAAAAAGTGGGAAAACGGCATTTTTACCACCCACCCAAAATTGGTGGGAAATGGGAAAGATGGACGAAATGGGAAAAATTCCGGTTTGGGGCAATTCGAAAAACTTCTAATATTTTCAAAATTTGATTTCATATTCGGATTCGCCATCAAATTCTGAGAAAATTAGTTGCTAATACGGTCCAATTTGAAAAAATCTCTAAAATTAATATGTATTCATATGGGAAAATTAGAAAAACAATCAAAATTGGTCAAAAGTGCCTGTATCAAAATTTTCAGAACTTCGTGGAGATCACGAATATGAAGTCCAATTCTGAAAATATTGAAGAAGTTAGCTATCCCCATAGGAATATAAATACGTGGAAAGCCATATTTTCCCATGGTAAAAACCGTTTTTCCCACTTTTTCCCACCTGCCGTGGTAAAAAATAGTTTTGCACGGGAAAAACGAAACCCTGGTTAGTATTGATGTCAACTTACGTAAATCATATTCCGGCGGCGCGCTGAAGTTGTGCCCTTCCCGCCCCGTGTTCAAGACGCCCCATCTAAGCATCCCTTCCCAATAGGAAATAGAAACCTTCACTATCCATGGACGCCGGCTCAAAAAGGGCATGATTTTTTTATACAAAGCGGTCATATTTTCCGTCGTCCACCACCCTTCAACATACATTTCGTCATAACCAATCATCTGGTCGGCCCAAAATCGGGCGTAAAATCGGTCATCCAGGATGCAAATGTCGGGTCGTGACTTCACGTCGGAGTCGACCTTTACGTCGATACAGCTGAACAAGTGTTTCGTGAGGGGTTTCAAAATCGGGGTGAACGGGAGGAGGATGAAGAATCGGATTTTACGAAAAATTGGAATTAATGTGTCCCACAGGAAAACGACCAGGGTCACGAATCTGTAAAGTTTTTAAGGTACTGTAAATAATCTGGAAGTAAACATTACCGAAAAGTACAATAAGTGTGTGGCTCTATCAAAGTGGTAATGATAAGTTGCACCGTGTGGTAATGGCTTGGTTTTTAAAATCTAATCAAATCCAATTTGGTCGGATCCGAAAATAATCCGATTCTCTCTGCCGGATTAGGATTAGATTGGATTAATCCGATTAAATCCTAAATCCAACTAAACTCGAAAGAAAAATTTGTCAAGTTAACACCACCGGTGTCAATAAATATGTCACTTAACCGCCTTGGTTAAAATGTATCCGAGTTATGATGACTTTGATACCGGTAGTTATAAGGTTATGACCGGACGGAAAAATTTCATTACCACTCGAAATCACAATTGTAACCACTGAGGTTAAGTCATATATTGACACGGGATGTAATTAACGCACCCAAAAAAATAGAGAAAAATCCCCAATAGAATAGGAAAAACCGTCCATAGTAACTTTTCCCCAAATAACTAGTTTTAAGGACCCAATAGTAAAGTAGAAATGCCCAATAATGTAGGTACATGTAAAAACTTTAAATTACAAACATGAAATATATTTTTATTTCTGATCCTTTTGTCAACAACGAATTTTTACATTGTAATTAATGCCTTCCTGGCTTTTGATGGGCGTCCAGGGCAGCGACGAGTGCCAATAGGGACCGTTTTAGCTTCTGGACACACTTCATACTGTTTGTTTACAATTGCAATACCCAATACGTGTTTACAAACATACATTTTTAAGAATACAGGACAAGAGCACGAGGATTTAATCCATCGACTTGCATTAAATTTAACTAACCAAAGTCTATTTAAGCACATTTTATACGTGTCAAAAGTCTTCCAACTTCGACGTTCTCTTAACCGTAAATATTTATTTATATCATCCTCTTTAAGTTTTGGCTGATTTGCAGCAGAGATAAAGTAGGTAGTAATATTGTCATCACAAGTATGATATTTAATATCCGGTTTATTTTGTACCCAGTTGAATGCAGATGTTTGCAATGCAAGCGATAAAGAAGGTTCTTCGTGAAATAATTTTGCGTCACGTATCCCAGGTATTCGCTCCTTTGACCAAATTTCCGTTTGATTTGTCATGTATTGAAGTAACTGGCCAATTGAAAGTCGCTCCCTGAAGGTACCCTGTCGTTTTATCCATGCATTTGTACCTTCAATCCCATTATTGGTACTTGGAAATCCCATGCAATGCCCCTCATACCATCCATCGCGGGTGTCAAGATGTTCTTGTTTGAAGTATGCCATGAATTGCGTTAAATCGGCTTCTGTTCTGTATTTTTTTAAAAACAACTCCTTAGCAGCTAGGAAATCTTCCGGGCTTCTTGCTAGCTGAAGTTCGTTCACATCTCCTCTCAACTTTCTCCATAACTCTTTGTTTTTAATAGTGGATTGTCGGGCATCGATATTTTTGCATAGGTGAAACCAACAGTAAATACGAGTAATATCACAACCAAAAACTTCCTTAAATCCATTTGTTATGGATTCTGCAGCATCTGCTATTAAGATAGTTGGCTTGTATTTCTCGGACGTTCCCATTTTTAAGCTTTCGAATATAAACTTGAAGTCAGCCGAGGTTTCTGCCGAGGTCACAGCCATTCCAGTTGGATGGAATGTTCGGTCCTGGTCTGAAACTCCAGTCAGAATTACTGGGTAACCTTGCCAGCAGAGTTTATACGTGGCGTCAGAATGCACCGCTGTTGATAATTCGGCAATCTGAAGAAGTCTCCGAGTAGTAATATATATTCGAAAAGTTTTTGTCTCATAATCTATATCCTTATTCAGGACAAATGCTTTATCCACATCTTGCTGGTCTTCCTTAAGTTGTAGACACTCAGACTCCAATGCGCCAAGAGAGACAATTTGAGGAGCTTGCTGTTTACGCCAATATTTTAGAAAGTTGTCAAGTTGACCTTTTGTTGGTGTTTTTATGCCTTTGGATTCAATTCCTCCGATGATAGCTTTTGGTTTTGTTGTTCCACAATGATGAAGCTTTATGATTTCCTCCTTTACTTCGGCAGATAAACCTAAATTTTTAATTGCGTTAAATATAGCGCAATGATCATATTACACGTAATATTTTAAAATAATTCACCTTTATCCTTTTGCACATGATCATGAACTGCGACGGACTTTTCTATCCTAACTTCGAGGGTGGAACTTGGCAGAATTATTCTGCATTTTGAAGAACAGGTCGGCGAAATGCGGCAGTTGTAAACAATTATGTCCCCGTCATTGGAGGCGTATTTGGTTTTATATACCCACTCAGAGCGATCCTTCAGATACTTCTTGGCCTCAGTAATATTTTCAAACGTATCCCAACATTCCCAAGTGCTCAATTTTCGCCGCTTAGCTTCCGGTTGATTTTCTAAATCAGATTCCGAATCACTTGTGTCGAAACGCACAGTCTGGGAAGCTGATGCCATAATCAATTCCCAAGAGTTAAATAACAGAGAGTAAAGAAATGTCCTTCTCTGCCAACACTCACTAAAGTGAAGACAATATCAACCAACGTGAAAAGAGTTTTACCATACAATCTTAGCTATGCATCATAGTTTGATGGTATGTATATTATTGTATATGCATGCCAGTATGAATTAGAATATCAGGCAATACTTAGTTAAGCTTTTTTGGTTAATTGCATTATTGGGCATTTCTACTTTACTATTGGGTCCATAAAACTAGGTATTTGGGGAAAAGTTACTATGGACGGTTTTTCCTATTCTATTGGGGATTTTTCCCTATTTTTTTGGGTGCGTTAATAATTTCCCTATTGACACCGGTGGTGTTGATTCGATAAATTTTTATTTTCAGTTTACCAGTGTAGTCGGTTTGATGTTTTTGAAATTCAATCCGACTTTGTCGGGTCATAAATAAATTCGATCCAATCCCAGTCTGTCGGACTCGGATTGAATTGGATTCATCCAGCTAGCAATGGAGGTCTCCCAACGTATGCTCTCAGATTTGGACCAAATTAGTGTCAATCGATCAAAAATATAATTAGTATGAAATTTGCAAATGCAACTATTGTTGCCTGCATGCCTCTGGGCGCGTTTTGCCTTCCATTAAATGGAAATATCTCCGCCAAACTTGCGCATTGGTGGGTAGAATAGTTGCATTTGCAAATTTCATACTAATTATATTTTTGATCGATTGACACTAATTTGGTCCAAATCTGAGAGCATACGTTGGGAGACCTCCATTGTAAGTCGGATATCCAACTACCGTCTGGACTGTCGTTCAATGAAGATATTTACGTAATTGATTTACCAGTGCTCGTAACGGATCGGGTCCTAGGTGTGACCCGGAACCGGACCCGGAACCGGACCGGACCCGGACCCGGAACCGGACCCGGAACCGGACCGGACCCGGACCCGGAACCGGACCCGGACCCGGACCGGACCCGACCCGGACCCGGACCCGTATTTAGAAACGGGTCTTAGGACCCGGTCGAAGCCGGGTCCCATAACCGCTTACCCGGAGCCGACGAGTCCGGGTCCGGGTCTGAACATTTCAGGACCCGGACCCGGACCCGAGACCCGGGTCCCCTTCCTATTAATAAATTTATTTTAATAGCCCCTGAGCTACCAAGTTGAACGTTTAGTGTCTTGACATTTAATAGTTTAAAAGTTTAAATAGTTTAGTATCCATGTGTGCAATAAATTAATACTTCCATCTTCAGTCATGACTTTATTTTGACGGCTCCATTACCATTTTCTTTCAACTTTAACAACTAGAAAATTAATTTAACAACTCCTCTTTGCCTACTTTTTACGCACCACATGAATTTAAGGACCCGGAAAATATTCTGCCTCTCTTCACCCCGTAGTAGAAGTTATCATAAGGACCCGGTGTTTCGGGTCCGAGTCCGGGTCCGGTTCTTACCGTTGGACCCGGACCCGGACCCGACCCGTGACCCGTTTGTGTAGGGCTTAAAGTCTGTGACCCGGACACGGCGGGTCCGGGTCCGGGTCTTTGAAATTTTTGATCCGGACCCGACCCGGACCCGACCCGGACCCGACCCGGACCCGGACTCGGACCCGGGAACCGGAGAAAACGGGTCTTACGACCCGGACCCGTTGCGAGCACTGTGATTTACCCTTGGTTAATAGTATCCAGGATCATGTCGATATTTTTTGCCCGGCAATTCTTTCAGACGTCTTCGCGCAGGTGGTTGTCCTTCTGTATTTTGACTTCGCCTGGCCTTCCTTAAGTGTGGCGATTTTAAATTTAATGAATTTTTTGCTAGGGATGCTCACTGCCTGCATAATTTTAATCAAAACATTAGTTTCTTTTTTTGTTATTTCAATATAATTTCCCATCGGTACGAAGATCATTATGAAAGAGGACGTCCATACGTTACGTCATCATTTTAGCAGGTTTACGTCTAATTTTAAATTGGTCGCGCTCAGAAATAAATGGATTATAGAAATATTACAAGCTTGTAAAATGCGTTTTTTAAAGCTCTGGATTTTTTAAAACACCGTAACGTTTGTAATTTTTACCCAATTTCAAAAATGAAGCGTAATTTTTGCGTAATTTTAATGTAATTTTGCGTAATTTTAACGCGGAAAGCGATCGTTTTATGAAATTAGTAGTTTTTTTTAAAACAAATATTAACATTAAACTCTTAGAAATGGGGTTACGATTATAACCGAAATGTAAACGTATATTACGCTACCGCCGTAGTTGTGAATTCGTCACCAACTAGTTATAAATGTATCAGCTCTGGTGACAATTTAATACCAAATCGATGAAACTTTATAACTAGTCGGTGACAATCATAACCACTCGATGATAAATTCATAACCACGGCGGTAGAGTCATGTACGTTTACTTTTTGGTTATAATCGTAACCCCATTTCTAAGAGTGTATGAAATGGAAATTTTCCTCGGGGAAAAATAAGTTTCCGAAACATTTCAAACCCTGTATATCACAAGTCAAAAATTCTTTTAATACCTGCGGGACTTTGAATAATGTGCTTCTCCTCTCCCCAACCGACGACTAAGCACGACCAATTAGTAGTTATGAATATATGTAAAGTTACGAACGCAGTGGCCGCCGAAGTCGTGGGGACATTAATATTTCTGGATAGGGTGAGGCAGGGGTTTACACAACATGGCGGATGCACTCTTAATAATCCGGTAAAGTCACGCAGGTAATGATTTCCCGGTAATAAATTTGGTAATAATATTTTATCAGGTACTAAAAATTCGTTACCATCATGGCAAAACTTTATTACCCAGCCATTACCACACGGTACAACTTATCATTACCACTCTGGTAGAGTCGTATACTTGTGCTTCTCGGTAATATTTATTACCAGATTATTTACAGTGTAACAACTTGATAACGTGCTGATTTCCAGCCATTGTCACCGCACCCTTCCGCGGCCACTGACGCAGACTGTTGAAGCGAATCATACCATACCAGCCCAAAACTAAATTTCCTTATTTACTGGGTAATATTGTTACCAAATTCATTACCGCGAAATCATTACCTGCATGACTTTACCGGATTATTAAGAGTGTACACACGCCCAAGGAACACTCAAGGACGCGATGTTTGCAAATAAATAGTGTGAAGTTAGTTAAACTGGGAAAAAATGTCGACGGCTATGCACGCGTACATGAAACATGCTATTTATCTAGTTACACACGTACTGAAATTGTGGGGTCATTCATACATTACGGCGCGCCAAAAAATTCTACACCTCCTGTGAACAGGTGAAAAAGGGATTTTACGCATAGAATTGGTTGGATTTTATGCAGAAAAATTTATGCAGAAATAATTTATGCACAAAATACGCATAATTGTGCTAAACCTTTCTGCAGAATATACCGGTCAGACCTTTTATGCAGAATCGTTCACACTTTTTCTGCACAAACCATTGTGCCGACCACTTGTGTAGAATTATGTCAAATTCGACATACGATTTTTACCTGGGTTCACTTTCATTCATTTGGTTGAGTATGATACTAAATGAAATTTAATTTCTTGTCATTTGAATAAAAATGACTGAAAGACTCCGTCATTTCGGACGAATGAAAGGACTTTTCACTCTTTATTTTTTCCCTTATTCTTAATACATTCAGAAATGAAGTCAGATGAAGTGAAATGAAATGATTTCGAAAGAAAATATGTACATGTAGAATTTTAAAATGCCAACTAAACCCACTATGGAAAGATGCCGTCATAAATGTACGTTCCCTTGGGAAGGAAGAACTCGCAATATGTAAAATATTCAAGTTCTCTCCTGTTTTAAGACTTTCATGCGTATCTGGAACAAAAATTCAACCTTCTCCTTGTACCTACATACTTGCAAAGGTTGCCCAGATTGCGAAATACTACTTAGCCAACCAATCAAAAATTAATATGTAAATACGTGCGAACAAACTACAGGATGTGAATATGATTTGACCGACATGTACAGTACACTATACAAAAATCCAGTAATAAACTCTTAATACCGCTTGTGTGTTATAACATGCAAAAAAGGGTTAAATTTAACGCCTCACTTATTAAGCTGAAATTTGCCACTTAATAAGATGATACGTCCTACCGCAAAAAAATAAGAAGCACACGTCACAACTGTTTTCCGAGTTAGCCAAAATTTATTCGGTTTGAACGCTGACGACCGGTTTCGTAAATCATCATCGGGTCGCGTTCTTATGAAAATAATAATGGTAAAAATATGGCCTTAAATATGTACGAGGTAATTTATCCACTTTTACTTTTCGGAGCTGGTTTTACATTGTAATTAAAATTTAAACTTCCAAGTAAAAATTAAAATTCATTTCAATCACGTGGTAAGAAATAATAAGTTTACAAGTAATCGTGATGACTACGTATTACCATCAGCGATAGTATTTATGTACACTGTAAATAATTTTGTCACAACTTGTCACCCGCGGAGGTACTATCTTTTGGTAATGATTTAGGAGATGTTTTGTGGGAAATACCAAAATTTGTCCATCCGTTGTGTAAATTTTGCACAACATTGGACAAATTTTGCCCAACGGTTGGGTAAATTTTACCTTTCGGTTGTGCCATCCTCTTTTTTACTCAACCTTGAGTAAATTTTAGTTATTTTTATTTAGAGTGTGGGAACCAAATGTCTATCTATTAGTTTCGATAATTCTGAAGATTTTTTATTTCGATTATAAATTTGGTTTCTCAGAGTAAGAAATTACCTCCGGAAATGGATGTTTCTCATCTTTGTTTGACATAAACATAAACATCTTTGTTTGACATAAACTTGATAAACATCAAGTTTTTGACTTCTTTCCCCTCGGTGACAAAACGTTCGCTTAAGCAGAACAAAGCAGTATAAATATTTGTACCTCCGCGGGTGAGGATTAATGCATTATTTAGAGTGTGGTTTATTTGCATATTTCGTCCAAAGACGAGATTGCATGTTTTATACATACACTGTAAATAATCTGGTAAATAACATTACCCAAAGCACAAGTATATGATTCTACCAAAGTGGTAATGGTACGTTGTACCGTGAGGTAATAGCTTTGTAATATAGTTCTATTATCATGGGAACGAATTTTTACTACCTGGTAAAACATTATTACCAAATTTATTACAAAGACATCATTCCCTGCCTGACTTTACTTGATTATTAAGAGTGTAAATGTCGGTAGGATATCAATCAATACCGTGATCAAGGTGCTTCGTCACGATAAAATTAAGACATTAAGACGTAGAACTACTTCTTCTTATTTCTTATTTTTATTTAACTATTTCATATTTCGCAACCTCGTGGGTAATTCCGTCGGTTAGTCTCACCACGTGGAGGGTATTTTAATAACTTATTTTACATAAAAACCTATGTATGCACACATTTCCCACGCCTGGTAGGAGGCCCGTAGCGATGTTTCGTCCGGCCTGGAGAGTTTGGCCGTGGTACGGCCTCATACATATCCCTCAAAAAATCATTTGATTGTTTTTATCTTGTGAATTTTACTGGTGACTCACCAGTAAAATATCACCAGTAAAATATCACCAGTACAATAATCAGTTTTAAGTTTTAAGTTTTAAGTTTTTTTTAATCAATAATCAGTCATAATTTTATCTAGCGTATTTTACTGGTGACTCTAATTTTATCTGTATTCTACTACCGACCCTGGCGGTACGGTCCGTCCGGGCCGTACGGCCTAGAGAGTGTCACTGCACGTGTCTCCACCGTCGCCACAGCGCTGTGGCTGGTAGTACTATACACGGCAAATAATTTGGTGTAAATCCGGTGCGGTGTAGCCACATATCAACACCGCCAGTGTTAATTTACCCGGATTGCTACCGCGCGGTGTGCATATGTGGCTACACCGCACTGGATTTACACCAAATTATTTGCAGTGTACCTGTTAAAAAAACTTTTTTCATTCAAAAGTCAGTTATCCCGATTAGTTCATATTCACTCATTTTCTTTCATACTCATTTCACCTGACCGGATTTCTTACTTCGCCCCTTGCATGAAGCATCGGGTGAAAAATGAAGGGAGTGAAAAATCCTTTCATTCCCAGTCACTCAGCTGAAATGACGGAATGTCTGTATTTCACTAAATCACAGGAAATTCATTTGCATTCACTATCATTCCCTATTATAATTAATCACGTGAATGAAGTGAGAGTGAACAGGTATTTATGACATGCTCACCCTGACCATCAAGTAGTTGCGCCTATGGTTAAGGCATTCTTGAGATGTCTTGGTTAAAAAGTTCAGCGCTTTTTTATTAAGTGACGACTGAAATTTTGTGAGTTTGGTACTCAAATTATACATGTATGCAAATACACTGCAAATAATCTGGTAATAAACATTACCGAAAGGCATAAGTATATGGCTCTACCAATACGGTAATGATAAGTTGTGCCGTGCGGGAATTGCTTGGTAGTAAAGTTCTACCATCATGGTAACGAGTTTTTACTACCTGGTAAAGTATTATTACCAAATTTATTACCGAGAAATCATTGCCGGATTATTAAGTGTGTGCTTCATGTATTCGTATGTAACTACAAAACTTATTTATTTTATTTATTGTACATATTTATATACGATTAACATCAATATTTAGAGTAAAAAACTTGTAGTACGTCCCGAAAAATGCGTCATTTTAAGATTTCATCTAGTCCCAAGTTGCACCCAGTTTTAAGCCGTGGAGCTGCCACTGGTTAAATATGCAAATATGTGCATACCACTTTTCTAAATATTATCCACATGTAAATAGGCCAAAATTTTGCCAAAAAAGGGTTCATAAAACTATACATAAATTAAATTAGGATTGCAATTTAATAAAATTATTTACACGCAATAAAGTCTTTTCTCAAAAGTGGAAACTTAAGTATTATTAAATGCACAAAACCCGTCAAGTTTTTGCAAAAACAATAAAACCTGCATACAAAACCGCTATACATTATTTTCCCTAAAAAACTACATCATATCTCCCCCAGCAAGTGTCCCATCGCTGCTCTATGTAAATGCCCTACGTAAACGCTGCATGCGTGGTCACAGAAAATCCCGGAAAACAATTTTCGCAATAGGACATTTCCTAAAAAAAACCTCAAATTAATCCCCTTCCCCCCTCCTACATCATATTTGCCCCCAACACGTGCCCAATCGCTGCTCCTAAGTGTCCCATCTGTCCCAAATTTCCTCCCCCTCCCCCCCCAACATATCCTCCGGGAGGAATTGAAATCTGTGGTTGCGGTTGTTGTTGCACAACTTGCTGTTGCACAACTTGCTGTTGCACAACCTGCTGTTGCTGCTGCTGCTGATGGCCCAACCTGACCTTACAGTACCTCTTATGACTCGCCAAATGCGGCAATTCTGCACACCCCTTCCCACAAAACTCACACCTAAACGGCAAATTCTTCACTACTGGGGGCCCCCCACCCCCTCCCGCACCCCCTTCCCCACTATGAATCTTCTCATGCCGCGCCAACTTCCTTGGTCGGGTTGGAGAAGATTTTGTCGCAGGCGGTGCAGCGATACGCTTCTAAATTGAGTTCGGGATGTGTCGTTTGATGATATTTGAGGAAGGTGGGTTGCGAAAAGGCCTGGGCGCAGATTTCGCACACGTAGTTTTTCTGTTTCGTGTGGGTCCCGATGTGTGCGGTGAGGCGGTGGTGGCGGAAGAAGGCTTTCGGGCAGTAGGTGCACTTGAGGGGGGGTTCCGTCCAGTGCATTTTTTCGATGTGGCGTTCTCTGGAGACGGTCGTGATGAAGGCGGACTCGCAGTGGGGGCAGGCGAAGGGGGTTTCGCCGGTGTGGGTGCGGCGGTGGTGGAGGGCGAGTTCCGCGGGGTTCCGGTACTTTTGGGAGCAGAGGGGGCAGACGTGGCGTTTTTCGGCTGGAAAGAGAAGGGAGAAGAGAGATTAGTTTTTTTGTGAGTTGGGAATTTTTGAAGTTGGTGGGACGATTTTTTTTAAATTGGAAATTTATGAATTTATTTTTGAAGAGAGAAGAAATTAAAAGATTTAGATTTTTGGTTGTTATAAATTGGGAATTTAGGAAGGGAATGATTTTTTTAATATTGAGAATTTGTGGAAGGGGAGAGACGTTTTTGGATAAATATAAATGGGGAATTTTATTAATTGGGAATATATATGAATTTATGAATGCGAGGATTTCTTAATGGGGAATTTATGAAGTAGAGATTTTTGAGGAGAGGAGAAAATAAAGGGCGTTAGATTTTTTTTATAAATTTGGAATTTATGAATGGAAGGATTTTTTACTATTGGAAATTAGTGGTTTGGAGGATTTTTGAAGGAAATTAGGGTTTTACTTATTCGGGAGTTTATGATTTTAGATAATTTTTTAAACTAGGTATTGAGGAAAACCGGAATTTATTATTTGACAGATTTTTGTTTAATCGGAAATTTATGAAATCGGGAATTGAGACTTTATTATTTGAAGGATTTTTTTGCTTCGGGAATTTAGGAATTAGGTGCCTCTTTTAACGTGTAAGGTAATTTAAATATTAGAATTTGAATCCCCGAATTCGGGATGTTCGGAGATTCAAACTTTATAATAAGTGCGTGTGTACCGTAAGTTCCTCGCTTTCTTGGAGCGATTCCATGCTTGGAGAATAAATGCGCCACGAGGATCTTTTTGCGGATAAAGAGCTCATCGCAGTGTTCGCACGGATATCGCTTTTTGCCACCTGGAAGATTTTAATTTGCGGAATTATTATAATCGTGTAGATTTCATATTTTAAGATTTGCGATTGTTAAAAATTAAAAACTATTTAGTGTTAAATATAAAAAATAATGAATGGAAGAGTTTAAATTGATTAAGTTTTAGCAAAATAAAAAATTGCAAACTTTTTTGTCTCTATGAAATAGTTTTCACAAATTTTGGCAAGAGCAGACGTGTGAAATTGGCAAGGTATTGTTTCGCAGGAATAAATAATTGGCACAAATTTTAGCAAGGTATCATTTTTACAAAATGTTAGCAAATTGAAGCCAGGAATTCACAAGGTTTCGCCTGTTCTATTACATTTTGGCAAAAAACCTTTTAAAATTTGCGTTTGGGTCTACTCATTTTCCAAAATAGTAGCCAAGTCATACAAAATCTGCCAGCTTCTTAATCACAAAATTAAATACTTTGGCAATTATACAGGAATTTCTAGGTATACAATTTAGCAATTTAAACAGTAAAATTTGCAATGGTTCGATTCCTTCGCCAGTTTTACAAAATTGCATAGCTCAATCAATGTACTCTCAATTTATTTGTCATCAAATCTCGCGGTTTCCACCGGGTCCATGCAGTTCGCACCCACTTCCATGCAAAGGCTTCTCTCGTATGTGTTATTTTGAGTGTAGTTTTTGAATGGAAGTGGGTGCGAACTCGGTGGAAACCGCGAGATTTTATGACAAATAAATTGAGACTATGTACAGATAAATTTGCAATGCCCAGGATTAACACAATCTTTCCGCAGAATCTTAGCCAGCTACACGACGAAAGTTTAAAATAAATAACGTAGCAAATCCGTTCTTAAAAAATTAGCAAAGATATTCGCGAAATTTTGCCCACTTTTTTGCACTTTTTCCTTCTCTTCAGATCCCGGGCCGTGACTTTTCTCGAAATGTGTATCTCTTTGTTGCTCTGTTTTGAACGTTCTGCGACACGTCGGATGCGAGCAGGAAATTCGGGGGACGACGGGCGCAGATTTTCGGCGCTTCTTTAATCTCGCGGAGAGCGGGAGGTCGTCGTCGTCATCTTTCGTCGCGCCATCGTCGTCATTGGAAGCGTCGTCGTCTTCGTCGTCCTCCGTGTCGGAGGTGGCGCTGCTCTCCTCAATGTCGGAGAGTTGGTCAGCCTCCGTCACAAAGTCTTCGTCTTCAGACTCGGAATCTGGAAAAAAGATTTGCAATTTTGTAAAATTTGTAGCGTCCTATTTTTTTAAATTTTGCAATTTTTGTAAACTTTACAGATGTGTAACAAATCATAAAAGGCTAAAAATGCACTGGATATTTTTAAAATTTACAATTCTTTTAAAAAGTTTAAATTTTCTAAAAAATTTCAAAGTTTAAAAATGACGTGAACACTATCTGCATTGATAAGTGTACCAAAATCTGTTTAAAAAATCTGTAGACTTCAAATTGTACCAAAAATTATGAACTTTAAATGGTGTGAAATTCCTAGTACAACAATTAGAAATTTGAAAAAACCCGTTTAAAAATTATGAAAATAATCCACACGGTTTACAAAAATTGGCCAAAACCATGCAAAATTTTCCAAAAAACCACTACAAACATTCCACTTTGAGGAAAATTTTACCAAAAAGTTGTAACGCTTACAAAAAATTGCGTTAAATTACTACTACAATATTCGTCAATTTAAAAAACTCGTTTAAAAATTATAAAAAATCCACATTATTTACAAAACTTTGTGAAAAACCATTCGAATTTTTTCTTTAAAAACACGACTAATAAATATTCCACACCGAGAAGAATTTTATACAAAAATATCAAGTTTTTCTAAAAATTTCATCAAGATATTTTTTAATCCTCAAAAGTTATAAAAAAGTTTTTCTAAAATTTGTCAAAAACCATTCAAAATTTTCCCAAAAAAACTAACATTCCACTTCCAGCAGTTCTCTCTCATCCTTGACGGTGAGAAGGGCCTCCTCCTCGTCCTCGCTGTCCTCCCCCAGCAACTTTTTGTAGTCTGGTTTCGTCACCCGTCTCCCCGAATGCGTCCGGATCATGTTGACCTCCTCCTTCTTGGTCCCCTCGCCCCCTTCGTCCTCGTCACGCCCGATTTCCTCCAGAAGCTCGTCCGCCAACTCGGCGTCCGCGTCCGCCTCGGACTGTTCCGTTCCGTCCAGCAGGGATTTTATGGGTCTTTTGACACATCTCTTCTTCGGTGCGGAGGATGACGGTGTCGTCGCCGAGGAGGCCACGCGCTTGGCACGTGGGGTCCGTTCGGCTTTGGGTTTCCGGCCTCTTTCTGGGTGAAAATTGAAATAAAATTGGTGACATTGTCTGATTTAATGAATTAAGATTTTTGACGATTACTTTTTGGCCGTTGTGACGGAGGGGGATCTTCGAGGTCTAAATCGTCATCGAAACTTATTTCAGCATCAGATTCGGCTTCTGCTTTGATGTGACCTGAGATTACAAAATTGAACAAAATGCTAAGAATTCAATTTATGTAAAATGTGGACAGGAATAATTGATTATTTTTAGATAGATTTCTTGTAAAATTTATAAAAAAACAGTGCCTAAATTATCATTTTTTAATTACAAATTTCGAAACCTATAACTGAAAAAATTGTATATATAAAAAAATGTGGTCAAGAATCGTAGTTGAATTTTTCAGGTAGGTTTTTCATAAAATTTTGTAAACTTTCTTTATGACTCTGTTAGCAACAAAGCAGTTCGTGAATTATCTTTTTAAAAAATTGCAAAATTTGCTAACTTACTTTTGAAAAAATTAGTAAATTATGCAAATTATGATGTAAGTTATTTATGTAATCAATAATTCGCTTCATTAACCAACCTGCACCTTCTTCGTCCCCGTCTTCGCCTTTTCTTGTACTTTTCTCGTCGCTAGCTTTTGTCGAGCGGATCACGGCGGCGCGGACGCGGTCGAATATTGTAGGGGCGCCCTCGGCGTTGGGCGTGGCGGCGCCGCCCTCGGCGTTGATGGTGGCGGCGCCGCCCTTGGTGGTGGTGGCGCCGCCCTCGGCGTCAGTGGTGGCGGCGCCGTCAGTGGTCTCTTCCCACGTGCCTTCCACGAGGGCCAAAACCTAATTAATTAGGATAATGATTAAAATATGATTAACTCCATTAAAAGTTTAATTAATTAGAAAGTACTCGGAACATTGCAAAATTAAGGATTTGTAAAATCCAGAATTTTACACGGTTTGCAAAAATCCGAATGAATTTACGTACTCGTTTCCGGTGTCCGTCCAACTGCAGTTGACAGAGGTCAATTTGGAGGCGAAGCTGTCGCGCGGCGACGATCAGGGTGCAATCGTCGCAGAATGAGACCCACGTCGACGGCGCGGCTTGGCTGGGGGACAAAATACAAATTTTAAATATATAATCGTATACAATTTCAAGATTCTCATAACACTGGAATCTTTTTAATCAAGCCCTGTCAACTTTTGTTAAAATATACACAAATTGGCTACTTTAAAAAAACGTAATTTTTGAAATTAGGCACACGTAAAACTCGAACTTGCACCAATTGTCAAGTTCTTAATTATTAGAAATGTGCAAAATTTGGCAACCTTATTGGAGTTAAAAGAATACATAAAGTGTTACCTCTGAAGTTAAAAATGCACAAAAATTTGCATAACTATGTAGGTAAAGCATCCATAAATTTCAAATAAAATACGTAAACAAATCCGCAAAACTTCGTGCTTAAAAACCTCCATAAATTATGAATTGACACCTTCAAAATCAAAATTTCTCAAAACTTTTTTCATAAAATTCTATTTCCAAAAACCTCCCTCACCTTTTAACCAAACTTTCCAGCAGCTTGGTCAACCCCCCGGCTTCTTTTTGCCTCACAATATCCCCCCTCCGGGCCCCCAAATGGACCAAAAACTGCGGGGGGAGGAGATCCGTCAAGAAAAATAGGTTAATCTCGTCCCCCATCGAGTCCTCCCCCCCGACGCTCCGATTAGTCTCGCTCGCCGGGGCCGTACAAACGACACACTTTTCACAAGTCATGTCGTCGGGAATTTATTTTTTTCAGAAATTTATTCCCTCTGTTTTTATTATTAACTGGACAAAATAGAATGTGAAGTGAAGGGCGGTGGATGGATGGAGAGTTTGCAGAGGTGGGGGCTGTGCACGCTGGATGGCGTGAAGTTAGCCTTTGTTCAACCCTTTGTTCCGCTTTTGGGTAGCATTTGTATGAATATGGAAGCATAAGGGAATTTTAGGAAATGTATTTTCATAAATTTCTCACCACATCAGGTTCGAATGAGGGGTATGATTTTCATGAAATCGTATGAATGTCAGAAGTGTTTGGTTTGATACAAACTTTGTTTTAAAAAAATAATATTAACCTTGCACCGTTTTTATTTGTAAAGATGAGATCATGATAATCAGTTAGATAAGGTTTATTGTCCTAATTTCTGTATATGTGTTTTACTCGAACCTTTTCCGGATGCATGATTATGATTTTTTTCATGTTTCACAAAACTTTGAAACATTACGTATATATTTTTGTTATTTATGCAATTCCAAAATGCCCGTTTTTGTTTTTACTTTTGCAAACTGGAATTACATAATGAAGCGAAAAATTTAAGGCCTCATTTAGACAAGAAAGAAATCTGTCTCAATTTTTTTGCACTTCTGTCATCCCACCATAATCTCGTGTTAGCCCAGTTATGTATATCCATCACTCTAAAAAACACTGTTCCAGTTATGAAACAAATGCAGTCTGAAATTCAGAATCCTCTGAATTCTATATTAAGTAGACTATGCTAATTCTAAAGTAATGTTAACTTGATAAAGAGTAAAGATTACTTAGGATTTTCTTAGTTTGCTGAATTTAAAACTGCACTCGCTTTTTAAAAGGGTATTCTTTTAAGAGTGTAATCTGCAAATTTTATTAAATTCTTATTATTTTCAGGACAAATTTCTTTAATTAAATTGCATGCAAAAATAAGACGCAACTTATAGTAGTACAGTATGAGTTTCATTTAAGAAAATAGTATCAAAATCTGGAATTTTCTTTCTCATGTAACACAGCTTTTAATTAAATTTTATACGAGACGATTCACGCCGTCGTAACTATGTACATAAAGAATTCCGAGCATTTTTGCCATAATTTTACATAATTTTCCAAAATACAAAAACACCCATGGTTTAAGTAAGTTTACAAAAAATTTGTAACCCAATTTTCCTTCGAAATGTGAGCAGAAATTTGAAAAAACTTTTCTAAGTTTACAGACTTTACAGATTTTACAATGTTACCATTGCCTGCCAGAATTGTATCACGGTTCCATTCGCTTCGAGAAGATTCATAATATTATTATTCCATTCACTACAAAGCACACTTCACAAGTAACAAGCTGGTGTATGTCCGAGTAAAAATCCAGTGAGCCTTCAATCCAATCCAACAAGTTTACAAAGGGTCAACCTTCCGTAGTACACCTCGCCACCCGGGCCCAATCTCGACCCCTCACCATATACCAGAGATGAACGTTGGCTGTCAAAATTCAGAGAGGGCTCGATGCCACATTTACGTCGTAACGTGGCATCCAGTAATATCGTGTAATTTGATAAAGTTTGTACATATGTAAATTTGAAATTTGAGGATTAAAAAAAAAATTTAGGAAATATGTTCAAGTTTTCTGTGGATTTCTAATTTTTATTTTTAAAAATTTGTATGAGTTTTTACATACGATATTTACATACATTTTCTACATGTATGTACACATTTTGTGAAACTAAAATCATTTCATGCATATGCGAAACCTGCTATTTTTTGCAAATCATGCAAAATTGCTATTGGCAAATATCTGTATCACATTAATCAACAACTTGCAAAATAATTTGCATGGAATCATAACCCACATGAATGTCCTCTCGATGAAGACGTCAAATTTGACAACATCCCTCTACAAAATCCACGTACTTTTAATTCTTTGCAATTTTGCCCTTGCAACCAAACAACCTTCTCTTTGAGGTTAGTCCTAGACAAAGAAGGAATGGAATAACATCTTAATTCGCGTAGAGCGAATTTTTTAGCAAGAATGTGGGTGGAGCAATAAGGGGCCCGATGGGCCAGGTCAAAGTCAGAACAACGAGACGCAAAGTACGAGAAAATAATTTTAATAATTTTTCAAATAATTCTAATAAAATTCTGGTCCAAGTTTTGCGATAATATTTGAGGTAAAAAATTCGCAAATTCGAACTTATAATTTTCACAATTTGATTTTAGGTAACATCTAGAACAGTGCGAAATCAATATCCTCCCCCAGGGACGGTATAAAAAAATAAGATCTTAAAGGTGAGGGTATTAAATATTTAAGCCAATTTTCACTTACGCGAGGTTTTGTATCTGTGTAAATCCCTGAGGCAATTCACGCTGTTGTTGGTAATCTTGTAAAATCCTTAATTTTCGTACCATAGCTTTTACATAATTAAAAGACGCTCGGAGTAGGTTAAGGGAAATTTGTACGCTAATTTCTCACAAAAATATTGACAAAAATTTGCCAATAGATTATGGATTTCGTGAATTTATGTACAAAGTTACCAATCCCTGCGAGGATTGGATCGTTTTACCCACAACTTATGAAACTTCATATTTATGTAATATCTATCCACAATTTTATCAGAAGCAAAAAAATTATAGATTATTTCATATGCATAAACATTACATTACACAAGATTTACCTTAATTACAAAACTTTACGTAACATATCTTTATTCCACATTTGTCAAATCTTATCCATCAAAAATTTAATTTACAGAGAACATCAAATTTATGAACACCACGATAACACTTCTCGATCCGAGTGATAACTTTCTCCAATCGTTCTTGAAATTTGAGAACGACTCGAGTCTGGCTGTTACTTCCGGTGATGCAGAATTCAATCTTGAGGTCACGGATCTTAATGAGGTCAACGACCTTCGCCATGACGTTGGGGGCCCGTTCTCCGAGCTGGTAGTTTTCCCACAGGTCGTGGTAGAAGTCGAGGTCAATGACCCCAATCTTCAAGTGGACGTCACTCCTACTGATCCACCACCTCCGATAAAACGAAAACGCGGTCGACCGCCAAATCCAACCCCGAAAATCACCCGGGTCACGAAGCGAACGAAAAAGTACGAGGAACCCCCAACAACAAAAGCGGTCCGCAATGCGATCGGTGCAAAACGAAATCGTGACCTGAAGAAGGAACTATTTGCAAAAATGGAGTCCGAAATCGAATCCTTAAAAGCGCAAAAATTGGCCCTAGAAAATCAGGTCGTCACCCTTTTGGTCGAAAAGAAAGAGTCCGCCGCAAAAAATTCACTGCTAACGGAACAAAATTCCGATTACCGGAAGCGATTAGACGTAATTTTGAAAAATGCGTCGGTTGGGGGAGAAAAAGTCGAGCACGTGGATGGCACGTGGTCAATCGCCGATGGCGAAAGCACGACATATTCTTCCTCATCCGACGAAACTTTTCAAGTCGACCACGTGGATGACACGTGTTCCAGCGCTGATATTACTTCCAGCCAAGGAACGACGTATTTATCCCTACCCGACGATACTTTTGAGGGCTGCGACTCATTCCCAGAATTGAATCAATTAATCAATTAATCAATTAATGGGACTCGATCAAATTCTGAACGTTTGAGTCGGGCTGTGCGAAGTTAGTAATATGTAGTTTTAGAAGGTGTGTCATAAATTGTGTAACGCATTTTTTTTAAAACCCGGTAGAAATTATATAAAATTACGAATTTTTTTCAAAACCCGGTAAAATTTATGTACATATTTCCATAAAATTCAAATATTCAATTTACATAATAGCTTTAAACAATTTATATAAGTATGATTTAAAAATTCAATTTAAACCCGTTACGCAATTTATGGTCGCCAAAATACATCTTTTTAGATACATTCATCTTTAATAACCTTACGACTGTGATGTTATTTAATTTGTTTGTACTGACCCCTTCCCACCCATTGGAACGTTGGTAGAGTCGCATTTTTTTAAGGGAAAATTTCCAAACACTATTGGGAAAATATTGCAAAAATTGCTTGACAATACTGCCATCCTGGCTAGAGGATGTTGCAAAAATTGCTAGACAATATTGCGAACCTGGCAAGAGGATATTGCAAAAATTGCTTGACAATATTGCGAACCTGGCAAGAGGATATTGCAAAAATTGCTTGACAATATTGCGAACCTGGCAAGAGGATATTGCAAAAATTGCTAGACAATATTGCGAACCTGGCAAGAGGATATTGCAAAAATTGCTTGACAATATTGCGAACCTGGCAAGAGGATATTGCAAAAATTGCTAGACAATATTGCGAACCTGGCAAGAGGATATTGCAAAAATTGCTAGACAATATTGCGAACCTGGCAAGAGGATATTGCAAAAATTGCTAGACAATATTGCGAACCTGGCAAGAGGATATTGCAAAAATTGCTTGACAATATTGCGAACCTGGCAAGAGGATATTGCAAAAATTGCTTGACAATATTGCGAACCTGGCAAGAGGATATTGCAAAAATTGCTAGACAATATTGCGAACCTGGCAAGAGGATATTGCAAAAATTGCTAGACAATATTGCGAACCTGGCTAGAGGATATTGCAAAAATTGTTAGACAACACTGCCATCCTGGCTGGAAGATGTTGCAAAAATTGCTAGACAATATCGCCATACTGGCTTTAAACAATAAATTTCCCCCAAAAAAATGCATATTTCTATCCAAATGTTCCCGTGGGTTCAGAGGGAAGCGTACACATATTTGTCAACGTTCCTACTAATCGAAGCTTTTAAAGGCTCGAATTTTAGCAACGGCACAAATTTCAAGAAACTAAGAGGAAATTCGTAAGATACCTTAAAATGACAAGCGTCATTTCACCTCTTACGAGACACGGTTCACTCTGAGGATAAAATTGTGAAAAAATTTATACAAAATTTTAATTTTTTAAAATCTTGAGTAAAATTTTCCACAGTTTTTTATTCCGAGTGTGTTTAAGCCCCTCGTTTCAGAGACCCTTCTACGGAGCGAGGGTGTTGAGGGGGATTAATTGGGGGGTAAAGTTCCCACAAAAAATACCCGAAAAATTCCGCATCACATCCTGCCCGTAAGTCTCACCCTGGTCAGTCCCTGTACGTCGCCACTGTCGACGTGGTGATCACAACTCGTCGCCATGTCGACAGAGGCGACGTGTAGGTTCGTTTTTCAGCGTTGAATTAATGTACCGTGCACCAGATTAGGATTAGAGATTCTAATCTGGGATTAATCCGCGAAAACGGCAAACTTAAATGTGGCATGATTTTGTACATAGTATTTTTCAAATATTGTAAATCTGTCATGTCTGTCATGTTCTAACAGTCAAAAATAAATGGGAATGGTTACTAAAAAAGTAAAAAAATTCTCTTTCTCTTTTGTCCTCATGAAAACTACTCCAGGAATTTGCACATTGTTTTGCACACATACATATTTACATAAATACGTATGTAAGTAAGCAATTGTTATGTAAATAAATACATATATATGCATAACTAAGCATAATATATGCATAACTAAGCATTCAATATATACATTGGGCGAATTCACCGCAAAGATAATGTAGTTCAAGTCGTCACGTTAAATCCGAAATAATTTGCATGTAAATTTGCACATGTACACATTTACATAAATGACTGTTGTGTATCCGCCCGAATATAGCATAGATTTATACAAATTCACACAGCACAGACTGTAATTTGACGTATATACAGACATACATACCTACCTGTAAATATGTACGAAGCCATAGCAATGCGCCTGTACATACACTCTTAGAAATCCAGTATTAAAATAATACCAGCTGGTATTCATATATGACTCTACCGGCGTGGTATTTGTAAATAATACTGTGTAGTAATAAGCCGGTATTAAAGCTTTACAATGTTGGTATCAAATTTTTACGGTGCGGTACAATTTTAATACCAAGCGGTAGCAACTTTTATACCAAGAAATCAATACCTACGTGACTATTCCGGATTGCTAAGAGTGTATGTATACATATTCACATCTGTGATTATATGTGCGGATAAATATTATGTACCTATGTACCAAACATAGCTCGCAATAAATTGGTCCATCGATGGACCATCTGAAAGTGGTCCATGGTCCATGGCCCATTGATGGACCATCTGAAATTTGATCCATGGTCCATCGATGGACCAATTTTTTTTGTGGTCCATGGTCCAGTAAACCATGGACCAATGTGGACCATGGAATACTTTTTAGGTGATCCATACTTTTTAGGTGATCCATACTTTTTAGGTGATCCATCGATGGACCACCTGAAAAAAGTCCACGGTCCATCCATGGATAAATTTTTTTGTGGTCCATGGTCCATGATGGACCATTTTGGTCCAGTGGACCATGGTCCATTGCGAGCTATGGTACCAAACTCATTCCAACAACAGCAACTCCTTGCTGCATACAGTGTGTCCACTTAAAAACGAGTCCACTTTTGGGGGGGGGTAATAAAAGTGATTTTATTTGTACTAAAATTTTTTTTTAACATAAATCCTTTTGGTATACAATACCTTAGTATTTAGTGATGCCTCCACACGCAATTTGCATATCTCTAATTCGTTTAGGGAAACTCTGCGTCAGATTTTCCAAAACGGTAACCGAAATTTCCTTCCATTTTTTTTGGAAGCGTCGAATTAAAGAAGAACGGGTTCGTGGAATTGGCTGCTCATACGCGCTATTCTTGAGATAGGGCCACAGATTCTCGATTGGGTTCAAGTCCGGGCTATTTCCTGGCCAAGTCCCCTTCCCCCAGACTGTTGAAATGTGCTCCCCTAGGAGGCGCATGCTCTCTTTTGCAGTGTGAGCTGGTGCCCCATCCTGCATGAAAGTTATTTTTTTCTTACTTGGAAAAAGTAGCTTATTGTCCATGGCTTCGAAGTAAGTAGGAAGAATTTTGTCACGGTAATAGGCTCCGTTTACATTTTGACCACTCGGAATGATGTGCAAACGAGAGACGCCCCTCGAACAGTACCCAGCAGCAACCATAATCTGAAGACTTTTTTTCGGTGTAGATGTTGTTGGAACCTCCGTTCTTTTTTCTGTCCTGTACCTTGTGTTCTGAGGATTCCCCCGAGGGTGAAGATAAATCCAAGTTTCATCGGTAAATAGTATATGTCGACGTTTTTCTTCACCCCTTTCACCCTCTGTCAAATAGCCGTTTTCGTCCAAAAAGTTACCAAACTTTAACCTATCTTCAATATTTTTGGCAGACAAAAGTGGTTTTTTAGATCTCTTGAAAGCTTTATTTCCCCATGTGGTGGTTTTTAGATGATTTTGAATGGTAGATTTGCTAATCTTTTTATCCATCCGTTTGAATCGATTTATGAGATTGATGGCGGCCGCACATTTTCGAGTGGAACTGCCAGTTTTTCGGTACATTCTAGTTTTAATCATATTTTTAGTGGTAGGTGACAGTATGGTGGGTTGTCCAGGCCTTTTTTTGTCAGCTGTTGACTCTCGGTTTTTCCAACGCTGGACAGTACTTCTTGCAACTTTGATTTTTTCGGAAATTTCTCTCTCGGAGTATCCCTCCTCCAATAGTGTTTGAATTTCTATTCTTTTCCGTATTCTGTTATATAAATACTTGGTATACATTTTGTAAAAAAATCACCTGTGTAAATAAACAAAGAAAAAAGTTATGCCAATTTGTATTACCTAGTGCTCATGGTAGTTTGGTGGACTCGTTTTTAAGTGGACACACTGTACATACATACATTCGTTGCATTTTTGCGAATGAACTTCACACACAAAATATAACGACATTCAGTGATGTACTACTAACTCGTTCACTAATGAAATGTGGTCACAATCCAGCACACGTTTTTCCGCATAAGGAAATAACCTTCACTGTAAAGTACGCATTCACTAAAAAATTAGGAACTATATGTAACCAGATGGGTTAAAGTTGGGCAGAAATAAGTTCACGCTTAGGACTGGCACAATGGTGTTGAATGATTACCGACCGGAGTACATGTATTGAAATAACTAGAATTATGGTATAGTAATGATGAGGTAATGAAAGCTTTACCACCCAGAAACAAACTGTTACCAATCGGGTAGGAGTGATATTCAAATTAATACCACCACAGAGAGTAGATTGGAGGTCTAAACTACCAAGCTTAAAACACACTATAGGAAATGGTATAGTTTTTGCTAAGAGCAAATTTAAACTTAAAACTAAGACGAAATCCGTCAAAAAGTTAAGGACAATTTTGAAAACAAGACCCTTGTAACTTCAAACAGAAGTGAATGAATATGTACTATAACATTCCAAAAATGTTTAGGTATGTAAAAAATACAATGTGTTTCAATATATTTCGAGATTTGTTACTTTTTGGCTTTGCACTTTATTTATAAAACTGACCGCATCTTCGGTATGAATGACTTAAAGGACAAATTTTATTATGTACCTATTTTATTGGGGCTTCTTGATTTTTAAGGAGTTTAATAATGACGCCTTATTATGCTCGAGTGACCGAGCTATATCGCGTTCCAGTCTTTTCGGCTTCTTTTCCTTTGGTTTGGGAAGCGGGGGGAGGCCGCGCTTCAGCCGGTCCGCGTTTTCCAGGTTGAACTGGAGCGTCCTGTGCTGATGCGCGAGGTGCGAACGGAACACGGCGAGGCGCTCGATCTCCGCGTCTTCGGGGGGCGTCTTAATAACGGCGGGGATGGTGGGGGTGGGAAATGATGTCACGTGGTCACCAGGTTCTGAGAAGATTAATACATAATTATAATAATTTTTAACAAATTTCAATACCTTTTAAAAATTTAAATTTTTCGAAAATCAATAATTCTTTTGTAAAGTGAAAGTCGCGAAAGTTTTGTAAATTGGGGAAAACTAATAAATAAATTAGAAAATTATGTCATGTAATTTTGTATTTAATGAAAAATGTTTACAAATAAATGCACAGTTTACACATAATCGAAATCACAAGTGTGGATTCATTTTTCCGTTTTTGAAGGGGTATAATTCTGTCGCTGCGTAGGCATATTTACAAAGGTTACAAAATTTAAAAAAAATTCGTATGCCAGACATAAACTTAAATTAGTGGCGTCGGCACAGTTTACGTCAACATTTTGCAAATTGTGAAGGATTGCTCAACCGCCCGCATTCGATAAGTTTGCGGGTTTGTCGCCTCGGAACTTACGGCCCGCATACGATGTACGAATTCGGCTCGCATGCGGAATTCGAATTCGTTTCGTGTACGGGAAAATGCATGCGTTTCTCATATTGCTTGTCGAATGCGATGCTAATGCGGTTTTAATTCGGAAATAAGTGTACACAATAAATTCAATAGTTGTACATTTTATTTTATTGTATGTAAAAGTGGAATGCAAACAACTTTTTCGCATAAATTCATTCTAAAATATGTACATACAATATCTCCGAAATTTAGAACAATGGTAAACTTATCAGAAAGCTTTTCTACAACAAAAATTCCTAACAAAGAACTATCCATCGGATACTCATCTAGCGTACCACAAACTATGTATTTTTGCGCCTGAAAGCTAGACGAAATTAGACGCTGGGAAATTAATAAAGTATCTCTGCTTGGTAATCGGTGTGGTAGTTTCCCTTTGACCCACATTCTCAGCAATTTTCTAGTTACTCCTAAGCACACCAAATGCATGTAATCCAGGGGGACCTGACTAATTAAACCAATCGATATATCATTTAAAACTGATTCCCCGTTGTGATGATCTTCGTCCATCATTTGCTTAAATGAAAAGTCTGATCTAGGATTGCAACTAAGATTATTATAAATCACCCTAGGTGGATCTAAAAGTAAAATTAGCGATATTAAGTTGTGCTACTTAAATACCTACACATAACTAACTTGATTAACTGCATATTGAAATGATCATCATTATTATTCTCACCAACTAAATGAAAGAACTTGACGTCGGAACTGTCCCTTCTTCATTAGATGAAAGAATATCCGATTTCCGGTCATCGGAGCACGATGATTCTTTCCTTGCTTGAATCTTCCTACGACGAGATTTTGTTTTTGAAAAATGAGGGCTCTCCGGCGCCGAGGTATCAACATCCGACTGAAATTGGGCTTTGTCCCGGTAGCGGTTGGCTTCCTCTAAAGTTGGTGTACTCCTCCTCCAAAACGGTGTCGAATTCCGGGGGATCAGCCTCATCCTCAGTTCCGAGCACTTGCTCAATCGTGGACAGGACTTGGACGCGACGTCCGATCAATTTGAACGGCATTCCCGTCACGCGTTCCACCTCAACCACGACGGACGCACCCACGGACGGCATCGGACCAACCATCGTGCTAAAGTGAGACAAAAACAAATCATTAATAATCACGAGGAGCTCAAAAATTGCTAAGA